TAACAAAAGATTTTAATTAATTTATTCAATTCCATAATTGAATAGCAATATATTTCAAACTCCTTTAATGAATAGATTGTAAATAAGAGAATCAATAACACTAGATTTTACATACTTTTAATATTTTAAACAGTTTAACCAATAACACCAGATTTTGTTAGAAGATTTAAAAATGAATAACAATAAATTATGGTTGGTAAGTGTTTTGAACATAAATTAGGATGTAATAGAAACACAAGAAAAAATCTAATTCATATATCTATTAACATTTATGCCTGTTAATTGATTTTGACTCATAATAGAACTAACCATAACTTTTTAAAAAAAAAACTTACGTTATGTTTGGTCAAAAAGTCAATACTATATTTTTAATACCATGCCAAAATTATTTTATTCAACATAATATGAATGTACTTCCATATATACACAGTCAAATAACTTTTTCTAAAAGTATAATGGTCAATAATACTATCTTTGAAGTTTGGTCATCGTTATAAATCTCCTTCAAACAGTGTCTAAATTTTTCAGATATCAATATTCAATATACTAGTAACGAATTTTAAAGAGAAAACAAAAAATGGCCAAGGCAGCTTCTTCCCTTGTTCTTCCTATCATCTTCCTTGTTATGTTTGCTTTAGGTAAACATTTATTTTAGATTTTATTCACAAAGTTATATACGATTTCTTCTTTTACATCAAATTAGTTTACTCTTAAGTCTATTCATTGGTGACTCAAGTGTTCCACTTCTACATAGTTCATTGTGATGCTAGCATTTAGATATACATGTATATTTTTGAATTATTATACTTAAAATAAATCACATAAATATAAATTTATCATTGGTTTTCTGTAATGTTTATTGGCATATATCATAAATATTATAGTTCATTGTATTGATATATATCCTAAATATTACTAATCTTCTGTCATCAAAATATATATATATATATATTAAAAAAAAACTGTTTTGTTTGATATAGTTGAGCAGAATATGGGATGCGTGTTCGTTGCTGGCTCGTGTGGTGATTTCAATTGTGATGCGGTATGCAAAGCTAGATTTGGACCAAATGCATCATCCTTCTGTGACCGCGACTATGCAGCTGGAAGATGTGTTTGCAATTTTCCTTGTCCGACAAAAAAGATTAATGTATGATTTCAAAAGTATTTTGGAATCTCATATTCTTCCTAATGTGCTAGTAGAAATCAAAAATAATTTGAATATACTGACTGAAGGTGCTACGATCTTTCAAAATATATTAAAAATAAAATTTATTCTATAGAACCTTTGATACCAATTAAAATATATTTCCAACGGTGTGAAACCACTCCGGCCCATCACTTCTTCATAAATGTTTAAAATTACATGTTTAATTTATAATTTCTGGCAGAATTTATTTTTATCAAGCAAAAAAATTAAGAAAATTATAAAACTGACACTTTTTAATTGGTTGCCTATACTAAAAGGAATGAGATTACAAAGTTATCATCAATAAATTTAACTAAATGAGCGGGTTTGAAAATTTGTAATTACTAGTCCGATTTCCTCCTTTATCTCTCGCCGACTGAAAGGATGATACAGACTTTCAACAGATGAATCGATCGACATATGGATAAGAAAAGAAAAGAAAAACATAGTTTGACTACTGATTATAGACTGTCGATAAATCTCAGGAAAATCTTATTTTGTTTCATTTTCAAAACTATCAAACAGTGGAAGATGTCAGGTTTTTGCTTTAGTAAACCAGAATCTTGTGATTTATCGTGCATTTCATATTGTTTCAGAAATAAATCAATCCGTAAATCGTTATCTACTTTTCACAGTATAGGCATATGGTTTCACAACAATTATGCAAGCATAAAACTTTTTCCAGTAAATATGATTTAAAAGTAATTTTAATTGCAAAAATCCTACTCTTACTTTGGTCTACTCATTAGCTAAGAAAGATTTAATTTTAATTTTATGGAAATTCAAAACAAATTAAACTCTTAAGGATGGCTTACACAAAAGAAGAAGAGAAGTGATGAGGGTTAATTTTGTTTTTTTTGTTGACAACGTGGTGAGGGTTAATTATAATGATACTTATTTTTTTGAACAAAGCTTTTTTATAAGGGACCCCTTTTTATAATAATTATTATAATAAACTGATTACATAATCTAGGGATAAAAGGTTAGATTTTAATTGCTATAATTTACACATTAAACTGATTTTAAGTCCAAACAAACTATTTCACGTGGAAGCAACTGTACAAAATCTATTAAACTTGAATAACAAAAGATTTTAATTAATTTATTCAATTCCATAATTGAATAGCAATATATTTCAAACGCCTTTAATGAATAGATTGTAAATAAGAGAATCAATAACACTAGATTTTACACACTTTTAATTAAAGTATTTTAAACAGTTTAACCAATAACACCAGATTTTGTTAGAAGATTTAAAAACGAATAACAATAGATTATGGTTGGTAAGTGTTTTGAACATAAATTAGGATGTAATAGGAACACAACAAAAAAATTAATTCATGTATCTATTAACATTTATGCCTGTTAATTTATTTTGACTCATAATAGAACTAACCATAACTTAAAAAAAAAAACTTACGTTATGTTTGTTCAAAAAGTCAATACTATATTTTTAATACCATGCCAAAATTATTTTATTCAACATAATATGAGTGAACTTCCATATATATGTTGTACACAGTCAAATAACTTTTTCTAAAGGTATAATGGTCAATAATACTATCTTTGAAGGCTGGCCATCGTTATAAATTTCCTTCAAACAGTGTCTAAATTTTTCAGATATCATATTCAATATACTAGTAACGAATTTTAAAGAGAAAACAAAAATGGCCAAGGCAGCTTCTTCCCTTGTTCTTCCTATCATCTTCCTTGTTATGTTTGCTTTAGGTAAACATTTATTATAGATTTTATTCACAAAGTTATACATGATTTCTTCTTTTACATCAAATTAGTTTACTCTCAAGGCTATTCATTGGCGACTCAAGTGTTCCACTTCTACATAGTTCATTGTGATGCTAGCATTTAGATATACATGTATATTTTTGAATTATTATACTTAAAATAAATCACATAAGTATAAATTTATCATTGGTTTTCTGTAATGTTTATTGGCATATATCATAAATATTATAGTTCATTGTATTGATATATATCCTAAATATTACTAATCTTCTGTCATCAAAATTATATATATATATATTAAAAAAAACTGTTTTGTTTGATATAGTTGAGCAGAATATGGGATGCGTGTTCGTTGCTGGTTCGTGCGGTGATTTCAATTGTGATGCGGTATGCAAAGCTAGATTTGGACCAAATGCATCATCCTTCTGTGACCGCGACTATGCAGCTGGAAGATGTGTTTGCAATTTCTCTTGTCCGACTAAAAAGATTAATGTATGATTTCAAAAGTATTTTGGAATCTCATATTCTTCCTAATGTGCTAGTAGAAATCACAAATAATTTGAATGTACTGAAGGTGCTACGATCTTTCAAAATATATTAAAAATAAAATTTATTCTATAGAACCTTTGATACCAATTAAAATATATTTCCAACGGTGTGAAACCACTCCGGCCCATTGCTTCTTCATTAATGTTTAAAATTACATGTTTAATTTATAATTTCTGGCAGAATTTAATTTTATCAAGCAAAAAAATTAAGAACAATATATAACTGACACTTTTTAATTGGTTGCCTATACTAAAAGGAATGAGATTACAAAGTTAACATCAATAAATTTAACTAAAAGAATGGGTTTGAAAATTTGTAATTACTGGTCCAATTTCCTCCTTTATCCCTCGCCGACTGAAAGGATGATACAGACTTTCAACAGATGAATTGATCGACATATGGATAAGAAAAGAAAAGAAAAACATAGTTTGGCTAGTGATTATAGAATGTCGATAAATCTCAGGAAAATCTTCTGACGCCAATTTTGTTTCATTTTTAAAACTATCAACCAGTGGAAGATGTCATGTTTTTACTTTAGTAAACCGGAATCTTGTGATTTATCTCGCATTTATATGGTTTCAGAAATAAATCAACCCGTAAATCGTTATCTACTTTTCACAGTATAGGCAGAGGAAATGATTTGCCATCGTCCATGCCATTTCAACCATTTTGGTGTTGTTTGTTCACCCAAACAGAAAGAGATTACTACCGCCAATGCAATGACATATTGTCTTCGTGTTCAGGTGTAATCTTCGGTATAAATGGAAGTCTTTAAGTTACTATGAATGATTCTTTTTCTTTTTTTCGACGTCGACGTTATATGGGCTTTTAATACTGGTATTGTTGATTGTGAGAGTTTAACATGACGAGAAGGTTCTCAAGAGGTGATAAAAATATCAACTTCCAAGCTTGCCATAGCAAAATCGAAGTACCACATTGTGCGTCATGAGGTATCGATGGCAAAAGAAGTTTGAATTGACAAAGTCCATATATTTAATGTAGGAACTGATGTCCAAGTGGATCAAGAAAAGACATGACAACGTGTTGACTAGAGCACAATGCAGTTTTGTTTGGCAATAAATCAGTTTATTGTAAAAAAAAAAAAATATGTCAACTTATTTGTGTAGGTTTAATGTCTTACTTTAAAATTTGAGATTCAAATCTAAATATGTTTAATTTGGAGTCTTCAGCCTGCTTTTTAAATAGATTAACTATGTCCCAATGACATACAAAGAAATTACCTCGGAAAAAAAGAACTTTAGAAGAAAACGTGAAAAGATGCAGAGGTCTTCACTTATACTACTTCTTAGCGTAGTTATCATGTTTTCCTCAGGTATAGTTCTATCTTTCAACTGTTATGTTTCTTTTGTTCATTCGATAAATTTTGATATGAGTCACTTTTCCAAAAAAAAAAAAAAAAAAAAAAAAAAAAAGATGCTAGTATGATATATTTTGATGTTGTAAACTTGTAATGATTACCTTTTACAATGATAAGACATTTATATTTAACATGTATAAACAAATGAATGATGTATACAATGTTGCAGTTGTGAATCAGAGTAGTGCAGCCCAATGCATGGAGACTCAAGGCCCTTGCGATAACTGTGACCAGAAATGCTTGGCCAAATACGGGCCATCGGTCCATACCCAATGTGGGAACTCGCAGTGTATATGCATCTACGAGTGTGGACAACCGGCCAAGACTTGCAGCGGTGGGGGTGGTATGTGTAGTCAGAATTGTCCTGAGACATGCTGTGATGCGAATTGTGCACAAAAGTTTAATGGTGGAAAAGGATACTGCCAGTCGCTTGGTAATTATAATTTGTGCCAATGCGAGTACCCTTGTTAGAGTTGTTTTCTTTACTATTGTAACTTAATAATGCAATGATATAAAATTATTGTTATTATTCTCTTGTTTGTGGATGCATGATTTTATTTGAGCAGGTATTATTTGGTCTACGCATTTGTTGTGAAAAAGTTTTTAATTTTAAATTTACGGAATTTCAAATTAAATTAAGTTTTTTTTACCAGAAATTTAATGTAATAGAAACACAATAAAAAATAATAATTCATGTAACTAATGATATTCCTGTCTATTGATTTATTTTGACTCATAATAAAACTAACCTTAAACAAAATAGTAAAATAAACTTATGTTATGTTTGGTCAAAAATTTAAAATAGTTTAATTTTAATACTATACCAAAATTATTTTATTCAACATAATCTGAGTGGACTTCCATATATATATTGTACACATAATTACACAGTCAAATAACTTTATCTGAAGGTATAATGGTAACTAATTCTAGTTTTCAAGCTTGGCCACCTCTATAAATCTCCTTCAAGCAGTGTCTTAGTTTTTCAGATATCAATATTCAGTATACTAGTAACAAATTTAAAAGACAAAAAACAACAAAATGGTCAAGTCAGCTTCTTCGCTTGTTCTCCCTATCATCTTTCTTGTTATGTTTGCTTTAGGTATATATTCATTTTGAGTTTATTTACAAAATTATACACAATTTCTTTTTGTTTTTTTTTTACATTTTAGTATTTTTTACATAAAATTCGTTTAGTCTCAAGTTTATTCATTGGCGCCTCAAATGCTCTACTTACACATACTTCATTGTGATGCTAGCATATAGATATACGTGTATACTTGGGATTTATTCATAGCAATACTTAAAATAATTCACACAAATATAGATTTATTATTGGTTTTGGTAATATTCATTGGCATATAATATATCATAAATATTTTAGGTACCAATCTTCTGTTATCAAGATTATAAATAAGAAATAAACTGTTTTTTTTAATAGTTGAGCAGAATATGGGATGCATGGGAGTTCTTGGCCCGTGCGAAATCTTTACGCAATGCGATGGGTCATGCAAGATTCAATTTGGACAAAAGGCAGTAGGCGACTGTGACCGCAGCGGTGGTCTAGGAACATGCGTTTGCTACTACTCTTGTCCTCGGGGTCATAAAACTCATATGTAATTTCCGTACAACACACAATATAATAAATTTAATACGTTTGTTTGATAAATTTGAGAAAGCTAATCCAAACCAAACTCAACAACAGTCAACAGTCAACACCATCAAACCAAACTAAGATCAGATTTAGTTTTAGTTGCCATATATATAAATAAATAAAAGTACATTGCTTAATTTTCGAGATTGCCTATAGGTTATTCGAAAATCCACATACGATTCAGTTTTATTTATTCCAAAAACATTAAAACAAACTTAGCAAGGGTATTGACATTTGCACAATAACGAATGGGCAAGGGGCTCACAATATCCACCTCCGCCAGGAAACTTTTGCGCACAGCTTTGATTGCAACATTGATTCCCACATTTAGTGTCGCAAAGTCCAGTCCCGCCAGAGCACTGTTTGCCTGGTGGAGCTGGTTCAGGCGGTCCACATATGTAATTGCATGTGCAGGTTTGAAATGCATCGCAACTGCCTTGGCCTGTTGGTCCATGTTTGGCCTTGCATCTCTCATCACATTGGTCACAAATACCTAGACCGTCCTGGCATAGATTTGCCTCCACCTTATATTCAACTGTAAAAGATTATATATGTGATTAGTTCTATTTCAGTACAGGGAGAAGAATTCACTGATAGAAAACATTAGATCTATGAGAACTAATAATTAGTAGAAAACAAAATATATTCTCACGAGAGTAGAATCATATTATTATGATAGTTATGTCAAGATTAGTGTTTTCTCACAAATAAAGGATGATGATTGGTTTTGGTTTTGCAAGTAATATATGATTGAATTCGACTGTAATATTATACCATGTAACATTCCATATTATGAATACTTAAAGAAACATGTTGTAATAAAATAGTGTAATATAATGGTATAAGAATTTAGCTGAATTTAACTCTGTTTTTTCGGGTCATTGTATCAAAGCACTCTTCCTAAAATATTGACGGTGTCATAGCAAATGCACTGAAAGCCCCACATATTCACAGTATAATTAACTGAACAAGATACAAGAAACAATACCGGAAGCAAGCATAATAAAGAAGCTGATGAAAACCACAAGTGAAAATGCCTTCGACATCCTTTTTAAGTTTTGGTTTTTACTTTGGCAATTGTTTGAGACAATTATTGGAATATCATTGGGAACATTTAGTTCGGTTATATATAATACTCCCTCTGTTCCTTACTAATAAATTTTCTTAGATTTTAACATTTATTAAGAAAAAGTTAAAGTTCAACTTAATATTTTTAAATAATAAAACAACTTTTCAGAATTTTAAATCAATAGAAATCCATGCTAACATTAAAATCTGAATCTTTTTGTTTAAATCAATAAAATGTATCTTGAAAATCTATAAATTTGATCTTCAAGGAATACAAAAAAAAGGCTAGAAAATTCATTTATAAGGATTTATAAGGAACAAAGGGAGCCGGAGACTTGGAGCCGGTCCGCAGTACGTGTAAGAGCACATGCATATGTGGCTTCATCTGTCGCAGTTTCCTTGGCCTGTTGGCCCGTGCCTAGCCTTGCATCTCTCATCACACTGTAGACAACCACCCAGAGCTTATCTGCAAGCGCCTGCCTTCACTTTAAACAATTATTTTAGTGTAGCGGAAAACGAAGCCGTTGATCGAAACATCTAAATCTATGAAATTTATACCACACGCACAAAAAGGTACTCATGGCTTAATTATTTTAACACGAAAATCTCTAATATATTAAAAGAGAAAACACTATAAAATAAACCTTTGTCTCATGTGTTATTAACAGAAATGCCATGCTGATGTGTCAACACCAGGTTCACTTTCAAGGTTAGTTTTAATTAAGACAAACATTACTAGACTAATTACATGTTATGCCATTCATATTTGGTTAGAGAATGAAATATATATGATTAATTTAGTCAGAAAAATAATTATTAATGAAAATTATTTTCTTTCAGTTTCCTTATTTGGTAATGACGAAAATTTATTTATTAGTCAATCAATCAGTAAAATATGGAAAGTTTTATTCAATTGTATTATATTAATTGTTTAAAAATTAATTTATTCATCTATCATTTTTGTTTAGCTTTACTTTCAAGAATAAATTATATCATCACATCAAAATATTTAAAAAAAGAAAATTAGTTTTTTTCTACATATGCTATGGTTTGAATTTTTAAAAATGAAGCAAATCTCTAAAAATGTTAAATGTCCCACATGATTATATTTTGGGATAATAGTTCAAAAACCTATTATAAAATAGGATCCAAATAATGATCAACCATAATCACAAATAGGAAAGAAAAATTTACCATGTTTGGAAATCTTTAAAATTTCTTTTATTCGATTTAATTTGATTCTTTAATTGAATTAAATAATTAAATCGTATTTTTTAATATTTTGGTTTGATCAAAATTTTAAACGTAATAAATTCTAATAACTTATCATATAAGTTAAATTATTTTAGTTATTTAAAATTGATAAAAACATAAAATATATATGCCATTTTATATTTATCAAAATATAAAATTATTTTAAATGTATTAAAATTTAATATATATGTGGGTTCGGAAAGGGAGAAACTGTTGTTAAAGCAAATGTTAGATTACCACACTGTAAACGATGACAAAAATCAAACCAGGCTAAAAAAATATGCATCACTCAAAATTTCGTCTAATGTAAATTGACATTTTTTTAATTGTCTAATTGTCTAACACTCTATGTTCCTAAAATTGTATGTAAATAGACATCTTTTAATAAAATCAAATTGAGAAAATATCACCCCGTGCAAGGCGCGGGTCAAACTCTAGTATAAATGATACCGGAAACAAGCACGATATAGAAAACGATGAAACCCACAAGTGAAAATCCATTCTTCATATTTTCTATTTGTTTCTTTGGCGATAGGTTATTTGGTTGAGAGGAAAAGATTAAAATGTATTGATGTATATACCATTGGGACATTTAGCTGGTCCTTACCTGTATAATAGAAAGATACATTCATCTTTATCTAGATTTATTAATGTTTGGATTTTATTTTGTAAGTTCATATACTGTACTACTTTCCATTTTGTTTTCGTATATATGTGTGTCACAGTGTCAGTGTATATACACATCAATCCAACATGTCTAGCTTCAACGAGATAGATTTGACGAATTTCATCTCATATAGTAGATTTCTTTCTAAACGTGCTCACACGGTCACACCATTTAGTCGTTTACTATAAATTCACATTCTTGTAAAATTTCATATCAAAATAAATCATTTTATTAGTTTCTCAACAAAACAAAACAAAAAGTATGGCAAAGTCAACTTCTTCACTTGTTATTCAAAATGAAGTTTGGACCAAAGGCTAGTGGCTTATGTTAAGAAAAATCTTGGACAGTGTCTTGTTTCTCATCCTTATCCAGCTGATAGAGCTCATGTTTAAACTCCAAAAACAATATAGTAATGGATCCGGCTAATGTAGGTTTTAATTGGGCTTCTAACGGAAAGCAAGCCCCATTGCTTCTTTTGGCAAGTAAACCTAGTCGGAGATTGTTCATGTATGGTTGAGAGTCTGTGGAATAAAAGTTGTGGTCGGATTCGGATGCTTCATTTGTTTAGTACTATATTAGAAACCTCACAGTATGCGGATTTACTGATAAATGATATTATATTTGAACAAAGTAATGTAAAATATTTGTTGTCAGTAAAAAAAAAAAAACATTTTGAGAAGGAAGTAGGCCATGTTTTTAGTTAGAACTTGGGGATCGAGAATGGAGTAACTAACCTTTTTTTTCCTTTCTTAAAAATATTAATTTACATACTTGTTTTATAAAAAGAGTATAAATAATAAGTATACCACCAAAAAGATTATCTTTCCTTACATACTTGTTTTCCAAACACTCACCAATCGAATCTGAGGTCATGTTTTCGTCAAGAACACAAATATATTGTTTGATTGTTGTATAAATTAATCACTATGAAAATATTCGGTGGTTGTAAATCTCAAGATTAGTCTTATATTTCTTGGTATTAGGAGGACTCGATTGAGGAAAAGAAAACAGCAAAAAATCGTAAATGTGGACACGTAGACAAAGAACGTGAAAGAGAAGACAATGACAGATTTAATATTTTGTGAAGAGGACACATGCATTGATGTTTCTTCACGTAAAGAAAGGCCTTCGAGTTGGCATTTCCTTGCCTCACGAATCTTTGTCTACCTCGTGCTTCTTTTTAATTCTATTGTCCTCTTTTATTCATTTTTAATAGTATACATTATTAAAGCTATTGGTTTCTTTATAACAAAAAAAATGGTATTCAAAGTGCCACAACGTTCGCTACGCTGTCTCTTCTCCTCTTTGACTTTTGTCACACTTGTCTCTATCGTCATAACTCAACCATGGTTAAACAAAAAAGGAAAAACCCTAAGCCAGCCTAAGTATCTGCTCCTCGATTTATCTTTTTAAAAACTTATATATTATGATCACCAGTTAATTAATTTGATTTGTTTGATTAATTAAATGAATAATCCAAATCAAGACTCCCCATGTATCTCTCGTTTTGCTGTTTGTTTTCGCATATATTATCTTGTTGGGATTGTGAACTGTGAACATGTGTGGTTCAAGAGTCAACTTCGGACGTAGGGTTGTCACAATCACTTTTGATAAATGTAAACCCCAAAAAAAATTCGATTTTATTCAGATATGCAATTAATGTTCATATCTCTTTTTATACAAAGTTCATATATCTTAAGCCACAAGATTTGAGTTTTGGTTCCATTTAGTTATGGGAGTGGACAAGGCACTTAACAAATAAGGATTTGTCAATATATCCTAAATCAGTAGACAATCCCATGACCGAATAGCCTGGAAAAGATTACTAACACACAATTATCGAATCTTGCTTGATTAGTTTGTGTTCATAGTAATGACACGTCTTTTTGTAAGCTAATAAATAAATAGAACATATGTGACTTGAAAAAAAAGGAAATAAAAATATGGGAGATCAATTTGGAGGAAAATAAAGTGGGTGGTATGGCTTTATAAGAAGAAAGTGCAACAAGTTTTAACATTCAACAAGAAAAGGAAAAAAGTGAGTTCAGAAATCAGAACTACATTGACTTTGACAACCAAGAAGCGAATATACAGTACCTTTTGAAATACATTTAATTAGAAGGTGATAAGGAATTTTCGTATTGTACACATCGGAAATCTGAAAATATTTAATGAAAATAGGGAGATCCAACTTAACTTTGTTGTTGAGGACTATGTGTTTTGTCAAACATAGGATCCGACCGTTGTTTGTTGTGCATGTGCCTTGAGACATGACCCTCGCATCACCCTAACTAATTGTCTTTCAGATTTTTAATACTTTTCATACCTTTCTACAATTTAATGAACCCAAGTAAAATAGTGAAATGTTTACGACAAAGAGATGACACTATTTTACATAGTGTACATATAATTAAACTAAGCAATGCACTATTTTTTGTCAGCAGCCACTTCAGTTCAAAGAAAGTATAGTTTCTAATTTTGGTACATCATTTATCAAAGGAAACAAAAAAAGGTATATGTACACTATTCGGTGGATTAGATTTGGATCATACCAATAATTTTCAGGAGTGTAGCCAAGGAAATGAAGTTTTCATCTAAGTATATATATAAACTAAAAATTTGATGAAAAGGAGATTTTCAAGAGAAGATGAATCTATTTTATTTGCAAATAATTTGTGAATGCATTTTGGAAATTACAGAAATCCAAAATAGTGGAACCAAAATAAATAAATGGAAAAAAAAGCTTCAAGCTTTGACTTTGACTTTTAAGCTCCAACAAAACACTCTGCTCAGTTTATATTACAACGCTCTCGCTTCCTTGCTCAGTCAGAATCGTCAATCTCCGAGCTGTCTTCAAGAACTCACTGCAAGAGATCAATCATTACATGCTTTATAAATTCAGAAGAATAAAAAGACTTAAATAAGGAGAAATATGACAATATTTGCTTTCTTCTTCTTCTTGTTTACCTGAAAGGTTCGTTTCCTGCGTATTTGATAGCTCCTGATGCATCCCTATAGAGAACAGAACTCAACATCTCAGACTTTTGAATACCAAACATGTCAGATAGTTTCCTACTCAACTCTTCGTACGACCCAAGAACCGATAGGTCTAAGGTTCGACCCACGTCGTCCGACTCCATAAACACTTTACAGTGCCCTGTCTCCAAACCCGCTCCATCATGAACTTTGTTGGAACAAGGCGATCCTTCCTCCGACGAAGACAGCTCCCTCCCCGCAACGCAGTTCTGGTTCGAACCGCCTGACGAAATCTGCGTTTTCTCTATAACTCCGGTATCCGTAGACCCTTTATCCGACACCTGCTCCTCCGGTAGTATCAGCTTCCCAAACAACACGATGTGAGACTTCTTAGACTCGGTGTCATTGCACGGAGCTGTTCCCATAGTCAAAAAGCAGAACCCTTTCTCGTTTCTGCTATCCATATTTCGCAACCCTAGAGACGAAGAAAGAGGGAGAGACGACGATTGAGGAAGAAGAGGAGGTGGAGGAGGAGGTCTATTCAAGTAGTAATGGTGGAGATCGGAAGATGATAACCCGTAGTACTGATGAGCATTATGCCTGGCTCCCTGTAAACCCACGGGAACATTGTCCAGAACGGAGCTTAACGGGCTTGATCTAATAAGCGGATTGCTTGGGAATGAAGGTACTGGTATCGAGTTGATCAGATTGTTGTAATCCGGATGCTGATGAGGAAGCCTCATCTTTTTCCTCGGCGGCGAAAACGACGTTAACGGGATCGGATGCACGTTCGACACCAACTCGACTAACCACGGGTTAACCCGCTTCACGTTTTGAAGCAAATCCGGCTCATCCCACGCAACCTGAAACCACACACAAAAAAATGCAAACCCTATGAGTGTTACCTTCAGCCACAAGCAACAAAGAACAAAAAAAGAAACTTTCTAGGGTTTGTTTACTTACCTGTAGAAGACGCCAAGGAGAGTTAGGCCAACGGATAGGATCAGAGACGTTAACAGCTGAAACAGTCCCCATAAACCAGCTTATCCGAGAAGAATCTTCCGTCTCAAACGCCATTTTAAACCTCATCCCGGAGCACCACGGTATCCTCATCGCGGCTCGAGCATCCATCGCCTTGACACAAAACTCCGACGTGCTTGCCCTCGGGTAGTACACGACCTCGAACGGTCTTCCGGTAATAGCGAGCGTGGCGGCTTCGATAACAGACTCAGCCGTCACTTTCCCCTTACGATCCGCCAGCGCGCAGTTACTCCTCCTCAACGTATTGCTCTCATCTTCCCTTATAAGAGAAGAGTATCCACAACTTCCTCCGATCGGATTCCAACCGGCGGAGTACTCGGGTCCGTTACCGATCCCTCCTCTCTTAGCTCTCCTAATACCAACGCAGAGATCTCCACTCTCAGCTCTCATGAACACGATCGAATCTCCCGCCACAAGCTTCTTCTGGTTCACGAAGTTACTCCAACCGGTCGTGAGAAGGTGACGACGTGGCGTCCCTCTGTAGATATGTCGAAACTTCCACACATCTCCATGAACGTCCTTCGCAAGAATCGTCTGGACCGGCGGCTCGGCGTTGTAGTCTAATCTAGGGAAGATCGTCTCCGCGCAGTAACGAGGAACAGAGAAACCTCCGCCGTTGTTAGCGTCGGACTGAGTCAGAGTCTTGGCGAAAGAAGGCGTTTTCTCGCTGTTGCTCTCGAAACCGTTACTATCTTCGCCTCCGCCGTCTCCGTAATCCTGGTGGTGATCGACGAACTCGTCGTCTTTAAGAGGAATCAGTCTCAGCTTGGCGAAAACCTCGTCGGATTCTGCGTCGGCCATGTACTTGATGGCTAAGACACGACATAACACCATCGGAGGAATCGGTAAGTTGCCGAAATCGACGCAGTCGTAAGCGTTCTCTGCGTGGCCTTGAGGGAAGTAGAAGACTTTTGAGTTCATTGGAGGCATACGAACCATACCACCGGCACATGCATGCCATAGTTGAGGATCTAATCCTTTTTCTGATCCGCTTTTCGTCGGATTCATTACGTTTATCATCTTTCTCTACCGATTTGTGATCGTCTTGCTGCAAAATGAAAATGCATCAGTTTTGTTTGGACAGAGTAGAGAACAAGAAGCAATCAATTATAGTTTTCATTTTTTTTTTTTGAAGTATTTTTAACAAAACTTATATCTTCAAGTCCTTTGTCTTAGTCAACTCTAACTAACAAAGCGAGATTTTTCCGGAAAAACAAAAAAAAGAAAGTTAACTGAGAATCCGACAAAAGTGTTATGTTTCAGAGAGAAGATTTCAAGTATCAAATCTAGAGTTAAAAAACATTGAAATTACGAATGATTTAGTAAAAGGATGAATATGATTTTCAAGAAAATTTCAAGAACTTTGAGGATAAGTAGTTTTTTGTAAAATGAATACAACCAACACAAAACAAAATTAGAAAGTTAGGCTAAATTTCCAGAAGAACTAGCTCAACGATTGTGTTGTGAAGAGATAAGGCAAAAATTACAGATCGGTCAGGTTGAGAGAAGAGAACAAATTAGAAGCGATTGAGAACTCAAACAGTAAACTTAGAAAGTTTTAGAGAGACAAAAGAGTTAACAGAGACGGACATAGCAAGATCAAATTAAGCTAACCAAATCAAACTCACATCGAATCGATTGAACAATCGAGATGAAATTCAGACAACGATTCGATCAAACAGAGAAAGAGATTACAGAGGCAATTAAAAGATTTTAGTGTCAAACCTTTAGAAACAGTGATAGATCTGAGCAAATTCTTGGAGATTCTGTCGAAAACCCTCCCTTGGTTTGCTGAGAATCTGAAGATTCTGCAGCTAAATTCTGCTTCAGAATCGGATAAGAAGTTTCACTTTTGTACAGAGGAAAATGAAAAGGGGGGGTTCGTTCGTGTATATGAAGGAAAGAGGTTTAGCTTTTCTGGAACCAAAAATAAAATAAATAAAAATATTATCTCTTTTTTCTCAACTTTCATTAACTCATTCACATGTCTTTTATTATTATTATTTTTCCCTAGTTAGTTGATTTTAATCCAGATTATTAAAACTGGTAATATTTTGAATAAACAAATTAAACCCCAAAAGAAGGTAACAATTTGGTAAGTCAAACCCTTGATTCCGGGCATGAAAATCGACAATACGGAGTGTGAAAAAAATAATCAAATAATATAATATTCGTAACAAATTTTAATATTTCTAAACAGAAAATATCGACATACGAGTTAAGAGTTGAATCGCGCACGTGACGGATCCGCACGTGTCGTCGGTGCTTCCGACATATCTCCTAGAAATCTGATTAGAAGCATCTAATTAGTTAACAATTCAAAATTAAAACTTAACTCAGCCATTAATTGTTCGTTGAATAAACAAAGTTTCACAGTTTGATAATCCCAATAATAATTTAATTTTTATCTTGTTGTTTACGAAACACGATAGTTTGCTAATTTCCATGCAAGCAATTTGCTGTTGCTGACCATGTTTATTACCACTGCTGTGTTTAAAACTTGAACGGATAAAAGAACTAAAAACGTACTTTGGTTCCGTTTTTATGTGATTTTCTCGTTAGATTAGTTTGTTCTAAAATACGATGTATACGGTATGTCATATACTATATTTAGAAATTATATTGTTTTTTATCCTACGCGATATATTTATGAGAAAAAACATAAAGTGGTGTATGGACAACATTTATATATGTCCTACGTATCGTCATTTATATGAATGCTAAGAAAGGTGATTTTTCTACATGGAAATTAAATTCAAGACTAATATTAGCTGTTACTTGTGTGTCATTCATTTGGAGTATTTTATTTATTAAGAGTTGGAATGTTTTTCTATTATAAATTTTGATTATTTGAATTAGTTCAATACTCCATCTTTTTATGTTTATGAGACTTTATAATTGTGTGTGTGTGTGTGTGTGTTCATGTATATTTAGGAAGACGTTTTTGATGCCATGGTTTCTTTTTATAAAGTTTTGGAATCAACTCATTACACATGAGGGAGACTCCGAGAATTGAACCATCCATTTTTCATACTCAAAATCCGGATTGTTGAGATCAAAACAGTCTTTTTTAGAGTCAAATTAACTAACAATATTCAGATGAGACAAAATGTTTCATAGTTTCCAGTACTCTATTTTAGTTAGCTGATCAAATTCTCACATTGCTTTTGACTACATAATGATTCTGAAAATTTACATCTTACTTGCAAAGAATAAACTAAATGCTTTTGAAGTTGTGATTTAAAAAAACATGTCGAGAAAATATCCTATAAAACTATAACTATACCCCATACATCCAAGTAAGAGATATATCAACATTACGATCATAGCAAAGGCTCAATAAATTTGCGCATGTGTCTTTGTATTTTCTTGTCGTAAGAGTTAGATCTTTCCCATTAATACCACGAGTTTGATATATAGGCCATACGTAAATTCAAATTCAAGATCCAATTATCTACACAAGATATATTTCAAATAGTTCACAGTTCAGTGCATTTGCGAGCTACAACTATACAGATTCACCTAAATCAACATGATTTTCAGTTAAACACTTTAAACGCATGAACATATTTTTCTTTTTCTTTTAGTAAGAAAAAAAAAAGTGATTTTTCTTTGTTTCCTTAACAATATTTTTTAACAGTGATTTTTTCTTTGCACTTTTATAGCAACGACTTTTTTCTGTCAGCTTCTTGTAGCAATGTTTATGAACCGGATTTGTCGTATATAAATATCTAAAAGTAGCACTGATTTTTCTATGTGAGGGCTTATTAGGCTGTGTAGCCTTTGAGTAGTTTTTTTTTTGGTTTTCTAGCCTTTGAGTAGTTGTTATCCAAGCTTAATTATTAATAGAAGAATTATTATGATTATAGTGAAAACTTAACTATACGAAAACAGTAATATGAACGAACGGGAATGATAATAAGAAATTATAATAATAGTGAAAACACAAATTTTGTATTTGTCCACAGGACATAGCACGTGTGACTAACCATGGTTAGTTTGAAGTGTGTCTTTTGTATATATATAGTTGGTCAAGACTCTCCTTGTCAATAGTTATTGCGTGTGTCTCCATTTATGTTAATCCAGTTATATTTTCATGTCACAAGGGCATACTCGGCATTTGAATTTACACCACTGGGATCTGATCTGATTGTCCTCTAATTCGATTAGATTTTGTTATCATCACATTTGCATGTAATAGAGTACTAATATATATAGTGTAATACTACATCCTTTATGCTTCTTGATGTTCCTCATGTTTGACCATTTTGCTTGTCTAACACCAATCCTTAGTATATAATAACAAGAAGAAAAAAAAGAGAGAAAATGGTCTTGAATATCTTTTTGAAGGAAATCCAAATTAAGTTTGATGTATATGGTCTTGAAAGCACAGTTACTAACTGTTTAACTACCAAACACCGCCATCAGATAACCAATTTATAATTTATAATTAGGTCATATTCGTTTCGTAATTAGTAACTACTGATAATATGTTTTGTTATTCGTTCAGCACAAATACATAATATAGTAATCATCTATCTGACTATCTCAGGTCCTGAGTCCTGACCATTGAGTGAAGGTCCAGACAGAGGAATCGTCTTGACCAACTGTTTAAGTATGGAGGTTATTTTGAAAAGAGAGGTGAAAGCTATAAAGGCAACAAAGAGGGTAAATGTAAAAGCGACCTTTAAGGAGGAGACATATAAAGACATGAACTGGGATCCAGACACAAACAGTCGTTATAGACATTGACTCTCTTCTTGTCCTTTTCTTTCTCTCCTTTTGTCTTCACAAAATAAAATTATTTATAATTTCAAAAATAAATAAAGATATTTGAAGGTAGTTTTTGTATTTTATGATATAATAAATAAAATAAATATATTCTGTTTTTTTAGTTCGACCGATACCAACTCAGTTGGGCTGGGCTTGACAAAATTAACATTCCGAATCAACAATTTCTCAAAGCATGTACAGCTTTTTTCTAAAGTTTTCTTCTCTTCTCTATTTATAAAACCATAAACTATGAAGACTGAAAAGATTGTTCTCAGATTTGTTACTACTGAGAGGAGAAACCTGTTTTTGTAGAACAGGTCTGCTCAACTTCTACAGCCAAAGCGAATAACTGTTATAAGTCTAAGGAACCAGAAACCATAGCTCTTACATTTTCAAGCTTTGAGCTTAGTTCTACAACTTTCTTATCTGCGATTTCAGCTCGCGTTTCCACTTCAAGCCTTCTCTTCCGTTGCAACTCCACTTCACGTTTTAGTCCAGTTACCTACGAATGTGGAATTATCAAATAAAACTCAGATAAAGGTAATGAAGCAAAATGTGAAAATACTATAAAGTCATACTACAAAATGAAAATAATGTGTTCAATATGTTCAATGTAATGAAAGCATGTATTATAAAAGTTGATGAAATCCAAAATAACATTAAGAGGGAACAATAAGAGTAGAAATACAGAATACAAAGTCTAAAGTAAATAATATGTATATGAAAGCGTTGACTTGAACACACACTTACATAAACTTGAGATTCTCCACATAGTCTATAAAAGTGTCAACACTAGGATAATTAAACTCTTCAAAACCCTGAATATGGACGCTTGTAAAACTTTCCCTCTCTAGATTGTAGAAGTGAACGTAGTAAAGCTTTGATTTGTTGTCGTCGCTGTACGACGACCACACGATTTCACCTCTAGCAGTCATTCCAACAAACGATTTCTCTGTGATTGAAGTATACATTTTGTAGGTCTTCTTGGACCATTTATGATTTGCAGCATCTTCTACAACCCACAACACAAGTTCTCTATCTACATCTCTATCCATATGCCTAGAGCGTGTTATTCTTTGATGTAAACCTAATTTACCTTTGTAGTTGAACAAAGTCAAAGAACCATATTCAGAAGAATACTTCATCTCTTTATCCAAGTTAATAAAGTGGAACTTCTCAGACCTAACGTCGAAGCAAACTATCACAGAAGTATCTCCCACATCACCTCCGAAATACAAAACACCGTCAATGCATATTCCATCACGCGTTATACCATCCTCCATAAAATCGAATACTTGCTCGATCCTTCTCCAGAAACGTTTTCCAGACTCCAATGTCAAAACCTGGTGAGTATTGGGTCTTTTACAGAGAGACGAGGTCATGCACAACACTTTGAACTGTTTGCTGATGGGATCATATCCAAAATAGAATCTTGCAACATAAGCTTCCTCTATGTCTGGTAAGGTTTTTGATTTCAGAACCACTTTGGGTAAAGTTAGGAGCTTTCCCGTGATAGGGTTACAAATCACCTTTCTTTTTGTTCTGTTGTAATCTCCCTGAAGAAGAGCCAACCCACAGACCAGAGTACAGTTACCAGACTGAACATATTTGGGGGATGAGGATGACGTATGGTAACGTGTGGCTACATGAGAAGTGCCCATATATGGATTGTGAGGCTGATGTGCAGAGTAGAAGAGCAATTTTCCATCAGATTTCAAGGTGAAAAGGAGACGTGGACGATTGAAAGACTTGCTCAGATACAAATCAGTGAAATCAGGAAAACCAACTGTGTATTCCCACAATTTCGATACGCAGCGAAACCTCGCTATAGACTCTTTCGGGACTCGAGAGAATATATCGATAAGGAGATCAACTGGGATTGGGTCTGCGTGTGTTCTTCTTACCGACTTGTGAGATTGTGTTTCATTTCCGGAGGTGATTGATAGATTCTCCGAGAAGTGCTGCTCAGACTTTTCCATGGCGGCGATTGTGCAAACCCCGTAGAATCAGTTCACGAGCTTTAAGAGTTTAAGACGAACCAAAACCCTACACTTTAGCTTTCTTGATATGCAAGAATTTCTAAATGGGCTCTATTAGGCCCAAAACATACTGAGTAAGCTAGTTCCATTTGGATGTTAGACTACTCACTCCATCGGTTCTACTTCTTGAATCGATAATTGTGACTTGAGTTAATTCTACAGTTTGTAAATCTTAAAAATTGATCTTAGAGCTTCTTGCTTCTATCAAGCAAAATAACCAGAACTACATAATGTATCAATATCAGATCATGACTTGTGTGCTTGAGCTTCCATTTGATTATTAACAAGCCGAATCAAATTTTTCACTCTTTTCTAAAATTTTCTTCTCTTCTCTATTTTTATAAAACCATAAAATATGAAGACTGAAAAGATTGTTCTCAGATTTTGTTACTACAAAGAGTCAAGAGACCTATATTTGTAGAACGAGCTCTGCTCAACTTCTTCCCCCAAAGCCAATAACTGTTACAACTCTACAAACTACCTGCCAAAAGAGATATTTCTTCTACTGAGTAACCATCTTAATTAGTACCAAATCCAAATGGTTATGTAAGTAAAGTCACAAAACCTTTTGATCTATTGAGGTTATATCTTCTATTGTTTCAATGGTGAGGAATGAGGATGAGGACGTTTCTACCCAGTGATGGTTTCTTGTTTATGGCTGTATCTCTTTTTCCTCTTATATGGCTCTAAGACGACATGAACTTTAAGTGTGGTTTCGCTGTGGTCATAATTTGGCTCGCATATGGATGTGTATGTGTCCTGATTACCTATAAAAACAGACAATGTTGTAATGTAATGTTGAAGAGAAACCGTTAAGTGAATAGGGGTGGAAATATATTATTAACCTCAAGGTAGTAACATGAAACGTCGAATCCTTGGATGAGATAATACCTCGATGGACTTATCAGTTAGATACTGGGCTTTTGGTTCGAGATAAATGGTTAATGTTACACCCATTTCTGTAAGATCAAGAAGAAGAAATCCCACTCAGATATCAGTATCAAGTAAATGTAAAGTAAACAAACGTGTAGTAAGATTGAAACTCACTGAGTTCAGGGTTTTAATGTGAGGCTCTGGATCTGGAGTTGGTCAAGTTTCCGGGACCCCTGAAGAAAATAATAACAAAGAAGAAAGGAAACCATGTTTTTAGAGGGAAGCTGAAGACTTTCAAGTTTAATTTTGGAACGTAACCTTTTGAAGAGTGGTATGAAGAGTTGGTCTAATATGTTGAGGCCATAGAGTTATTAGATATGCCTGCAACCATTAAACAGAGCATTAGAAGAGTATTCACTAAGATTATGTTATGCGCCCTTGAAGCTTTTTCGACTTACCTGAGTTTTATTCTGGTTAAGACCAAGCTTGGAAGAGAACCACTTCCCATCAATCTGAACATGAGACCAAAAAAAGTACTGTGAGGTTCCTGATTCCTGACATCAAGATCCTAGAGAAACCATATCTCTTACATTTTCAAGCTTTGAGCTAAGCTCTGCAACTTTCTTATCTGCGATTTCAGCTCTAGTTTCCACTTCAAGCCTTCTCTTACGTTGTAATTCCACTTCACGTTTTAGTCCAGTTACCTACCAATTTATAAGTGTTACAAAAAAACGCTCAAATAAAGGTAATCAAGCAAAATGTGAAATACACAAGTCAGACTACAAAACCAACCTACTTCTGAAGTTCATAAATCTTTTCTTCGGTTTCACTTGCGTGCTTCACCGAGCTCTCAGACTAAAACAAGCTAAGTAAATTGAACAACTTTCTACTTGGATAGAAAATCATCGCTGAGATGTAACATAATAAGATGTTTGTGACCATATTGTTACATTTACCCTAACGTGTCAAAGAATTAATGAAAGATACATAAGACTCAGATTGCCTTATGGTTATTGTTAGATGTCCTGGAACAGACCAGTGAGTATTATTTTATTATGAAAATCAGCTTCAGGTGTCCTTAAGAGGTTGTGATTTTAAGCTATCATAATAATTAAAAAAACCAAATGTAACAGACCAGTGAAATCCAAATACTCATCACATGCAAAAACCTTTTATAGACCAATTCTTGAGAGATTCGTTTTACTTGCAGGCTTATCCCGGATCTCAATACCAAATTTGATGGGAGAGAGAGAGGGAGAAAATGAGTGACAAAGCAGAGAAAAACAGAATAGTCTGACGAAAACTTAGAGATAAAACTAGATGTATTATAAAAGTTGATAAAATCAAAATAATATTAAGAGGAAACAATATGATAAGAGCAGAAATCCAGAATACAAAGCCTAAAGTAAATAACATGTATATGAAAGCGTTTAACACACACACACTTACATAAACTTGAGATTCTCCACATAGTCTATAAAAGTGCCAACACTACCATACAACTCTTCAAATCCCTGAATAGTGACGCTTGTAAAAGTTCCCCTCTCAAGATTGTAGAAGTAAACGCATTTGTTGCTGTTGCTGTACGATGACCACACAATATCACCTGTAGCAGTCATTCCAACAAACGATTTCTCTCTGATTGAAGTAGGCACTTCGTAGGTATGCTTGGACCATTTATGATTTCCAGCATCTTCCATAACCCACAACACAAGTTCTTTAACGTTATGCCAATAGTTTGGTATTCTTTCATGTATACCTAATTTGCCTTTGTAGTTGATCAAAGTCAAACAACCACTTACATAAGACTCGTACATCATGTCTTTATCTAAATTAATAAAGTCGAACTTCTCAGACCTAACGTCGAAGCAAACTATCACAGAAGTATCTTTCATGTCAGCTCCGAAATATAAAACACCGTCTATGCATATTTGACCATGCACTCTACTATCCTCCACAAAATCGAATGCAAATTTGATCCTTCTCCAGAAACGTTTTCCAGAATCCAATGTCAAAACCTGATGAGTATTGGGTCCATCACAGAGTGACGAGGTCATACACAACACTTTATATAGTTTGCTGATCGGATCATATCCAAAATAGAATCTTGCAATATAAGTTTCCTCTGTGTGGGGTAAGGTTTTTGATTTCAGGACCACTCTGGGTAAGGTTAGGAACTTTCCAGTGATAGGGTTACAAATCATCTTTCTTCTTATTTCAAGAATTTTCTGAAGAAGGGTCAATCCACAGACCGGGGTACAGTAAACACATGGAACATTTTTGTGCGATGACATATGGTAACGTGTGGCTACAAGAGAAGAGTCCTTATCTGGATTGTGAGGCTGAGGTGCAGAGTAGAAGAACAATTTTCCATCATGATACAAGGTGAAAAGGAGACGTGGACGAGTGGAAGACTTGCTCAGAAACAACTCAGTGAAATAAGGACGACCAAATTTGTATTCCCAGAATTTCGATAGGCAACGGAACCTTGCTATAGACTCTTTCGGGACTCGAGAGAATATATCGATAAGGAGATCAACTGGGATTGGGTCCGAGTATTTTCTTCTTGCAGACTTGTGAGATTGTGTTTCATTTCCGGAGGTGATTGATAGATTCTCCGAGAAGTGCTGGTCAGACTTTTCCATGGCGGCGATTGTGCAAACCCCGTAGAATCAGTTTCACGAGGTTTAAGAGTTTAAGACGAACCAAACCCTACACTTTAGCTTTCTTGATATGCAAGAATTTCTAAATGGGCTCTATTAGGACCAAAACATACTGAATAAAACCAAGAGATATGTATGCTAGTAAACTTACGTTAGCTAGTTCCATTTGAATGTTAGACTCCATCGGTTCTACTTCTTGAATCGATAATTGTGACTTAAAGTTAATACTACAGTTTGTAAATCTTAAAAATTGATCTTAGAGCTTCTTGCTTCTATCAAGCAAAATAACCAGAACTACATAATGTATCAATATCAGATCATGACTTGTGCTTGAGCTTCCATTTGATTATTAACAAGCCGAATCAAATTTTTCAATGTGAGAAGATATACAGCTCTTTTCTAAAATTTTCTTCTCTTCTCTATTTTTATAAAACCATAAAATATGAAGAGTGAAAAGATTGTTCTCAGATTTTGTCACTACAGAGAGTCAAGAGACCTATATTTGTAGAACAGCTCTGCTCAACTTCTTCACCCAAAGCCAATAACTGTTACAACTTACAAGTCTACAAACTACCTTCAAAAAGAGAGATATCTTCTACTGAGTAACCATCTTAATTAGTACCAAATCCAAATGGTTATGTAAGTTAATTCATAAAACCTTTTCTGATGTACTGAAGTTATATCTGTTTCATAAAACCTTTCTCTATTGAAGTTATCAACGAATCTCTTATTCTCTTAGGAATGTTTCGCTATGGTCATAATCTGGCTCGCATGTGGGTGTGTATGTGTACTGATTACCTAGGAAATAACAGATGAATCAAATCAAGAGATGAATAAGTCATTGAGATTCTCACTTGGGAATAATCTATCTCACTCTTAAACAAGTAGGAATTTTCTCGGATACACAACTCCAGGTCTCGGATTTTCTCTTCCTTGTTAAGCAATTCTTTGTTTTATTTTTTTGATGAATTGATGATTCTTTTAAGTTTTAACTTTTAACAATACACAAAGAAACAAAAAAAAAAGCCTATGAAATGTTACCAACCAAACAAGAGAAAACAAACAAAAAAACAGTGGGATCGTCATGTAATCTCTTGGATAGAAATCATCGCTGAGATGTAACGTAATAAGATGTTTGTGAGCATATTGCTATATTTACCCTAACGTGTCAAAGAATTAATGAAAGATACATAAGACTCAGATTTGCCTTATGGTTCTACTTCTTGAATCGATAATTGTGACTTAAGAGGGCTTATTATTAGATGAATTTTAAAAGATTTCAAGCTGGCGTGACTTGTGAAGTTAAGCTATCATAATAATAAAAAAACAAATGTACTAGACCAGTCAAATCCAAATACTCATCACATGGAAAGACCTTAAAAATCATTTCTTGAGAATGTAAATCTGAAGAGATTCGTTTTATTTGCAGGCTTATCTCTCAATACATAATTTGATGAGAGAGAGAGAGAGAGAGAGAGAGAGAGAGAGAGAGTAATGAGTTCAATGTGATGAAAACTTAGAGCAAAAACTGATGTATTATAAATTAAAAGTTGATGAAATCCAAATAACAGTAAGAGAGAACAATACGATAAGAGTTGAAATCCAGAATACAAAGCCTAAAGTAAATAAAATGTATATGAAAGCGTTGAACACACACACTTACATAAACTTGAGATTCTCCACATAGTGTATAAAAGTGTGAACACTACGACACTCAAACTCTTCAAATCCCTGAATAGTGACGCTTGTAAAAGTTCCCCTCTCAAGATTGTAGAAGTAAACGCAGTAAGGCTTTGATTTGTTGCCGTTTATGTACGACGACCACACGATATCACCTGTAGCAGTCATTCCAACAAACAATTTCTCTCTGATTGAAGTAGGCACTTGGTAGGTCTGCTTGGACCATTTATGATTTCCAGCATCTTCCATAACCCACAACACAAGTTCTTTGACGTTATTTATTCTTTCATGTATACCTAATTTGCCTTTGTAGTTGATCAAAGTCAAAGATTCATATTCATGAGCCTTCATCATGTCTTTATCTAAATTAATAAAGTCGAACTTCTCAGACCTAACGTCGAAGCAAACTATCACAGAAGTATCTTCCATGTTAGCTCCGAAATACAAAACACCGTCTATGCATATTTGACCATGCACTCTACTATACTCCACAAAATCGAATGCAAATCCGATCCTTCTCCAGAAACGTTTTCCAGACTCCAATGTCAAAACCTGATGAGTATTGGGTCCCTCACAAAGAGACGAGATCATACACAGCAATTTGAACTGTTTGCTGATTGGATCATATCCAAAACAGAATCTTGAAATATAAGCATTCTCTGTGTGGGGTGATTTCAGAACCACTCTTGGTAAGGTTAGGAACTTTCCGGTGATAGGGTTACAAATCACCTTTCTTATTACTTCACCACCTTCATGAAGAAAGGTCAATCCACAGACCGGGGTACAGTAAACACATGGAACATTTTTGCGGGATGACATATGGTAACGTGTGGCTACAAGAGAAGAGTTCTTATCTGGATTGTGAGGCTGAGGTGCAGAGTAGAAGAACAATTTCCCATCATAAATAGAATACAAGGTGAAAAGGAGACGTGGACGAGTGGAAGATTTGCTCAGAAACAACTCAGTGAAATAAGGAAGACCAAATTTGTATTGCCAGAATTTCGATACGCAACGGAACCTTGCTATAGACTTTGTCGGTACTCGAGAGAATATATCGAGAAGTAGATCAACTAGGAGTGGCTCTGAGTATGTTGTTCTTGCAGACTTGTGAGATTGTGTTTCCTTTCCGGAGGTGATTGACAGATTCTCCGAGAAGTGCTGCTCAGACTTTTCCATGGCGGCGATTGTACAAACCCCGTAGAATCAGTTTCACGAGCTTTAAAGAGTTTAAGACGAACCAAACCCTACACTTTAGCATTCTTGATATGCAAGAATTTCTAAATGGGCTCTATTAGGCCCAAAACATACTGAATAATACCAAGATAATTGTGACTTAAAGTTATTTCTACAGTTTGTAAATCTAAAAAAAAAAAGATATAAGAGCTTCTTGCTTCTATCAAGCAATAATGTATGAATATCAGATTATGACTCGTGCTTCCATTTGAATGTTGTGAAGCACTCTCTCTGTTTCTACAAAGTTGGGCTGGACTTGACTAAATTAACACCGAATCAAAAATTCCTCAAACCAACTATGAATCAATGTGAGAAGATTTACAGCTCTTTTCTTAAGTTTTCTTCTCTTCTCTATTACGAAACCATAAACTATGAGACTGAAAAAGATTGTTCTCAGATTTTGTTACTACAGCTCTGCTCAACTGCTTCACCCAAAGCCAATAACTGTTACAAGTCTACAAACTACCTGCAGAAAGAGAGATTTCTTCCACTGAGTTAACCATCTTAAGTAGTACCAAATCCAAATGGTTATGTAAGTAAAGTCACCAAACCTTTTTGATGTACTGAAGTTATATCTCTATTGTTTCAATGGTGAGGATGACGACGCTTGGCTCTGCGATACCCGGTGATGGTTTCTTGTTTATGGCTGTATCTCTTTTTCCTCTTAGGACTGTTTTGACCCACAAACAAAAGATGCAATTTTGTAATTTACTTTCTCATGCACAAGATTGAGACTTTTGTAAAAGCAAAGTTAAAGACTATTCTTGGAAGATGTTCAAAGCTTACTTGGAGACTGCAGAAAGCAATTTGATGATGAATATTAGAGGGAAGCCAATCAACGCCGTGGCCTGTAAGAAGTACAAAAATAACATAAAGGGTTTTGTAAATTGTTAAATTTTTGTAAGAAAATTATTTAGAAATTGCAAAACGGTAGAAAACACATACCCCAACCCAAGCTAAATCCATGGTAGCAATCGGTTTCGTAACCTCATTGTTCTTGAGCATTTCTTGAGCCTTGGTATTCAACAGAATGAGCTTTAATACATACTCTCTTACTCTAAATTTGAAATTCAAAAAGCTAGCAAGCAACATGAGGTGTATTGTATACCTGCTGATGGTAGATTTTGGTGGAGTTAACCAGCTTCTTAAAGCCATCTCTTACGGTTTTGGTATATGGCTCTAAGACAACTTGCACTTTCTCCAAGTGTGGTTTCGCTATGGTCATGATTTGGCTCGCGTATGGGTGTGTATGTGTCCTGATTACCTAGAGAAAAAAAAAACAGACAATGTTCCAAAATGTTTTAATGTAATGTTGAAGAGAGACAGTGGAGTGAACATAGAGATGGAAATATGTTAAACCTCAAGATAGTAGCATGAAACGTCATATCCTTGGATGAGATGTGGTGTGAAAGCCTCCTTGGAGATAGATAACACTTCGATGGACTTGTCGGTTAGATACTGAACTTTTGGTTCGAGGTAAATGGTTAATGTTACAAAAGCATCTTTGATGCTTGGAATCCATTTCTATAAAATCAAGAGAAGAATGTCTCAGATCACAGTATCAAGTAAATGGAAAGTAAACAAGTTTGTAGTGAGATTGAATTTGAAACTCACTGAGTTCAGTGTTTCAATGTGAGGCTCTGACCATTTCTGGACCTGTTCAATTTTCCGGGACACCTGAAGAAAAACATAAACAGAGAAGAAAGGACTTCTCTTTAGAGGAAGCGGGAAACTAAAAACATTCAGGTTTAGTTTTGAAACGTAGACAAACCTTTTGAAGAGTGATATGAAGAGTTGGGCTAATATGTTGGTGCCATAGAGTTATTAGATATGCCTGCAATCATTAAACAGAGCATTAGAAGAGTAATCACTAAGATTTATGCAATGTTATGCGTCTTAGAGCTTTTAAAATTTACCTGAGTTTTATTCTGGTTAAGACCAAACTTAGAAGAGAACCACTTCCCATCAATCTAAACATGAGACAACAAAAAAAAGTACAGTGAGCTTCTTGAACTTGCACATCAAAAATCCTAGAGAAGCCATATCTCTTACATTTTTAAGCTTTGAGCTAAGTTCTGCAACTTTCTTGTCTGCGATTTCAACTCTAGTTTCCACTTCAAGCCGTCTCTTCCGTTGCAATTCCACTTCACGTTTTAGTCTAAACACCTGTCAATGCAGACTTAACAAATCAATTTTGACTTAAAGGTAACGAGGCAAAAGATAATAACATATAGCTCAAACTACAAAACCAACCTGCTTCTCAAGTTCATAAACCTTTTCTTCTGCTTCACTAGCGTGTTGCAGCGAGCTCTCAGACTATAATAAGCATTATAAAACCAGTAAAAGTAAATAACTTTCTGCTGCATCTTTGTAAATTGTAACCAAATGAATCAAATTAAGAGATGAATGAGAATCTCACTTGGCAAAAATCTATGTCACTCTCAAACAAGTAGGATTTTTCTCGGATATACAACTCCAGTCCTCGGATTTTCTCTTCCTTGCTAAGCAGTTCTTGGTTTTTCTCCTCGATGATTAATTCTTTTAACAATACACAAAGAAACAAAAAGCCTTTAGCAACCAAATCAAGAGAGAACAAAACACACATGATACAGCTGAGAAATTGTCAAAAGTGGTCAACTCAGAAACAAAACGTTACAAAAAAAAAAACAAAACGGAAGCTAAAAGAATTAAAACGTCTCTATCTTTCTAAAAAGGTTAAAATAAGCAAAAGAAAATCGATTTCTTTCCGAATTTCCGACTTAAAATTTCTCAGAAACCAAACATTGTAACATAACTTCTTATGAACCGTTACACATTTCTCCAGAATCTCTCAAGCAATCCGACAAATAAAAAAAAAAAAAAAAAAAAAACAAACCTTTTTCACATTCGCTACAGTTCTTCAGAAATATCCAGCAAAATTCAGCTAATTGTCGACAATTTTTTAAAAAAGACTAAACCTTTACGAGACTGAAGCTAATTATCCGGGGCAGAATCTGGAGAAACAGAAACAAAATCGACAAAAATGGTCAAAGAGATGTGGGAACGTACGGAGAGTGGAAACGGTGGATTTGAGTTTGTAACAGCCATTGTTCTCTGAGGAGGGAGAAGAAGAAGAAGCTTCTTCATTTCCAGTGGATGAAGACGAGTTACAAGCGATCTCCCGGAAATTAGTGAGCGTAACGAGAAAAAGAAACAAAAGTGCCTTAGAAAACGCCATTATTGGAGACTGCAACAGAGGACTTAGCAGAGAGCGCAAGTCGCGAGAGACAGTGACATAGAAAGCGTGTCAAGTCAAATAAAGAGTCTTCCTATCTTTTCTTTAATTACATATCTACCCATTTACCTTTAATTAATTTCAGTTTTTTCCCAAATAAAAATGTGTAGATTTGATTCATCTAAAATTAGGGTGCCATTTGATAATATCTTAGATAAATGCCATTTTGGGGAAATCTAAAAAGTTGTAATTATCACCGATCTGACTGTTAATGTCTTAATGAAACTAAAACGGAAAGATATCAACTTAAATGTAAAATATATGTTTTAATGTTCCATTATAGGTTTTTTATATAAAAAAATATACACAGTTGAGTTTTTCTCGTTTTATCTATAAAATATTTATATTTTCTTCGTTTTTTTCTGGCTTATCCTTTTGCTGTAAATATGGATTCTTTCTAAAACAAATTAATGACCAAATATTTGAAAATATATTTAAGTATATGTAAAAATCTAGAGATGAGATGACTCATATCTATTATCAGATTCACCAAAACTGTATATTTATATAAGTTGATTTGTCATTTTCAATAAATTTTGGCAAATTAAATAACTAGTTTTTGGATTATCTCTTTGTGTATGTTATATTTTTCTCTACTTAATTATCATTTAATTTATAATCTGTTAATTAACAGCTATTCAAAGATGAGTCACACGATAGAAAACTTTTTCTTTTCTTTTTACATTACTTTCATGATTAGAAAGAAATCATATTACAAAATTCTTACTATAAAACACCAAAAATACATATTTTTCTCTTTTTGTTGAAATTTTATTTTTCCAAATGATTTTAATCTTTCAACTTGTAGTAAGTTTTCTATCATAAACCAATCAGTAGCGCACTATCATAAACCCATCACTGGCCCAACACTCTTGTTTAACGTACAAAAATTTACCATATAAATTGGTTGAAATCGGAATTTACCATGGATGAGATCAAACTTACATTCAGCAATGAGAAAAGAAAAGAGGATGTTTTTTTTTTCAAATCATAGTACAAAATAGTAAAATAGACTTTGGTAAACAGATAAAGTGTTTATGGATCCAACTACTGACGAACACATTGTCTCGCAATAATAGTTATTTGTAAGTGCCAATCATATCATAATAACACTGTCACAAAATCAAATCTCACGTTCGTTATATAAATGACTAAACTTATCAATTTAAGTCAAACTCCACAATATTATGATTTAACGACTAATATATCGGTGGTGCAAGATCACCAAATAACGTCGAGTTAGTCTAATTATCGATTTCTGAATCATTTTACCCAAGGAAAACCAAACCATCACATTTAAATTATATATAATCTTGCTGAATTCCATAATTTCACGTTTATACCGTCTATATGTTCTATGTTTTTCTTTTTACTGTGTACCACTTCAACCACCCGATACTAACCACGTCTTCTTGTTAGAATCACAATAATTCATACACGCTGTTTGGTACAGAATCTATCTATGTGCATATGTCGCATGACAGAGTAGTATCAATATAACCAATAATCTACCCATCATAAGACTCACAACCAATAAATAATGCATTTTAATTGCCAACAATCCCCATCTTTTTTTTTCGTGACAAGACTAGAGCCCCAGCTGAATTTTATTAAAAACCAGAAAAGAAGAAGAAGTATATGTCCCAGTTGATATATAATTTTATTTCACCGCTTGCCCTATAATGTACGAGGCTGAATTTGTTTGTAGCTAATTATAAATATACAAATCTACCACAACGTACGTAACAAGACGAATATAAATACTGCTTATACCATGAAAATAGAGCTTTTTATTCTTTATCTTAACTACAAGCATGACAACAGGAGAGAGACCTAGTCATAACTCATAAATGAGTATCCGAATTTAAATGGTTCACCAGTTATAAACTTATAATATTATTATTATATATTAATAAATAAAAGGTAATAAAATAAACAAAAAACCTAGTTTTGCCTCTCGGTGACGCAATAATAGAAGCTTACCAAAAAATTGGCCTCTCGCTCGCCTATAAATAAGATATCGAGTTTAGCGTCGAAAGGGTATGCTAATTGCAATATATCTCCAACACTGTCCCTTTCCTCTCTCTCAATATCAACTCTTTGCATTCTAGACCGTCGGATTATTACTATTGGTCTTAATCCAACGGTCGTGATCCAATTTGATTGAAAGAGTCTCATCGTCTCTCAACCACCAGATTCTTTCTCTCTTCTCCGTCAAACCCTTCTCTACGAAATCACCGAAAAATCGACCCCAGCGACCAGATCCTCGATCCGCCTCCGTCGCCGTCGGTTTCTTACGGTTCAGCCGCCTTTTCGAACTGTGTTTCTCGCCGGAGCTTCTCTATTTCCAGCGAGAGGGAGATTGGGATTGAGATTTCTTAGGGCATTTCTGTATTTTCATTAAGCGATCCGAGATTCCGAGAAACCCTTAGAGAGGGTTGCTGCTCCCCCGCCGACACCGTCAGTGGTTCGTTTTGCTCGATCTCGATATTTGATTTCATTTGCTATATCTTAATTCATCGGTTATGTTTGTTCATATGCGTAATTACTGGTTTGATCACTATGCATACCTCTGGGTTTATCCAATTTAATGTTCGTCTTTCGAATTTAGGCTCCTGCGAGTCATAGATTGCTTACTTGGGTGTTTTTTTTTTCCTATTTGCATCAATCAAACTTGCAATACCTGTTTAGTTGATGATACATTCGAACTGAGTAAAGCAAAATAGACTGGATTAGTGGATTCACATGCTCAAAATTAGTGAAATACTTCTAATCGAGCTGCTTTTATTAAACTGTTTCAATCAATTAGGTTCCTGATGAACTTTTCGTTTGGCTCTTAAGTTTTTTTGTATTAGCAGAATAATTGATTTGTTGTTTCTGCTGCATTTAAACTCTCTTTGCAGAATCTGGTGTCTTCAGAGGGGATACATCTTTTGATTTTCGTGGGATTTTTCACTGTTTATGACTATACATACGAGATGGCTTCAGAAGGAAAATTGTTATTTGATCTTAATGAACTTCCTACAGAAGATGATGATGTGAGTGATCATGTAAACCGCGATCAGCCACAGAACGCTATTCCATCTACAAACGCCAATAACTCTGGCTTGCTTGCAACACCATCGTTCTCCCAAGATAACGTAAACAACCGATTGTTCTTGCATGCATCAACAGTTTCTGGTTTTCAGCCTTTTGTCCGCCCTATAGCTGCTCAACATACGGATGTAGCAAGTGACGAGGAAGCACAAGTTGCATCATCAATGGTTCCAAATGATGCCGGAGCACCTGAGAGAGAAGAAGGGGAATTGACAGAATCGGAGGTTCCTGCCAATGAAAATGTACATACTAGTTCCGATAGCAATGTGGGGTTGCGAGAAAATGGTGTCTCTTCTGATTATTCTAATAGCGCAATAGGATCAGATGGCATTGCTAGAGATGGTGCATCTATAGATGGTCTGCAAGAGCAGGGTTCGACGGTGAGGCAGAGAGAACCTAGAGGAGCTGAAGCAAGTCATGCTCTCAGGTACGCAAATACCACTGTGAAAAGGAAGTTTGATCAACAGAAAGAGACTATGTTGGGAAAGAAACGCAACAGGCAGACCGTGTTTCTTAGTCCGGAAGATCTCAAGCAAGCTGGTCCTATGAAGACAACAACGCCTAAAAGGCAGAATTTCCCACAACCTGTTGTCACACGCACAGTTAGAGAACCTCGTGCAGGTTCTACACCTGCTGAGCAAGGAGGCGGCGCTCCAGGGCATGTTGTATATAGGGATCAGAAACCAAATGACATACCTAATGGTGGCATACATCCTGAAACTTCTGAACAGAAGTTAGAGTCTAATGGTGAAACACAATCCGGAATGGGCGGTAAACCTAGGAGGATGAACGGGGATGCAGGATCTTCTGTTGAAGGGACATCGACATCTGTGTCAAGGCAGGGTTCATTGAAGCAGCCAACTGTTTCACGGCAGTCAAATAGACAAGTCTCCTTGGGCAATCAAAGCTCTGCAGACTCAAAGTTTGGAAACAAGAAATTTCCTTCGTTCAAGAAGTCAGCCCCAAATAGTAACCAATACCAAGATACATCTGTGGAGCGTCTTATACGAGAGGTGACCAACGAAAAGTTCTGGCATCATCCAGGTATGTCCTATCATTGTATTTCTGCTTCTGGAACTCGTGTTTGAGTGCTCCTATTTTTTTCAGTTAAGTTATCTTGATTTAAGGTAGGAACTTTTATGCCAATTAAATCTACTGCTTTGGTGCCAGTTCCCTGTGTCCTCAATCATGGCTCAGTGAGAATCGTAATGGCCACATGATTTGGAAGGTGATACGATTAAATCATACTTGTAAAAGTAGATGAAACAAAAATCTTCTAGTTTGTGTTAAGCTTCTTATGTACGTGTCCTGTTTCATCTCACAGTTCTCTTTAGTTAAAGATGCTCTCTCCTGATGTATTGTAGATACATATTTTAGTATTTTGTTCCTGTTTCATCCTTGGTAGTATCTCTTACCTGTTAAGGCCTTAAGAACAGGGGAGTATTAAAGTCCATTTTCTTAGACATGCACTTGATAGAACATTGTCGATATAAATCGTTGATCAGGTTAGCTCTTTGAGGCGTTAATCATCTCGGCTAGGGAAGCTTTTTTGGCCCAGTATAGTTAAATTGGATGACTTTGATGCTTATGTAAAAGCTGAATGGTCTATAAAGTGAACATTAGATATTGGTAGGCTCTTTGATTGACATGCCTTCTTTCTGTACACTTCTGTTTTTTGCCTGTTTACCCGTGTAATTGACTCTTTTGCCTAACATATTCTTGTGTATAGAGGATGCTGAGCTCCAGTCTGTTCCTGAGCGGTTTGAATCCATGGATGACTATGTTAGAGTGTTTGAGCCTCTACTTTTTGAGGAGTGCCGGGCACAACTTTATAGTACTTGGGAAGAATTGTCTGAGGCAAATTCATACATGAAGGTCAGAATAAAGTCAGTACTTCCAAGAGAAAGAGGTAATCTTTGTTTGACATATGTAAAGCATTCTGGACAAAAATGTTTAACTCTCTACTTACTGTTCTCTTATAACCCGACTGCCAACCTTTGTTTCTATCTGCTTTAGGATGGTATGATGTGATACTTCTCTCAGTAAATGAATGTAAGTGGGCTTTTAAGGAGGGCGATGTTTCAGTTCTTTCAAATCCTGCGCCTGAAGGTATGGTTGGAACTCGTACATTGTCTGGTTGTTTTAATTTTCTGGTGTTTGTCTGCATATTCTTTAATATTGTCGTTTTTTTATGTTTAGAAGGAGAGCATGAGGATGCTGGACGTGTAGCTGGTACAGTTAGGAGATATATACCAGTTGATACTCGAGATCCTCATGGAGCAATTCTCCATTTCTATGTTGGAGACTCTTTTGACTCCAGGTATATGCTTACTTTTTAGTTATAAATGCCATATCTGAGTTTCTACCCAATCTTACTGGAAGCGTTTATTTTCTCTCTCTCATTTTTTTTACTTGGTAAATTTCTTTTCCAGCAAGATTGACGATAATCATGTTTTACGGAAGCTTAAACCGAAGGATATCTGGCATATGACAGTGCTTGGTTCACTTGCAACAACACAGAGAGAATATGTTGCTCTGCATGCGTTTTCCCAGCTTAACCCACAGGTTGGTTTTGTTTCCTCTAACAATTCTTTCATAGTTGCTTTCAGTTTTGCTTACACTGGTGAAACTCATATACCTTTCAGATGCAAAATGCAATTCTCAGGCCCAGCCCAGAGCAGTTTCCTAACTACGAGGTGCAGACTCCTACAGTGCCCGATTGTTTTACTCCGAGCTTCGTTGGCCATTTACATAGAAGCTTTAATGAGCCACAGTTAGCAGCAATCCACTGGGCTGCAATGCATACAGCAGCTGGTACGAGCAGTGGGGCGAAGAGGCAAGATCCATGGCCATTTACTCTTGTTCAGGGACCTCCAGGAACAGGCAAGACACACACAGTTTGGGGAATGCTGAATGTTATCCATTTGGTTCAGTATCAGCAGTATTACACTTCCTTACTGAAGAAATTAGCTCCTGAAAGTTATAAACAAGTTAATGAGAGCGGTTCAGATAATATTGTATCAGGGTCTATTGATGAGGTCCTTCAAAACATGGACCAGAATCTGTTTCGCACACTGCCAAAACTGTGTGCTAAACCAAGGATGCTCGTTTGTGCTCCTTCGAATGCTGCAACCGATGAACTTCTCTCACGTGTCCTTGATCGTGGCTTCATTGATGGGGAGATGAGGGTTTATCGCCCTGATGTGGCTCGAGTTGGTGTTGATACTCAAACGAGAGCTGCTCAAGCAGTTTCTGTGGAGCGAAGAAGTGATCAGCTATTAGCTAAGTCCCGCGATGAAATTCTAGGACACATGCACAACCTCAGATTACGAGAAGCTCAGCTATCTCAAGATATTGCTGGACTTAAAAGGGAACTTACTGCTGCAGCCTTTGTTAACCGTTCTCAGGGATCCGTTGGCGTTGACCCTGATGTTCTGATGGTTAGAGACCAGACCAGAGACGCATTGTTACAGCGCCTTTCTGCTGTTGTTGAAGCCAGAGATAAAGATCTTGTTGAAATGTCTCGCCTTCTTATTGTTGAAGGAAAGTTTCGTGCTGGTTACAGTTTTAATCTAGAAGAAGCTCGTGCAAGTCTTGAGGCAAGTTTCGCGAACGAGGCCGAAATCGTGTTTACAACCGTCTCAAGCAGTGGTCGTAAACTGTTTTCTCGTCTTACGCATGGCTTCGATATGGTGGTCATCGATGAGGCTGCTCAAGCTAGTGAGGTTGGAGTTCTTCCTCCCCTTGCTCTCGGTGCTGCAAGATGTGTACTTGTCGGTGATCCTCAGCAGCTTCCTGCTACAGTTATTAGCAAAGCCGCTGGAACACTTTTATACAGTCGAAGTCTCTTTGAAAGGTTTCAGTTAGCAGGTTGCCGAACTCTCTTGTTAACTGTTCAGTATAGGATGCATCCTCAGATACGCGATTTCCCTTCAAGATACTTCTATCAAGGACGTCTCACGGACAGTGAAAGTGTTTCCACTGCTCCTGATGAGATTTACTACAAAGACTCTGTGCTTAAGCCTTACCTTTTCTTTGATATCAGCCATGGACGGGAATCCCATAGAGGTGGATCGGTGTCTTACGAAAACATTGATGAAGCTCGCTTCTGTGTTGGGATCTACATGCATCTTCAGAGAACTCTGAAGTCATTGGGTGGGGGTAAAGTCTCGGTTGGTGTGATAACCCCATACAAACTGCAGCTGAAGTGCCTGAAAATCGAGTTTGGTAATGCTTTGGGCCAAGATGAGCTCAAAGAGATTTACATCAATACTGTAGACGCGTTTCAGGGTCAAGAACGTGATGTCATAATCATGTCGTGTGTTCGTGCTTCCAATCACGGTGTGGGCTTTGTTTCTGATATCCGGCGGATGAATGTTGCTCTCACCCGCGCTAAAAGGGCTCTTTGGGTATGATGATCTCTCAATCTCATCATTTTATTTTGTGTGTGTATGTTATAAATATGTGTCTGGTTTCTGAGCCTCGTTGTTCTTGAACAGGTGATGGGAAATGCATCTGCTCTGATGAAGTGTGAGGATTGGGCAGCACTGATCACAGACGCGAGAGCAAGGAACTGTTTTATGGAGATGGAGTCTCTTCCCAAGGATTTTCTGGTTCCAAAGGTACCTAGCTTTATCCCAAAAGCGCCGAACGCTAGAGGTTTCAGATCGGGTGGGCCGAGAACCAGAGCCATCGATTTGCACAGTGAGTCCAGGTCAGGGACACCATCCGAAGAGGACGAGAAGCTGAGCGTAACAACATTTCAAAGAAATGGAAATCCTCGAAGGGAGAATTCAGTTGATGATTCTGATCAGTCCGGAGATAGATATAGAGATGCTTGGCAACATGGGATTCAAAGGAGGCAGAATTTTGGACGGCCTTTAGGGAGAAGAGACTAATGTTTGAAGTTGGGCTGTCGTGGAAAGAAGAATCGAGAGGAAGTGATGAAACCAGCTAAGAGCAGATCGGACCATGGGCATTGCAAGTCGGGGCTGTTGCGGAAAGATGAATCAAGAGGAAGTGATGAAACCAGTTCGGACCATGGTCACTCTGGTTCCAAAGGTAGCTAGAGGTTTCGGATCGGGTGGGCGAAGAACCGGGTCCACCGATCTGCACACTGAAATCCAGGCCAGGGATACCATCGAAGAGGACGAGAAGCTGAGCGTAACATTTCAGAAAAATGAAAATCCTCGTAGGAGTTGGCGTTTTGTACATAATCCATGTTATGAAACTCGTTCTTATTATATTTTTCTTCATTCTATTTGTTTTTTTTTCTTAAACTCATGTTCTTTAGTATATCTGATCAATGAAGAATCTTATATTCATCAACTTGTCCGTTACTCTTCCTTTAATAGACTCATTCTACTTGGGGAACAAAAGAAAAAAGATGTTGTGTTCGGTAGTAAAACACTTTTGACAATGATAAGACTGAAAGGTAAGCGAAAAAGATTCATTCACAATGCCTTGATGAATCACATAGTTTCTCTATCAATACAACAACAAAATGCAAGCGAGAAGAAGCAAAAGTTTACTCAATCACAATCTCTTTCAAGCCTACTAAGCCAGCAGCCTTGGGATGGTGGTGATGGTGATGGTGATGGTGACTGTGACTGTGACTGTGGCTCTTCTCTCTACTGCTACAGTTAGATTTGCAAGCCTCCTTCGTTTTCACCTCAGAACAAGTCTCTTCTTCATCTTTCTTAGAACTTTCACAGCAGCTTGACTCACAATTCCCATCGCTCTTCACTTTCAAGCTAGCTACTACACTATTAGCAGGCTTCGAGCAACAACCTTTGACAGAGACTTTCATCTCCTCTTGCTCATCTCCATCAAGATTGACTTCTTGTATAGTTGAGTGACTTGAGTCAGTTCCACAACAAACAGACTTGCAATCACCATCACCAATTTCCCGGCCAATCTCGTGCGAGTCAACAACATGCTTGTTATGACAGCTTTGTTTCGCCTTTTCTTGGTGAATCTTGTCACCACAACACCCCGAGTCACGGCCTTGTCCCAAATCAGCAGGCTCTGCACAACACTTCTCTCTCATAACCCTTACAGTTTCTTTATGTTTCTTCTCGCAACAACCAGAGTGACCATGGTCCAAACTGGCTTTTGCTGGTTTCACCACTTTCTCTTCATTCTTCTTGCCACAACAGCCTGACTTGCAATGACCATGGTCCGAACTAGTCTTAGCTGGTTTCACCACTTCCTCTACTTTCTTCTTTCCACAACATCCTGACTTGCAATGCTTATCACTGCTCTTTGGTAACAACCCTGCTTCCATGTCCCCAGCACCATCATCACCTTCATGCTTCTCCGCATTCAAAACAGAGTTTCTATAGCATTTGTCACCAGCTTTCTCTTTATCCCTAAGCAACAACATGCTGTTGAGGATCACAAGGAGACAAGTTCCAACATCTGCAAGCACAGCTGCCCAAATCAACGGGTGACCAGCAAATGCCAAAGCAATAATTGCTGCTTTCATAGTGATGGACATGACCACATTCTCCACCACTTTCTTCTTCGATCTCTTGGCTAGCCTTATCGCCTGTGGTATTCTTCTGATGTCGTTGGACATCAGAATTATATCACCGGTCTCTGTTGCAAGCGCAGAGCCGGAAATGCCCATTGAGATACCAATATCCGCAGTAGCCAAAGCTGGTGCATCATTCAAACCGTCTCCTACCATAGCCGTTGCTCCTCCTCTCTTGAACTCTTTGATGATTTCTGATTTGCCTTCTGGAAGAAGTTCCGCATGCACAACATCTATAGCATTCCCTAGCTGCTTGTTCAATATAAACAATGTCAAGTTCTCATTAGTGAAATCTAAGTTTGAGGAGAAGTATCAAACTCAAAAAAGTTGATTCTCACCTGTTCTTGAGCATGCATTGCTGCAGCTTGATTATCTCCGGTAAGCATCGCAGTCTTGATCCCCATAGATTTCAGCTCTTTCATCGCTTGAGCTACACCGGATCTACAAGCATCTGAGAGATTGAAAACTCCAGCTAGTGTCTCTCCAACATAGACATATCCAACAGTCTTTCCTCCTTTTGTATCAACATCAATATCTGGAGCTGTGAACATACACACAAAGCAAGAACCATCAGAGAGCAAAGAAAAAGAAAAAAAACCTCAATGCTTCAAATACATTACATTCACTTGATATGCACCTGATGAACAACCAGCTCTGGAAGCAATCCTTTTGTTACCAATATAGACATCTTTGCCATCAACTTTCCCGTAGATTCCTTCTCCGGGGAAGTTCTGGTAGTCCTCAACCGCTTCAGGCTTAGGCTCAACAGAGACAGACTTTGCATAGTCCACAAGTGCAGCTGCCATTGGATGGCTTGACTTGCTCTCTGCGCTTGATACCCTGATATAAGTCATCATATTCCAAAACTCTCAGACAAATCCATAAAACCACAAGTGTCTTTAGTAAAGTTGTTAAAAGGTTAGAGAAAATGTTATCACCAGTAAAGCAAGGTGTGAAGACTTATGTCTCTGGAAAGTGACTTGAAGTCCATGACGACGAACTCGCCTCTAGTGATGGTTCCTGTTTTGTCGAAAGCAACGGTCTTAATCTTGGCTAAGGTCTCAAGACAATCAGCTCCTTTGATCAGAAGTCCAGATGTGGCTGCTTTAGTGAGGGCACAGAAAGAGGCTACTGGTGTAGAGAGGATAAGTCCACAAGGACAAGCACTTACTAACACAACGAGTGCTAAGTGAAGCCAATGTCTCGGGTTGTGAACCTTTAATATTAGTGGGATCACCGCAAAACAGAGTGATATTAGGATGATCGCTGCATACAAAGGCAATAGAACTTGATAAGGTCTCAAGAACACAACAAAAGATGTAATGAATAAAAACCAAAATCAGTTTGTGGTTTCGGTTACTAACCTGGAGTGTAGTACTTAGAACATTCGTCTATAAACCTCTGAGTTTTGGTTTTGCTGTTTTGAGCTTCTTCTACGAGCTTTGCCATCTTTGCAACCACGCAATCCTCAGCTAGAGCAGTGGTTTTCACAGTTATGTAACCTGGAAAAACAGAGGAGCTCAAAAATATCAAATCTTGAAAGTGCGAAAGATCATAAAAGAAAAGTGGAGAAAGCTTGAGACTTTTCTTACCATTTAGATTGATGGTTCCAGCCCAAACCGTTGAATCTTTCAGTTTAGGCACAGGGAATGCTTCGCCGGTTAAGGTTTTCTCATCAACTTCACAGTTTCCATCCACAACAACTCCATCAATTGGTATGGTTTCACCAGCTTTGACAGCTATAACTGTGTTGATCTTGAGGTCGTCCACTGCAACTTCTTCTCCAGTCTCTGCAATCACTGCCTTTTGTGGAGCTAAGCTCATCAGCGACTGCATCACCGCGGTTGCCTGAAATGTGTCATCTTGATCAGCAATCACAATATCTTTGTAAGTTGAATGGAAAGAGAATGAAAAAGGGTGGAAGCGAAAACCTTATAGCTAGCTCTTGTTTGGAGCCATTCAGCGATTGTGAATAAGAAGACAACTGCTGCTGCTTCTGTGTAGTCTTGCATAGCGAGTGTTGTTCCCACTGATTTAAACATTGGAAGAGCATTAGCTATTAAAAAGACTAGCATTCATTGGAGAATTATACAAGATTTTGTGTATTATTATGATATTTTTTTTACTAACATTTTATTATTAGTCAAAGTTATTTTGTTTATGCATTCGAGTTATGTTTCAAAATGTTAATTTTTAGTGTTAGCCTGTTAGGTTTGCAAAAAGTAGCTTTTTTGTTGCATTTCTCTTTTGGTACTAAAAGGCCAAATGCAGCGGAAAAAGACACACACACACACACACTAAACTACAGAACAATAACTTTGTGTTGACCACTAAATTGACCCATTACAATATCATCTACTATAGACTATAGTCTATAGCCATTAATCTCTTTCTTTAACGTATACCTTAATTGATATTGTGAGAAATGTGATGAATATATCATATAAATTGGAGAATTATATTAACGTAAAGAGGGAAAAAAAAAATGAAAACATTACCGGTTATTACAACAAGAATGTTGATGTCGATGGCACACCTTGCAATAGCTGCGACAGATTTGGCCAGTATGGGATAGATTCCGGCGACAACGGCAGCAACGGCGAGCCAACGGAAAGGAGAGTAAAGATATTTGAAGAAGGAAAGGAGGAGAAGCACGCCGGAAAGCACCGCGAATGGACTTGGCCATTTGTTTTTGAAATTGGTTTCTCCGGTTACCCTCACATTTGCTTCTAACCTCGCTTGATTCAGTGCCTTAACTGCAACCACGACAATTAATTAAATATAAAGTAATAAAAACAAATTCCCCCACTGAACTAATGAAGTCAATGGAAACAACAAAAAACAATAAAAAAAAGTTGGAAACTTTTAAAAAGGAAAAGATATAAACGACAACGTTAATCCTGTGAATGATGCGTTACGTAATAAGCTCACGTTGTTATTACATACAGTATTTAGCTATAAATTAGACAAAAGTACAAAACAGACGTAGTTAAATCATTTTGAATATTTTTAAGTGTTTACGTAAGTTTGACGACCTTGCTAAGAGAAGAAGTGAGAGATATATCTTACCTGTCAGACTAATATTTAATCTACGCAGAAATAAAACAAAACAAAAGTAAAATGTAGTAGTACTAATTAAACTACTACAAATGTTAATGCATGCACAGTGTCAGTTTCTACGATATTAATGGTAGAATTAAATTAACAGTTGAATTACAAGTGTACGCTTTATTAAATTGTCTGAACAGAAAACGACGTTTGCGTCTGAATGGGACCTTTATTAAATTACCCACAGAGAATTAATGTTTTTGGGTGAAAGTTCTTCGAAAGTTTTACCAATGTGGAACTGGGAAACGATGAGGCTGTCATGGACGACGATGACGGTCCTTGACGGGACGATGACGGAATATTCCTTGACACCGTCTAGAGATTTGAGGATATTCTCAATCAGCGGAACCTCCGATGTACAGCAGATTCCAAGAACATCGAAGTAACTCTTTGTCATCTTCTTCTCGTTCTTCAACGCCATTTTTTTTTCCTTTTAATACTTCTGAGAAAACTGGAAAAAGGAACAAAATTTTGATGATATTACTTATGGGTTTATGTTTATAAGAGAGAAGCAAGAAAATTTTAGGGAATGCACGTAACGTGTTCAAAGAAATTTGTTGAAGAAGACGATGTGTGATAACGTTGTCTTTAGGTTCACTCTACACTTGGCTGAAAAAAACGGAAATAAATTTTGGGGTATGTGTTTTAAGTATTAGGTTGTGTCTGTCATCGAAATTCTGACGTTTCAAAAAAATATACAAAATAAATTTAAAAGCAGAGAGAGATTATTGCAAATTATCGAAACCTTCATCTTTAATATCACAAAGATTCATCATCGAAAAAAGAAAAGTAGAAGATGAAAAAAATGATTAATGGTTTATGTTTTGTTAAAATTGGTTTAATGTTTTGCTGAGGGAGAGAGGAAGAGTCACGAAAACAATGCCAGAGAGAAACAAGAAGAAGAGCGTTTTGGAAATCGTCATGAGATCTTTGTGAAGAAGACATAAGAAGAATACGTACCTGAGGTAGAAGAAACAGAGCTAGCAGAGGAACAGAGAACAATGACCGGACCGGTTTAGTTCGGTTTGGATATATTGTTTTTTTTTTAATGGAAGAGAGGGGAGAATTGGTTTTTCATGTTGAGATTATGATTTGAAGTTTGAAGGTGGAAAGAGGATGAGAGTGGCGATTGCTTTATATAGGGAAATGTGTTAAAAGGTGGACTGAAGATTATTGGTGGTTTTAGTTAACTTCCTTACCATAATCATATTCAATCCAAAATTAATATTTTATTTGTAAAGAATCCTCGAATTTATTATCTTAATAATGTAAATTCCATAGTATTGTGGTAGGCTGCTTCTTTCTGATTCCTATTATCTCGATATTCCAATCTAATCTTGCAATTTCGATTTTTTTATACTAGAAAAGTGAAATTCGATTTTGGTCATGGAATAAAATATTGCTGGAGATTTGTACCTTCGATTTACGGTTTATTTTAGTAAAACAGTAGAGAATTCTATTCGTAATGTCGTGGTTTTTTTGGGGGTAAAATGTGTGAAATTTCTGAAATCAGCATTTGCACCAAAAAAATTTACGGAAATTATCAATGGAATAAAGCAGGGAGAAAAAAATGGACTAAGTTGCCAAACGAAATTTATGCTTCTACCAAAAGTAAAATACATTTGATTTAAATAGTTTTTGGTAATAGTAACATATTTTGCAATTCGTTGACTGGGAAAATATGAAGGTGATTCATTGATATAAGAGTAATTGTTCTGACCAAAAGGTGTTATTTTTAAGTTGAACACACAATTCTTTCAATATATTTGACACTAGTCTCTAAAAATCATGTATTAAGTCAAGATATTTATATTGCATCTGACCACATGAATGGTAATTTATTGATAGAATCACATACCAAAGTTTATCTACATCATTTCAGAGACCGCGAGTTCAAATACTATACGTAAGTATATGTCAAAAATATTTGTAGTTTGACGTAATAATAAAAAGATTTGAGATTGAAGAAATGTTTGGGTTGGAAAACAGGGAGAGAAGAGAAGAGAACTAGTTCGAAACGTCACGAATTAGGCTTACGTTTTACGATATACCTAGAACTATTTTTGTCAAACCTTTTAAGAAAGAATGAAAAAAATAGTTGTTTGGGGAAGATGGTTTTAATCGGGTAGGTCAGAAACACGAGAACAAAGGTGTACTACAAAACCATAGTGGAGAATCCAAAGTACAAATGTCAGAATGGAAATCCATGTGTGATTCCTCATTTCAATGCTTCTTCTTTTTTTTTACATTTTTTCTCTTAATTTTCGCATGTTTTCATTCTAATTACAAAGTCTTTTAACGCACATTTGCTTTTTAGTTGGGCAAAGATTAGACAGAATATATATAAAGATCCTCTGGAAGAGAATACCTCCTGTATGATGAAAATGTAGTTATTAGGCGATACTCACTTCAGTAAATTCGAACACACGTTCTAGGAAAAGCGGCATCAAGGAATTTTTATCCAAATGCGCAGTAGAAGAGTGTTGGTCGACTCGATCCACACCATCACATAAAAAGTATTGGGACCGTTGACCGTAGTCAAACCCATGCCAAGACTTGCCCAATGTGACCACATTAACTTTTTCTTTGTTAAATGGTGATCATAGGGGTAAACTAAAAAGGCCTAAGAAAAGATATTACTTTTTAGTTTTTACAATCGAATTATTTTTATATATTTATGATACAACTAATTATGTACATCAGTATGATCCAGATCCATCATCACCCCCTAATATTTATTTTTTCTTGTTTCTGGCAGTCGAACCCTAGTTTGGTCTATGTATTTATCATTTATGCATTATGAATGGCTGATTTTACGACTCTTGATACGTTTTAAGGGTCATGTAATTGGAATATTTCGTTAACAAAAAGAAATCAAAATCATAGTCAATATTAAGATAAATGGGTAATTGTTGACAGATTTGATAGAGGCCACAACTGCATAGTGGTTACAGTAGCAGTGTAACTGTTCATATCATTGTTGTCGTCGTCCATATGATTACGAAGATAATCATCATCACTATTAACATAATCTTTTATAATAGGTTTGAGTTAATAATCTTAGTGAGAGGTAAAGTGCGGCACTTCCCACCAAATCTTCCATTATTGGCTTCTATTTGCCATTATGGCCGACTTGCACGTATAGTCCACATTATTTTTTGTGTTGTCCATTTTCACGAAAATTCTCCTCAAGTGATGATGATATTCATTTTGTCTACTTTTTCAGGAGATTTTATATTTTCTCCTCCAATTTTTTTCGTATACATAACTGTTTATAATTTGCTCGCATGTGGTTAGTAGTTCATTTCGGAACTAGAAACGAGAATTTGACATCAAAACGCCTTCGTTTATGTGATTAACGCCTTCTATTGATCAACCGAAGATGGCCAACGTTTATTTTTCGTCTCCTTATGTCCACAAGCCTAACCTTTTTTGATGATTATCTTCGTAATCATATGGACGACGACAACAATGATATGAACAGTTACACTGCTACTGTAACCTTTTTTTTTTTTTTTTTTTTTTTTAACCAAGTGGTCGTATCCCAGTGGTACTTGAGGGAGGTAATTCCCAATACGGACCCGGGTTCGAAACCACTTGGCCACAACAGATTTAACATCCCTTCCGTTGGGGCCCTGGACCCCTTTCGAGGGGATAGTCGGGTTTTCCGTTCGGGTTAGATCTTCGGAATAACTGGATACAGCTGGACAAAGCCCAGACCACCGGTTTGGGCTCCATGACTGGTCGGTGACTGTTCGATCGACTCCTCAGACCCGGATACCAGAGATATCAAAAAAAAAAAAAAAAAAGCCTAACCTTTTTTTTTCTATGTTTTATATTTGAAAATATATGCGTCCTTTGAAATCATAAAGACTACAAATCATTTGAGTAAAAAGAGTCTTCAAACAATTTGAGCAGCACACCTCCACTATCTTTTCAAAAGGTTTTCGAGTAGTGGAGGAATCTACTAATGTTTCAAAATAAAACAACTTACTTTCCTTTTAACAAAAACATATCAAAGTAAAAGGCAACGTAAATGAGCCAAACACAAAATAGATAATGTAAACAATCATATAAAATATGTCTAGTGGGAAAGGGAATATAATTGAAATGTGAATTGCAATGATACATATCCTTCTTTTGTGTTTCGATAAGTCATTCTACTTATATTTGTTCTACCACCTGAGACATTAAAATATTAGTTCCCGAATCTTCGGAACTTTTTCTCAGAATAGTAATTTACCTTTATATATTATTGAAAAGTTAAAAAACTACTATGAAAGATAAGACGGGTACAAATGATTCATACACTAACAAGTTTTATGAACAATTCATTGATTTTGTATCTTGAATAACTTCTAATCGATCATCCGAAGATATTTGCCATTTGATCAGAATCGAACTATATCTTTTTTTTATAGAACTCAACTTTAGACTGAACAAATACCCCCTATTACAAGTTTAAGTTACCTCAATACGATTTTTTTTAGTTATTCAAAAAGTTTAGTTTACGAATATGAAGTTATAATAATGGTGGATATGTATTAGTGATGCACTAATATGGAGATCTATTAGGATTATCGAATATTGTTGATGGATACGTATTACTGCTCAATGAAGATTATGTTTTTGAGAAAACTAATAAAGTGGATGCGGAAAAGTCCAAAATTTAAGATGCTCGAGCTTTTACGTAAGGTTAATTCTAAAATATTCATCACACTTTCTTCAATCTTTTGTTCTAACCAATGGCCTAGGTTTTTTTTAAGCCTCTCATTTTAGTAGGGTAAAAACATGCTCAAGGGGCCTTTGATTTACTGTATTGAAAAATATGATATGTTTCGATTTCCTTGAAAAAGGCATATGATTTGCCATTCCTGTGTATATTGGTGCAAATTATGCAACAAGAACATTTAATTTATATATGTTGACTGAGGAAATGATGTTTTCGTAAAGTCGAGGAGACCAGAAACATTTGTGGATGTTTGATAGACTCTCATGATATATTGCTTGTTCTCGAATAGACATTAATAATACTTTTTCGTATGATTTATCTTCTCGTGACACCGTAAGAACGTTCGTAAAATTAGAAAAGTATTATACAACCCACGATGAAGCAGAAAAAAAAAGAAAGAATGATAAAGCAAAATACAAGTGTGTATAATCTGCACAAGTCATAATAATGGTGGAACAGAACGAGGTTAGTGGGCATACATCAGCAGCCCACAATAGCAAGGCATATATACATACTCAATTAACCGTGTATCCTCCTTGTCCCATGCAATCTTCTTTGTCTTTTTGACAAATGCGGCAACTACATTTATTATTACCTTCATCTTAAACTAGCTAGATGATATTTTGGAAGAAATTACAATAACTGAAATTCTCTTAAAGTTATGTATACAACGGTAACAAAAATTATAAATTTTTATTAGTTGACTTCTTTATTGAATACACAGAAATCACATATGCTAAAACATATTCTTAAAAAAGAAAACCTCCAAATTGTTGAGAGTTGAGACGGTTGAGTTGTATGGTTGATATGTTCGACCTTTTTTGTTAAGGAAAATGGTTCGATCTACGTTCTAGAAAACTTCAATCCACTCTACATTCGCAATGAATCCGAAGGTAAAAACCTGCATCATAATAATTCATTAGTTGAAGAAAGTGACAAAAATAGGAGTGCTATAATATATAATATTGACAAATAGGTTTGCTAAAAAAAAAAGACGAATAGGTTTGCTAAAGCAAAATATGTGATTCTGCATGATTATTACAAAAGAACTGTTTATGATATTATAGATAAAGAATATATGAGGATATTCGGTTTGTGAATCGATATTAACAAGTCATAATCTGTCGAGTAAAAGTATTTTGATTTCCTTCAAATTCCTAAATGCTTCTTGAGCCTTTTCCCACTTAATATACTGTTAATGCTTACAAAATTAACTACTTGCTATGGTATAACTTAATATCATTACCAAAAAGACAATTCTGTTGTAAAAGCAAACATAAACAAACAAAAAAAGAACTACTAATCTGAACTCTAAGACGATAATGGTAAGTCATGAGTGCATTGTAATTGTAGATGATTCAGCAGTCCACAGTATCATACATTTAGAAAAGGATTGCAAAGGGATTCAAAACAACAGAAGAAAACGAATCCAAATATAGAAATACCTTGAAAGAAGTCGGCCTAAGTCGACTAAGAAATTGATTAAAAATAATGAAATATACATATTAAAATAAAGTGAAAATGCAACTAAAAAGAATACCGAAGAAGTAACCAATCGGTGGTATCTTAGGGAGAATTATTAGATTGACAGAAAAAAAAAGATATTTCCCTTTACAATTCTTGTATTTTATTTTCGTAAACAGTATGATGTAGTTTCAACTAAATTATAAAAGGGGCCCAAAATTTCACAAATATTCTTCTTATTGGTGGTGACAATTCGTAATAGTCAAACGCTAAATGTGACACTCACTGTACAAAATAAAGTAATGTGGGGTTAAGCACTCGTCAAAGACATAATGATTTGTGATAGGGTCTTTGCTTATATATGCGATCCATTGATTTATCCATTATTGGTCACTTACACATCTCTCGTTTTCTGTTTTTATCATATGCCTACAATTTCTGTACAAATACTTTTCACCGAATGCTTTTGCACGGAATCTGAGTTATGCTAACAGTCATTTTTACAAAATTAACTCTTTCAGAAAATTAAGTAACACTCGGATTTCTTGGGGGAAATATAGCATATGGGACTAAAATTACGACACATACAATTTTCAAAATGATATTGTTGGAACAGAGACACTACGTTGTAACACCAAGAAACAAGACTGAGTAATGAGACCGTAAACTTGTTATGTTCTTATTCATGCGATGGCTTTATATAGCCTTGATTACACAACTAGTACCTCCTACATTCTCGGAGGACTTTAACAACGTGAAACAAATCAACTAAGCCATTATCTTAACTAAGATTCTACAATTTAGGAACCTCAATCTAAACAACGACTAAGTCTAAATGACTAAGTCCAAATAAACCTAACAGATATTACTACCAAAGAAGTCGACGGAATGTCTTGTGTGCTGCATGATTGACTACTACATCTCCCTCCGTTACACTTACAGCCATCAATCAGAGAGGGAACCAAAGTTTCACTCTTACTTGAATGTTGCTTTAGCTCTATGCCTTAGTTCGTTGAATGTTTGACAAAATATTCATTTATTTCCTTCTTGTTCTACAGTGTCTTTTGTATAAGCAAATTATTTGTGAAAAAAAATCAACCAATTAAAAAACAATCTTCAGAATTCACAACATTTAAAACAACACAAATACAATAATTTCTTGCATTGGTTTGTGAGAACATGGCTTATTTATGAACAAAGAAAATCTTATAAAACATTGCTTATTTTGAGAATAGAGAGAGTAAATTTACCGAAGATTGATGAGCGACTAAAGAGGTCTCTCTCTCGTTTGAAGTCTACATAAAACCCTCTAATTCAGAATAGGGTTTTCACTTTTGTTGATCGTCCTTAGGGGCACTACAACAACCAGAACAACAACCTTTTTTACTTGTCTCCTCACTCTTCTGCAGCAAGCCCACTTCTAGATCCTCTGTTTCATCATCCTCAAGCTTCACCGGCGAAGAAGAAGAGGAAGAAGGAGAAGTACGGTAACATGCAGACTCAACTTCACTCTCGTCACGTAGAAGCATCATACTATTGAGTATCACAAGCAAACAAGTTCCTGCATCTGCAAGAACAGCTGCCCAAATCAAAGGGTAACCAGCAAAGCCAAGCACCATGATCGCTCCTTTTATGCTCACAGACAAAACCACATTCTCAATCACTTTCCTATGACTTCTCCTCGCTAATCTCATCCCTTTAGGAATCCTCCTTATGTCGTTGGACATAAGAATGATATCTCCTGTCTCTGTTGCAAGTGCTGACCCTGAGATCCCCATTGAGATGCCAATGTCTGCTTTAGCCAAGGCCGGTGCATCGTTAAGCCCGTCTCCTACCATCATTGTAGGCCCTTGGCTCTTGAACTCAGCGATGATTCTTGCTTTGTCTTGCGGAAGAAGTTCAAAGTGAACAATATCCAAAGCATTCCCTAGCTGTCAAAATGATATAACGTTTTTTGTTATATATATAATAACTCCTAAAAGAGAGACAGAGGAATGATAAGATAATGACTCTGCTTTTTAACCTGTTCTTGAGTAGACATGGCTGCGTCTCGGTTATCTCCTGTGAGCATTGCAGTTTTGATGCCTAAGGAATTGAGCTCCTCTAGAGCTTGAGCAACCCCATGTCGACAACCGTCCAAAAGGTTGAAACTTCCGGTTAGTTCTTCTCCAATGTATATGTAACCAATGGTCTTACCTCGCTTCATATTAGCTCCAATATCCGGAACTTTAAGTAGCATCAACAAATAAGAGATCTTGCAAATGTTAGATAGATGAAAATCAAAAGAAGACAGCTAAATTGCAAAGATCTGAGACCTGTTAAGCATCCAGCTCTCTGTGCAATTCTTTTGTTTCCAATGTAGATGTCTTGACCATCTATTCTCCCGTAAACTCCTTCTCCTGGAAAGTTCTGAAAGTTCTCCACCATGTCAGGATTAGGCTCAACAGAAATCGATCTTGCGTAGTCAATAAGTGCAGCTGCCATTGGATGGCTTGACTTGCTCTCGATGCTCGAGACCCTATGAAAACATCTTTCAACACATAGGCAAAAAAAAAAGGCATTTATTCTGGTGGGAAAACTTATATATACATACTTACCAGTAAACCAGATTGTGTAGAGTGTTATTGTGAGAAAGAGACCTAAAGTCCGAGACAGTGAACTCAGCTTTTGTGATAGTTCCTGTTTTGTCAAAAGCAGCAATCTTGATCTTGGCCAAGGTTTCTAGACAATCACCGGTTTTGATCAGAAACCCTGACGTGGCTGCCTTAGTGAGAGCACAAAAGGTAGCCACAGGTGTGGATAGGATAAGACCACATGGACAGCCACTAACTAACACTACAAGTGCTAAGTGAAACCAATGGCTTAAGTTTTGAACTTTTAGCAAAACCGGGATGAGAGCAAAACATGCTGCTATCACAACAACAGCTGAACAAACAACAACAAAAAAAACAGGATCAAATTTTCATTCTCCTCTACTAAGAACAAGGAAGAAGAATGTATGTGGATGAAACCTGACCTGGAGTGTAGTAGCGAGAACATTTGTCTATAAACCTTTGAGTTTTGGTTTGGCTTTTCTGTGCTTCTTCTACAAGTTTAGTCATCTTCGCAACCACGCAATCTTTCGCTAGAGCTGTAGTTTTCACCTTTATATAACCTTAAGATACAAAAAATTGTGACAATAAGCTGAAAATGCTTTAATTACGCTCCTATATATGAAGACCAAGATAAGGACTTTGTGTTTTGGTACCGTTAAGATTTATGGTTGCAGCCAAAACAGTTGAGTCTCTTTGTTTGGAGACAGGGAATGACTCTCCTGTCAATGTTTTCTCATCCACATCACAGCTTCCATCCACCACAACTCCATCGATCGGTATGCTTTCTCCAGCTTTTACTGAAACCACTGTGTTTATCGCAACCTCATCTACGTCAACTTCTTGTCCTGTTTCTGCTATCACTGCCTTTCTTGGCGCTAAGCTCATCAGCGATGACATCACTGTGCTTGCCTGGAAAAATTTTGTTACTTCAGAAACAACGATGAGCTAATAAAAGTAAAAGCTAATGCTCTTCATATTGATCCATTAGAGTAGAAACTCTAGACAACCAAACCTTGTGAGCAGCACTTGACTCTAGCCAATCTGCAACAGAGAATAGAAACACAATTGTGGCAGCTTCTGTGTAATCTTGCATGCATATTGTTGCGATCACTGTCAAGAACAAAATTACATGCATTAGTTTCACATTTCATCATTCCACAGTTAAAAAAAAAGAAAACCCTTAAACGATTGACTTTTTTTACCAGCGATTAGAGTGAGAGCGTTGATGTCAAGCCTGAACCTTGTGGCCGAAGCAAAAGCTTTAGCTAGAATTGGGAAGATTCCAGCAACCACAGCAACAATAGCGAGCAACGCAAGCGGAGTGTACAAGTATTTGAGGAAGGAGAGAGCAAGCAATACACCAGAAACCACAGCGAAAGGGCTTGGCCGTTGACTCTTTAAGCTCGTCTCTCCGTATGGTCTCACGCTTGCCTCTAGTCTTGCTTGATTCAGAGCATTCACTGTCAAGTAATCGATTTCAATAGTAAAATTTAAATTCTAGAAATTTTAGAACCGAAGCTTAAATCAAAGAAATCCATTCAGAGTTTAGACCAAAATTTTAATATCAACAAAACAAAAACCAATAACGGAACATTTTCCGACAAGACAACGGAAGTCAAACAAAAAAAATATGTTATTTAGAAGAAAAAAAAAATCGTATTTTTTGTATATTGGTTATTTACCGATTTGAAGCGGAGAAATCAAGAGGGAGTCGTGGACAACGATGACGGTTCTAGAAGGGACGATGACGGAGAAATCCCTGACGCCGTCAAGCGGACGGAGAATGTCTCCGACAATAGAAACCTCCGATGAACAGCAGATTCCGACGACGTCAAAGTAACTCGTTTGCAAATTCTTCTTCGTCGCCTCTTCACCGTCCGCCATCGTTGTTGCTCGTAGGGTATTCTGTATTCGGACAGAAATTCGAGGAGATACCTTTTAAAGAGTTGCTGTCGGAGGGAAATTAAGTATTTTTTTGCTTAGGTTTTTTTTTTATTAATTACAACGTTTGAATTTTTCGTTCCCTACAAGGAAATATGTACTATATATTAAATTTTTGTTTTGGTGTGACAGAAAATGTTTATTTTTAGTCCACGATTTTGTATTTGATTACCAAATGTTAGTGATGAAATTGAATAGGCAGATATATTTCCTTAATACTAGTAGCATTTTTAATAAATGGGTTTTAAACTTTTTTGTGTGTAAAATGTGAAGATTTAAACTTGTAGTTTTGTTTATCTCTTTTTCCTTTCTGTGGGCTAAATATGTTGATAATTTCAAAGCCACACTTGTCTTCGTTCATATAAAATCTTGGAACTTGTGACGTTATTAAAAAAATGAAAAAACCTTACACTGTTTTAGATCAATTTCATTTTCAGTTAATAACTTAAATTTAGTTCAATCTTTTTGCCTCATGAACGTGACATGCATCACATGAATCATGATCACAAAGAAATTTCGTACGATGGTTTCAAATGGACCCGATTAGGCCAAAACAAGTCTCAGCATGTAATCATGGTCACAATTCAGAAAGAATATTTCTTACAATGGATTCAAATGGACCCGATTGGGCCAAAACAAGTCACATCATGTAATGCTCAATGAGATAGTTCTAGGCCCTAAATGACTTCTGACTGAAATGGCAGTTTCGTGGTTAAATAAAACACCAAAGGGTAAGCATGAGAAAACACCTGTACTGAGGCATGCCATCATTTATCTTCTGTGTGGGGCCTAACTAATTTCTCTTTTTATTTATTACTTTTCATAAATTCTTCCACTGCGAATCTACGAAATCACCAAATTAAGTACCCACGTTTTAGGTGTAAGTGTGACATTTTACATGCTCGTCTAATTTTCATGAGACAAATCAAATCCCTTTTTAGTAGTCCCTTTCCAAATAGAAGAATCCATTAGCATGAGCCAAAATCAAATCCCTTTTTAGTAGGTCCATCCTTCATTCACAACTCTTTTTTTTGGGTTAAAAGTACACTAAACTTTTATTCTCTAATGATTCACGAGGAATCACTAATTTTCTTAAACAAATAAATAAACTTAAGATGATAACATTACTTCAGTTATTTACTTATTTTTAAAAAATACTGAAGCTCTATAAAAACCAAGAAAACATGATGATTTGATTATGCAATTAGCTTGCATGTTGTTGTAACGCCTAAAACAAGATTTATGAAGTAAAATAAAATAAACCAAAGTTGTATCATGTGTGTTGTAACGCCCTTTAATTAAAGTTTCATAGATTTTTAGAAGAAGTAAAAACAAAATTGCATGTCCTAACGCCCATAATAAATAAAGGGAACATGAAAAATAAATAAAGTACGGTAATAAGACAAAACAAAACACCCCCCATTGGCCTCATTGAGACTGCTGTCAAAATATGAAAGAAAAAAGAAAGCCAATCACATTGAAGTAGAGATCTCAACCAATGCAACGACAGTGGCAATGTTCGAAAATAAACGTGAAACCGAGGTTTGATTATAACGGAAGTCGTATTCCTTATTTCCGTGTTCCACTCTTTTTATTTTATTTTTGTTCATCTTCTTCTTCTCCTTCTTCACTCACTTCATCTCTCCTACTCATCATACAATATTTGACCGTTGTTTTCTCCAACGTCGCTCTCCTTCTTCACGCTCCACTCCTTCTTGCTGTGTAACCACCTGAAAGGTCTTTTCTTCTCTCTCTCTCTCTCTCTCTCTCTCTTCCAAAATCAAAACTTTTTCAGTATTTTTTTTGTTGTCGATTTGGGTCCCTCCGTGAGTTGAACAAATGTGAAAAGGGTTTTAGATTTTTCTACTCATTTTCTTCATATTTGTTTATTTTCCTTCAAAGCTCATGACGCTGAAGATAAAACTAAGACTTCTTGGCTTAACCGTTTTCTTTCTTAATTTCTTTGGGATCTATATTTTTTTCTGTCTTGACTGTGAATAATCTCTATTGAATGAAGTACACAAATGAGAGTAGTCTCGATTTTGATGAACTAAAAATTTCACAATTTAAGACAAAAAAACAGAATCTGAGACAGAGAAACGTAATGTCTCTCAAATTGATGTAAAAATTAATTAATGTTATGTTGTTTTTTCAGCTGTTTCAAAGTATTTAATTACAAATGTTTAAAAAAAAAATCTGATATTCTTGTTCTTGGCTCTGCAGTTTCTCCAACACTTTATTTGAGCTTTGGAATTGTTAAGAAACCGAAAAGAAAAGAAAAAACAGAGAAATGGGATGTTCTCAGTCAAAGTTTGGTGACGACGAAGCTGTTCAGATCTGCAAAGACAGGAGACGTTTCATCAAACAAGCAGTGGAGCACAGGACTAACTTTGCTTCTGCCCACATTGCTTATATCCAGTCTCTGAGGAAAGTTTCAGATGCTCTACGCGAATACATCGAAGGAGACGAGCCACACGAGTTCTTGCTAGATACATTTGTTACTCCTGTGAAGAGAACAAGCAGCTCAGGTGGCTTCATCGTGTTATCATCTCCTTCTTCCAAAATGATTCAGAGCAAAGGAGATTCGGAAATGGAAGTCAATTACTTGATGGCTAGTGGAAGCAGACCGGTTCTTGTTGAAGAAAAGCCTCCTACATCACCTGAGACTCTCCATGTTGAGACTTATGGAGCAGATAGTTTCTTTGGGATGAACATGAAGCCTGAGCTCAACAGTATACCGCCTCCTTCGCCACAGAACTCTCAGTGGGACTTCTTTTGGAATCCATTCTCTTCACTGGATTCTTACGGATACGGTTATGATAACCGGAGTGGTATGGAGGACGAGACCAAACGGTTGAGGCGGGTTAGAGAGGAAGAAGGGATTCCTGATCTTGAAGAAGATGAGTATGTAAGGTTTGAGGACATGAAAGAAAGATATGATCTTGATGGAGTTAGTAAAACGGATCAAGAACATGTTAATGAGCAATTCAAGAATTGCATTGGAAATCAAGAACGGCAAAGCGTTGAGGTGTCCAGAGGAGGAACTACAGGGGATCATGTAGTTACAACAGCAGATGATGGAAAAGGAGGAGAGACACCTGGCTACACTGTGTACATGAATCAAAGGCCAACGAGCATGGCACAAGTTGTTAAAGATCTTGAAGATCAGTTTGGGATCATATGTAACACTGCTAAAGAAGTCTCTGGTTTATTGGAAGCTAGTCGAGCTCAATACACAACAACCTCTAACGAACTCAGCGGTAAAGATTTGCATAATCTTGTTTTGTTTTCTGACTACATATATATATGAATGGATGCGTGTTCTGAGTCTTTTTCTTATTGCAGCCATGAAAATGCTGAATCCAGTAGCTTTGTTCCGGTCGGGCGGCTCCTCAAGATCTTCTTCTTCCTCATCAAGATTCTTGATCAGCTCTTCAGGAGGTTCCAAGGAGAGTGGATTTGAAAGCAGTAGTGACTTTTCAGAGGAGTCTTGTATGCTTTCTGGTAGCCATCAATCAACATTGGACAGACTATACGCTTGGGAGAAGAAGCTCTTTGATGAAGTTAAGGTAAGACTTTTCAACAGAAAGTTTCATTAAACTCTCTCTCTCTCTCTCTGTCACTATGGTTAACGAGGTTTGGATGTTTGTTGTGATGACAGTCTGGAGACAAGGTACGGATTGAATATGAGAAGAAATGTTTGGTGCTAAGGAACCATGATGTGAAAGGAGACAACTCTTCAGCGGTTGACAAAACAAGAGCTACAATCAGAGACTTACACACTCAGATGAAGGTCTCTATACACTCAATCGAATCTATCTCGGAAAGGATCGAGACTCTCCGCGACCAAGAACTTCTTCCTCAGCTTCTTGAGCTTCTTCAAGGGTAATGCCATTTGCCAAATGCCAACACTTCTCTCTTCTGGTTTCTTGTTTTGAACATTTGATGATAATGAATGGCGTTTTTTACAGATTAGCTAGGATGTGGAAAGTGATGGCAGAGTGTCACCAGATACAGAAGCGAACGTTGGACGAAGCCAAGCTATTACTTGCAAACCGTCACAAGAAGAGACAACAGACCACTTCATCACTACCGGAGATCAACTCTCAAAGACTAGCTCATTCGGCTCTGAATCTTGTGACTCAGCTACGAAACTGGAGAGCTTGCTTCCAGTCATGGATCACTTCTCAAAGATCCTACGTTCTGTCTTTAACCGGGTGGTTACTTAGATGTTTTAGATGTGACCCTGACCCTGAGAAAGTTACATTATCATCTTATCCTCACCGGATATACGATGTTTGCATAGAATGGTCAAGGCTGCTCAACGTGTTGAATGAGAAGCCTGTGCTAGACAAACTCGATTTCTTTGCCTCTGGGATGGGATCTATCTTTGCTCGGCAGCTTAGGGAAGATTCATCGTCTCAGGGAAGAGGTGGTGAGAGCATGGAGCTTGTTGAAGCTGACAAGGTAGAAGAAGAGAAGATGATGGCTGCTGAGAAGTTGGCTGAGATTGCAGTTAAAGTGCTCTGCCATGGAATGTCTGTTGCAGTGAGCTCACTCGCTGAGTTTGCCATAAGCTCAGCTGATGAACACTCGAAGCTCGTTAGCCATCCAGAGGACGCCACTTCAGGGCAGGATCCGGTCCATCCGGAGCAAACCGGGATGTAAAAGTTTTTATAATTCTCATTAGCCTCATTAGCTTATCATTCATTTGATTATTTATTGTTCCTTGGGTTAGAAGTTTAGGATTTTTAGGTTTAGTTAGATGGAGATATGTGTATTAGTAAAGACACATAAAATTAATCTCTTTAGATATACCTTGCATCGTACTTCTTTTTTTGGTCAACCATTCAAAACCCTTTATTCATTATTTTAGACGATAACAGTAGATACTACAGTATATGGTTTCCATGTAGATGAAACCATTTTTAAGTAAAGGCCTGTCCATATATCTAAGGATATATAAAGGCCGTTATTGGGAATTATAGTCTTATAGACTAATTCACTAGCTGAGATATGCTGTACGGAGAAGTTATGGCTCCGTTAAACGCTGCGTTAGCTACCACTGCATTAATTATTTCCGTAGTATGCACGTTATCCCAAAATATGTATTTGGTTCGGTCAGGACAGACCGGTTGGTTCGCTGCACAAAGCTCTTCACCCGGGTTTACCGTACAGCAAGCCCTATCACCAACCGTAATCCCTACAAAATCCAGAAGAAGAAGAGAGAAAGAATCATTACAAGTTCTTGATTAAATTAGTTTTTACAAAAACAGGTTTAAGTTTATAGAAAATTACCAAAAGCGGCGAAATCTTGAGCATTTCCAGAGAATAGGTCAACAAAAGTGAACTTAGCCCCAGGAAGTTGGTTGTTTAAATCTGCGACTAGGGCTTTGAGGTTAGTGTTGAAGATAGCTACGGCTTGGTTCACTTCTTCTGCGCAGCCAACACCACCACCAAGGCTAGCAACAACTCTTGGCGTACACCCAATCTTACCGAGTCCGAACAAAGCCACATTCCTCGCTCCTAGTACGTGCAATTCCTACACACACACACACACACACATGTAGACAGTAGACATATATATTAGTTTATTCTTGGCTGCAAAGTAATATAATAATATTTGATGTGTCTAAAGTGTCATTAGAATGTTTATAAAAGAATGCATGTCATCACTCATCTCTATAGAAAGGATTTAAATAAAAGATGAATTAGGTTTGTTTGTTTCCTCTCTCTGTACCGTCATATAAATACGGTAGCGGAGTATGAGAGACTTAGCAAACTGGTCCGGAGTATATGCAAGACGAGCTGCGGTAGGAGGTTGCAAGAAGTAGTTGTTGAGGTAATCGTTGCTTCCGATGCTGATTGTGTATAGACATCCCCGTAGCTTACTCCGTGGCACCGCCGCGGTTGTGATCGCCGACAGGTGGTTGTTTATTTGCCTTCTCAAACTGATTCTTTCGCCCTATGTATCAATTTTAAGTTAATCATATATTTTATTTAGATTAGATAAAATTACATGTAAGTTACATCATTATCTATAGGTTGTTACCAAATTTTGGCTGGTATCTTCCCGGATCCCGCCGCCACCGGAAGCATAGTTTAGTCCGATGTTAGCTTGTGTTGCTGATGCTCCGGCATACGGTGGAATGGTATCACTGAAACCCGCTAATTCGGCTGATACAAAAAAATATTCAAAACATTCTTATACTGAAACAAAGTGATGAGACATAATTAACTAATAGCGAAACTATATTTTTATACATGATACTATTCAGGTTACATTAAAATCAGTTCTCTTAAAGAGATAAAACATATCTGATGATTTTAAGAAATATAAAGAATTGTAACCTCTACCTTGACAACAAAAGGCTATCTATCTTGAACTAAAGGTTTCATAATTTTATGTTATGAACATCAATACATAATAGTTACTGATACTGATAGTAAGAAAATTTGGATTCAACTAAAGATTAAGATAACGGTTTGAAAACTAACCGATAACGTCTGGAATATTGCGACCGTTGCAAAACCGACCGGTTGGACCTAGGGGATAATCTATACCGTAAGGTGGATAGTTGACCTTTGCCACGGTGTTCAAGACATTGTTGTTGCCGTTGTCGAAGACAGAGTCTCCGAACACGAAGTAACATGCCGCTTGTTGTCCACGCGCCGTTGGTAAGACCGCGGCGGCTGCTACAAACACGGTGGCCACGATAACCCACAATGCCTTGGACACTCCCTCTACCATTTTTCGCAAATCTGAGTTATACGAAAAATGAGGAGAGAGAAAGTTGAAGAGAGAGAAAAAAAGAAAAGGTTGGCTTATTTATAGTGGACGTGATTTGCAAGTTTGTGACTGGTAGATGTAAGTGTTTAAGTGGTGGAAATTGTTAGACTATATAAAGGAATAAAGGATGAGGCAATGAGTGAATTAAGGGGAGACTTCGAGAACTATATATATTGTTTTGCATGAATTAAGAGAGAATCTTTCTTTTCAATAGTTATCTACTTGAACCCTTGTTACAAGAAAAAATATAGTTATCTACTTGAGGTGGGCGTTTTGAAAATTCATTTTCGTTTATTACTACAATTTTTTTATGTACATGGTTTCCTATCACTAAACAAAATCGTATTATCTAATATAATCAACACTAATAATTTGACCAAACACATTAAATCAAAACGTTACCATAAACTATGGAAATCCATAATTAAATTATATTTGAGTAATTCAAGAATTGAAATCGCCGTTTTATAGATAGTTTCGTTTATTGTGAACTTTATAATTCGTTTACACACAACATAATTTTCGTTTATCTTATGATATAATTTGTACTCTCCTCTTTGCTAAAATTTTCTTAGACAAAATCTCCCATACCAAACAAGTACACAACAGCCCATGCAAAAAGTTTGGTCAAGATATGCCAGACTCTACCAAATATATGCAAATGAAACATTGAAACCTAATAATAAATTATTTAATTATTCACTTGAAATGTTTTCTTAATTACATGATCCCACCAAAACAATATTGCTTTAATTAATGTTCAAACTACTCTAGTATAAAATACGAACCAGGCTGGCTAATAACGTTTTATTTGTCAAGCTGGCCGATAAATTATACTCCGTATACTTTAGTTTTAACTTTTAAACATTACTGTTTATGTCTTGGATATTTTCCTATATTTATTTACAAAGTCTCTATCCACAAACCACAATTATATTAACCAGTTGTTTAAATAGTTCCTTGTAAAATAAATTACGTGGAGAGAGAAAGGGGAAGCAAATCTTCGTTGGTGTGCGTTTATTCTTCTGCGATCTCCCTTTGTTCACATATGGTCGACCGGATTCTTCCACGTTCTTCACTGATGCTACTTATTTATTTACAATTTCTTGATTATATATAAATATTCACAAAAAAAGGAAAATATTACAGGCATGCATGCGTTTCTACTTCTTTTAAAATTACAAATCTTAAGCTGTCCTAAAGAATACATATTTGCTTATAAAAAAGGTACGATTAGGCAAATAAAAAGATATGATGCGTGAGAGAATGAGTATAATACCTGTCTGGAGCAATCAAGTTGGCCCCATCCCAAAACTCAGGCTTCTTTGTGTAATAACAAAAGCACTGACTTCCTACCATTGATTCCCCTAGCAGCAACCTCATCTTCTCATAAACAATTTCCATTATATCTTCAAAATTAGCCACTTATAATTTCTTTCTCTCTCCATCCACTAATACCTTATCTTTCGCTTTAAAAAATATATTTTAATTAATAAATAATAACTAATACATACTATAGGGCTCAAGTCAAGTTAATTTATAAGTTTTTTTCACATCTCATTTGGCAAATATAAAATAACAAAAAAATCTTCATAATACATCAAAGTTTTATTGGATAGTTCTATATATATATATATAGTTTCTCTCTCAACACCTTAACTTTAGTGTACATAGAAGTTTACTTTGCCAAAAGTAGATAAATTTAGCGTTAAATCAAAGACACGCGTGTAAAATATCAAAGAAGAAGAAAATTTAGTTTTTGGTCAATTCTTTAATTAACAAGAATGTAGACCGTTCACTCCACAATTTATTTATTTATTTGTATGCTAATTAAATATGGAATTGTTACAATACGTATCAACAAGGTCATTCTCTTACTCAGAAAACTAATAAAAACAAGTTGAATGTTTTGAAGTTGCGACTTTATGCAAAATAATTTGTGACCACTAACCCTTTTTTCCGGGTCAACTTGTAAGTTGTCATAAACTTTGATAGATATTTCATTGATAGTAACTGATTCGGTGCAACAAGTTAAAGATAGATCAGATGGTATTAGTTACGCTAACAGAAACATTAGAAAACAGATTGTATATGTGAATGGCCAAAAAGATGATATGACACCATAGTTTAAGACACGACTCACCAAAAGTTTGAGAGGACGAATATAGTAAGAACAATGGCAGTGGTAGTGGATCATAATGATAAGATGAAAAGACGAAGAAGAACTTAATCACAACTTCACAAGACTTGTTGGCTGTTGCTATTTTCTCTCTAATCGTAATTCGACTTTTAAAAGTGTTTGAAAATCTTTAATCGGAAAATCCAAAAAAAAAAACAGAACCGTATTGCTATGGTTGTAATGATTATTGGGTTTGGGTTTTGTCGGCCCAGAAGATGTTAAAAAAGAAATAACCAAACCGTAAGGCAACAAGACTAATTGCAGCCTCCGAGAGGTTTTAGGTCGCCGTCGATTGTTTGTCGTCGCCGGTAGGGTTTTAGGATTTTTCACAATCAATTTTTCTTCTCCTCCAACACAGTCGTCAAATTCATCTTGTTCCGAAGCCTTGGGTAGTTGTAAGATGGTGAAAAGGAAGCATATCAGTCCGAAGAAATCCAATCCGTCGAAGAAGACAAAGAAGACGAAGAAGAACACTAAAACCCAATGCGTCGATTTTCCGGTAGAGGTCGAAGAAATTCAACCGTGTGATAAAAACGAAACCTTTACCGGGATTATTGCCGAAGAGCGTCTATGGAAGAACCTCGAGCTCATCCTTTCATTGCAGAGCAATGAATTGGGGGATAAAGAGTAAGTCTTTCTTCTTGCTTATCTGCTTTACTTGAAGATGTTACTGTTTATTTGGTTGAAAGTTTGTGAATTTGGAGAACATATATGTAAAGAGTACCAAAATGAAGTACACTAATGTGAATTTGTAGCTGATATGTGATTCTACAGCTTCAATTTCTTATCTTTCTGGTGTTTTGTGTCTTCTAATTGAATTGGGATATGATTTGCAGGAAGGTGGAGCTAGCTTTCAGTTTTGTGAAAGCACATGATGTAGGAGGAGATGGGACTGGCGAGGATGAAGAAGAATGTCAAGCGGTTAAGATATCACGGCTGGTTATGTATCTCAGTGACTGGATCCAGACACTGTTTGTTTCCAAAGAACAACAGAATTTTCAAGTGAAGGCTGATATATGTTTGGACTTCAGATGCTGGGAGGTACTCAGGTTCTGCTTCAAGCAGTCATCAATCTTGGATGTCTCTATCAATTTGTCAAAGAACCTTCTAAAGGCTATAGCTTTTATTGCAGAGAATCTTTTATCTGCACTCAACGAGCTGTCTTCTTTAGAGGTCAATATCTGTGACGGTCAAGGTTTTGAAGTTTACAGCTGTGTGGTTGATTGTATAGGCTTGTTGTTTTCGTCGAGAAATGGCATGTCTAATGACAATTTGGACTTGTGGTTTTCAACTGCCGAGCCTGTTCTGAAGCTTACACATAAAGTTCTTGCGGAGAGTAGCAAGGATAGTCTAGCTGATGATGCATTTGTCCTGCGGTTCTCTTGCTTGGTTCTTGAGCCGTTCTCCAAGTTCTTGATGACTCATCCAACTAAGAAGAACGGGTTTCGTGATTTTCTGGACAAGCTTTTTGGGCCTTTCTTGGATGTGTTTGGTTTATTGAATCTCAGCGAGGAGAAGAGTTCTGGTTTGGAAACAACTTTGTTGAAGTTGATTGAAGAGATCTTATCTCTGGTTCTGTTTCATCCCGCTCATATTGATGGGTTTTTGAGCCTAGGTGGAGCGGAAAGGTATTTACCAGATTCAAAAGAGAACAAAACTGTTGTGCAAAGCTATCATCGGCATTTCTTTTCCAAGTTTGAGAACATGTTACTGATGAAGAACGAGTTGGAGCTGAGCTGTGCAGGGTCATTGTTCAGGCTGTTTATCAACAGAGTTGTGAAACAACAGAGAGATTCAAATCAGTTGCAGGAAGGGATAATGACAAAGGCCTCAACTGCTGGGAGAGCAGAAGAAAGGACTTGGAAGCTGCAAGACACAGCTAGAAATGATAATGAGTCTTCTGCACAGAGTCATTCCTCAAGCTCCTTCCGCCTGGAGACACGGAAATCACTGTTTGATTTCTTCCTGCATCTTATGGAACCTATACTGCTTGAGATCGATGGATATATCAAAGCTGGCTCTGAAATGGCTGATTTATGTTGTGTTATTAAGTCTGCAAATAGTTTGCTGTTCCACTTTGCTCGTGAGCGGATTTATGTGAAGACAGAGGATGCATCTGGTGGAGCTTGCTTTTGTTTCTTCAAGAAGATCTTTACGACAGTCGTTTCAGCTGCTTCTCAGTTACAAAATGATTGTACATATGATGAAGGGTCAGAGATGCATGCTTTATTAGCCAAGGAGCTAGTAACTGCAATAGGCTACTTGTTGCAAATTGAATACGAAGTTATTGAGAATGATTTAGTTCCTCTGTGGCTAATCATTCTCTCTTTCCTGAGGTTTAGTAGTATAGAAGATGACTGCCCGTTGACTTCTTTGTTACTTGGTCTTGGATGCCAGTTGATAAATTTATATGGTGACCTACGCCAGGTTTGTCAGATTTCTTCCTTTGAGTGGTCTAGTTTTTTGCCTGTTAGTAATTATACTTCTGAAGGACACTAATTTTACCCTGATGATGTAGGTAAGTGTTGCTGTATTTGCTCTGTGCAAAGCTGTAAGGCGTGTGATACCTGCTGATGGTGGTAATGGGGAGATGATGGACACCGGAGAGGCTCCACGGTCTACTGTTTTTCTTTTGGAAAGAAGCGCCAAATCAGTGGAAAAGCTCTTGTCATCTCAAGCTTTAAGACTCGCTATACATAGAGCTATTAAAGTTATACCAGAAGGCCAAGCAGGTGGTTGTATCAAGAGCATGACTACAGATGTATCAGAGGCCATGGATTGGATAAGAGTTAGTTGCTCAACAAGTGGTAAGGAACAAGATGGACAGGTAGCAGCATTCTTGGCCGCAGCGTTGTCTGATATTTATTCACTTATTCTCGACTCACTAACTGTTACAACCGGTAATAGTAACCTTGTTGGCCGGTCCATGAATCATCTGGTGGATCTCATCCGTCCTTGCTTAGCCCACTTGGTTTCGTCAGACTCAGATTGCATTGAAAATTTCCTTTCTGCTGTCACCGGAAAGGATTTAGACATTGTGATGGGTGAAAAGAATACAGAGAGCTACAGAAAGTCTGTGCGCTTGTTTATGGTGTTCTTCTTGCGAATATACACGTCTTCAAGAAGCTTATATAGGCAGGTGATAAGTCTTATGCCTCCGAAAAAATCAAAAGAGATGGCTGCTATTATGGGAGACTCGGTTGCAGCTCGTTGCGGAAGTGATTGGGTAAAAGAGAAAAGTTGGAATGATGAAGGCTATTTTTCATGGATCTGCCAGCCTTCAGCTTCTATTCCTGACATTATTAAACACATTTCTGCTATTTATCTCAAGGATGACAGTGCAGATTGCTCCTTGCTGATCTATGTATTGTATGGAGTCGCTCTTCAGAGACTTGTTGATTTAAACAGGCACATAAAGTCACTTGATTATGTGTCACAGATAAGTGATAATCAAGCATTTATCGAGCATGTATCAGTTCTCAAGTGTGAAGGAAAAGAGCTTAGTGATTTCCTTTTGGGCAACGACATCATACCAAATTTAGCTGATGTTGGAACTTTTGAAACGATAGATAACACTGATCAGGGGGTTCTCAAGGTTTCGGGCATCAATAGGAAGTGTTTGCCTGCTGTGCGTTTGTGGGTTCTTAGCCAGCATATTGACATTTGGTGCCCCCATTCAGAGAAAAAGAACTTGAAGAATTTCCTGTCTCAGATAATAGGTAGTTCCGTTACTCATATTTTGAACGGAGTGGATATGTCTACTCTTGGCTTGGAGAATAATGTAGACAAGGGCACTCAAAAGAAGAACACAGGGTTGGAACAGTTCTCGTTAGAACTTCTTTGCGATTCAGTATTGTATGAGCATGAAGTAAGTCATCTTTCTTTATACAAAATCATCCATTTACTTTTTGGCTTTGTTCCTTTAAGCTCATATATCCAGATATTCATTTGAATTTTTCAAACAGTTTGTTCGCAGATATATGGCGCCGAGTTTTTCTCACGTACTGACAACGACAGCAGAATCTTTTTTCAAGGATTTTACTGAGGAAGTAAACTTTGATACACCGCCAGATTGGTCAGAGGTGTTAACCTTGCTTGAAAGTTCAGTTGCCAACTTATCTGGTAAGCTTCAGTCAGAAGCCTTTGTAGAGGCTCATGTGCTACAGCTGGACAATCGGAAGTTCAGAGCTTGTCAAAATTTGCTAAATCTCTTATGTGGTATGCCTAAGGAGTATATGAATAAGAAGTCATTCCAACTTTATGCACGTAATGTTCTCGACCTTGAGAGGTAACTAATAGTATATAGCATATGCTTGCTATGTTCTATGTTTAGTTCATTAAAGCATATCAGTTATTTTGTTGGCATAGATTTTAACAAATTTTACCTTTGTCAATATCTCTTGTAGGTTTGTAGTTTTTAGCATGCTGAGATGTTTGAACAAGCTGTCTCCGGGTGATATGCAAAAGCTTTTTAGTCTGTTCATCACTTGCAGAAAAACTTTGAAAAGTATTGCTATGAATTCTTGTGACAAGGTGCTAGGAGCTACCACGTTGCCTTTATCTGATAATTCGCTGTTGGCTTCTTGGCTTTTCAAATCAGCACAAGCTGCTGTCACTTGTCAAGAGAGATTTAGGAATGGTTTTACAAGAAAATCAAGGGACGCCCTCTTTTCTTTGTTGGATCACACATCATATATGTTTCTAACCGTAAGTAAATATCAACTCAGCAAGGCGCTACCGCTGTTTGACGAGCAACACATTTCATCAGAACTTTCTGAGGGAAGTGGACAAGCGAACCTTATGTTTGAGAGCTTGACAGAACAGGCAGAAACTCTACTAAATGCTTTGAAGGATACCTTCAGAGATGAGAAAACAGTGTTTGAACGTGAGACTCTGGTACTGACAAAGTTAGCACCAATATTTTCTTGTTTTAGTGGGTTGTTGTGGGGATTAGCATCTGCAGTGAGTCACAGAGATACGCAGAAGAATCATCAGAACACAAAACTGAGATGGAAATCAGAACAATTCTCGAAGCTCTGCCGCATTATCCATGTGCTTGGCAATTTTCTTGAGGTTTTCGCACAGTGTCTGTTTCTCAGTGGTGATGTGCAGAGGGAAGTCCAAAGCAATATCAAATGGACTAGATTGCTTGATGGGACTGAGGGTTCAAATGGTCTTTTGTGCGGTGACGTAGTAGAGACTAGCAATGTGAAAAGGAAAATTATTGAGAGCTTCATAGAGGGTGGTTCTTCAGAAGTAGTTTTGGCACTCAGGCATCTGTTAATTGCTTCTGCTGCTATCTTAAGGCTAAATCTGCAAATTGATGGCATTACCCTCTCAGCTACATTTGTCTCTGTTCTCACAGGAATTTCAAGTGATCTACTATCTGTGCTAGCAGACATGAGCGAGGCACCGGTTGAATTCTCATTTATTTGGTTGGATGGTGCGGTGAAAGTTCTAGAAGAATTAGGGACCCACTTCTCCTTATCTGACCCTACACTAAACAGAGATCTGTACTCAAAGTTGATTGAGTTGCACCTCAAGGTGATTGGGAAATGCATATCACTACAAGGAAAAGAGGCTACTTTGGAATCTCACGAGACAGGATTTGGTGCTAATGTAATCCATGATAAGCAAGTGCCAGCAGAAAATAGCCGGTCTCATGGATTGCATTGGTTGGACGAATTAAAAGGGAGGCTTAGGATGTCATTTAAAGTGTTTATACAGAATTCCTCAGAGTTACACTTATTGTCAGCGATACAAGCTATAGAAAGAGCACTTGTTGGAGTATGGGAAGTGTGCCCAGCTATCTATAGCATACAGACTGGAAACAGAGATGGGGGCAGAATCTCGGAAACTGCTGCTGCTGGTATTGACTGTCTGGATCTGATTCTGGAGCATGCCACAGGTAAAAATTTGTTTTACTATAGGCAATCTTAGTATGCTTGATGTTAATAGTTGTAGTAGTGAACATACAGTGAGTAAAGAAATCAATCTTATTGCCCTTTTTTGGCTGTAGGATGTTAACAAACCCAATTTCTGATATTATTTGCTGAAGGTAGCATTATTATCCGTTTGACTGAACAGTAAAACTGTTTTGTAGGTCGCAAACGTTTGAATGTGGTTAAAAGGCACATTCAAGGCTTTATGTCTGCATTGTTCGGCATCATGGCTCACATGCAGAGTCCATTTGTTTTCAGCACAAATGCAGTTGTTGGCAACCACGGTCCCAGTTTTCCAGATGCTGGATCAGTCATTCTTATGTGTGTCGAAGTCTTGATAAGAATAGCAGGGAAACACGCATTGTTTCAGATGGATACATCGCACTTAAGCCAGTCCATACACATACCCGGAGCAATTTTTCGTGATTACCTTCAGATTACAAGGGTGGGGTTCTCGGTTCTCGATGGAACTTTGTTACATAAGGATGGTCAGCAACAAGATCTGATAGGAAGCTCTAAAGATCTTAAAGTAGACCAGAAATTCTCAATGAGTCTGTATGCTGCTTGCTGCCGACTATTATATACAGCTGTTAAGCATCATAAGAAGTAAGTAGAATTTTACTTCGCTTACACACAAAGTCCTGTTAGATTTTACCATCTTAGAACTGCCTCTGATTTCGTTCTTGCTGTGATCTAGTGAAACTGAGGGGTCAATTGCTACACTGCAAGAATCTGTTTCTGCGCTTCTTCATTGTCTGGAGACAGCAGGAAATAAATTGGGTAAATGTGTTTCATTGGAAGTGGAAGAGGGAATTAGATGTGCGAGTTTCCTCCGGAGGATCTATGAAGAGGTACGTCACTGCCTTCTACCATATCTTCCTTTTGGGTTTGGGAATGTAAACCTATTTTCGTACTTACTAATCTTGTGGACTAAGAAGCTATCAACTAAGTTTAGATTTTTGTTTTGTTTTGCAGCTAAGGCAGCAGAAGGAGGTCTTTGGACAGCATTGTTACAAGTTCTTGTCAGCGTACATATGGGTTTCTTCCGGATTTGGTCCACATAAAACGGGCATCAAAAGGTAACAGTCTTTTCTTTAGACAGACTTGAGACTACATAACTACTAATTCCTGCAAATATGGCTTGATGGTGTTTTGTCCTGAAGTTCTAGGATGCCACTAAAATAAGCAGCAGATAACACAATTTATTGATTTTGCAACATTTGCAGGGAGGTAGATGAAGCTTTAAGGCCTGGTGTGTATGCTCTTATAGATTCTTGCGCACCTAATGATCTTCAATATCTCCATTCAGTATTTGGTGGTAAATACCCTTTTCTTTTCTTTTTACTTGTCACATCTTAAAAGGTTCTAATTCTGTGACCCGTTTTTAACGTTGTTTGTTTGTTCTTGTGCAGAGGGTCCTTGTAGAAACTCTCTAGCAACTCTGCAACAAGACTACAAGTTGAATTTCAAGTACGGAGGAAAAGTCTAGAAAGAACACAGTTTGTTCTTTACTTCTCATTTCTCATGTTGCACGATTAGCTCATTTTTGGGGATAATGGGATTTGACTCTCTTGTTGAAGTTGTAAATTTTTGGTAATTCACTAGACCAGATAATGGTCAGTTTTGTGCAATGATCTTAATCTGTGAAAAAAATGTCTTCAATGGCATTAGATATTAATATTTATAAATGAAATTGACGTATGAAAGAGCTTTTGTAATCTTTGTTAGTGATGGCAATGGTAATAGAATAAACATAGAGATAGCAGAGTCAGGCTGCGTAGAGTAATCAAATAAAGAGACTCTGATAGTCTAAACTATTACATATATAAAAAAATAAAAGCACCATACCTATTCTCAAGGACGATTCCCTTTGTCTGAGAAGGACACAACCATTCGATTTCTTGGCGATACTTTTCCAACTTGTCTGCCAATCTCCCTTTCGATGCATCTTTTCCCTCAAAAGCTTACTGTAACGTATTATAACCAGGATAGAAACAAGAATCGGTGTTCCTAAATATATCACAGAAGCGAGAGCTCCGATTGAAGAAACAGCTCAAACTATCAATGAAAAGAATAAACTAGTAGGTTATGAACTTTATGATAGACTAAGTCGGCTTAACGATATGCCTAAATAGTAGATATGTAATATTTCCTATATCCCTCTCAATTTTACAAAACAGATCCGTCATGGAAAGAAAACACGAATTGCCGCAGGATCCCTATACCATTATTTATCAATTTTATTTATTATTTTGAAAAGAAAAATTAGTTTGACGTATACATTTCCTGAAAGACGCAATGACATTTATACTCGTTTCACACCAAAAAAGATAGTCAATTCTTCGCATAAACTATACACTAACCAAATATACACGAACTACTTTGATCCAAAACATTGCAATAACTAATTGGTTTGTGATTAACAAAAACCTATACAAATTTCTTGTAGTTTTGTTTCAAGGGTTAATTCAGTGTTGATTGTTACTAGCTGGTTGATTTCGTATGAGAAAGGGTGAAGGATATACCAAAATATAAATCCAAACTAAGATGGTAAACCAAACCACACCACAATCATTGAGTTCCTTCTAATATTATTATTTCTATTACAAGGACGTACATGTAAAAGGTGGAAGATATTTTAATTGGGAAAACACTCCATAGAAAATAATATTATGTTCATTCGATCGGTCCCATATAACCGCTGGCAAAGGTTATGCTAATGTTTGTTTTGTGGCAGCGAAACTTTATGATGCTAATGTTATTTATTGATTTACTACTCTATGATTGTCTCTGTATAGTTTGTGGACGTGTAGTCAAAGAAATTCATCACATCACGAAACTAAAAGACGATCGTCATTCCGTAATTGCTTTAGTGTGTAACTAATCATTTCTCTAGAAGTTTTAAGTTTGAACGATGATTTACGAGGAAACTATCATAAGCCTCAATCTAATAGCAACTCGCTTTAGTACACAAATTTAGAGTTGGCCCATCAGGTTAAACTTTTATGAAATAATACAAGTTTAGTTTCTCTTTTAAAAAAAAAGTGTTAAATAATTAAGAGTCGCTAGTGTTAATGGAACAAACTACAAAAGGTTGTGTGCATGGAAGTAGTTATTTGGATCTTGAGATGTATAAATATTGGCCTACGTGTTGACGACCGTTGATTCTCTTAGACAATGGATCTCTTTGTTCTGTTACAATATCGATAAACTGAATGTAAATTTCTAAATACGACCAAATCGGTTTACATTAAAATCACAGTAGAACTGTGAACATATATATAAAAGCAGCACACTTATTCTCAAGGACGATTCCCTTTGTCTGAGAAGGGACACAACAAGGCATCTGCCATTGGATTTCTTGGTGATACTTTTCCAACTTGTCTGCCAATCTCCCTTTAACCTTCAGTTGGGATGTAAAAGACCTGATAGTCATTGATTACAGAGTTGATCACGTCCTCCCTCACTTTCCGCTTCTTGTCCATCTCATTTTCTTCCGATGGACGCTTCTTGTCTATCTCCTTTTCTTCCAATTTCCGCTTCTTCTCCATCTCCTTTTCTTCCAATTTCCACTTGTCCTCCTCTTCTTCCAATATACGCTTGTCCTCCTCTTCTTCCAAGAGATACAGAAGCCTTCTGATAGCTGCCAAAGACTCCGTCTTGCTGTAAGGCAAGCATTAGATTAGAACAAAAATCAAAACAAATTAAAAACAAATTATTTTGGTCAACAGCAAAAACGCAATGCAAGTTCGTAGTTAACCAAACTAAACAAGTAAATCAAAATCGATTAGACACTAAAAGAACATGAGAGGATGGATGAATCAGAGGAAAAACGTACCCCTTGCTTAGGTCAGAAGCAGCAGATTCCGTTTCATTCTTGATACGCTGTAATTTAGCACACTCAGAGCAAGCAGAAGGAAGCAGGTTAGCACCACAAGTCCTGCGTAATCAAATTCAGAGAATCAATCAACAATAATGTCTACGACATATAATATATAAATATATATGTAGTCGCAAATTTACAAAGCTTACATTGCCTCACGGTAAATTGCCTCAATTCCTTTCTGCAATAATCTCTGCTTACGACGAACCTTCCAGGGCGTGCGCTCAGTTGCCAAACTCTTTTGATGCATCTAATTGCGAAGAAACAGCTCAAACTATCAATGAAAATAATAAAGTAGAGCCGCAGGGATAATGAGATTAGAGAATGATTTCCTTTTAAATTTCTGAATGAATTATTGAAAGAGTTCAACAATCCTTCCTTATATAGGTTAGGTTATGATAGACTAAGTCGGCTTAACGATATACCTAAATAGATATATGTAATATTTCCTATATCCCTCTCAATTTTACAAAACAGATCCGTTATGGAAAGAAAACACGAATTGCGGCAGGATACCCCATGTTTGTCGATGGAGGAGAAGATTTGCAGCGAAAGAGATTTTTGCAATGGCCAGTTTGAAATCAGGTTGTAAATTTGGGTATTCATCAGACCAGATAATGGCCAGTTTTGTGCAATGTTCTTATCGTATACCTTTGTTGAAATTACATTCATAACTCATAAGCATGTAATTTTTTTTTTTTATTGTATCTTGATTAAAACAACACACCATGCAGATAACAGATGCTAAACGAACGAGACATTTCATGACATTCTACAAAACCTTACTTTATTTACGTTCCCCAAAAGTACCTTTCTTTACGTTGTTGGATGTGTCATGTGTGTCATGCAGTCATGCGTCTTTTGTAATGGTCCTCAATACTGGTTTAGGAAGATTTGCACCAGAAGATCTAGAAGTATCTTCAATCATGATTTTCGAGTGTACAATTATTCCCTTATCGATATATTGCGAAATTAAAGCTATTAACTACTGAATTGAATTTATAAATCTTGTCTAAAGGAATTTGCCTTTAATGTTAGGAATGCATATTCATAAACGGTAATGGTGACCAATTGTTTTCAACACTTGCCAAGAAAATAATATTTTGTTTTAAAAACATTACGCCTTAATAAGATATGCAAATCATCAGAAAAATGGAATGTATGAATATGACACAAAGTCGAAGCAAAGCCTGTTCAATGAGTTCATGTACACTTTCTTCCACGATGATCCTCTAAGGCATTTCAAAGACCAATCAGTGTCCATGAAGCAAACTCATGCTCGGTCTCCAGTCAGTCTTCCCGGTTTTCGATTGCGGAATCTCAAGAAGTTTCGTGGCCATCTTATTGCCATTGCTAGTCTTTGTATTCCTCAGGTAATTAAAAAGTATTAGTTACTTGTCTCACAAGTTACCTCCACAAGAATCATTTATATATAGTTATGTGTCCGAATGGTTGGTTTATTCAGGGATATTGGATATGCAAAGCTCGCGAGTCTCGACCCTGAGTACGGTCTATGTAAGTTAATCGAGATCAGGAAATGATCGTAAAAAGTCTTGATAGTAGATAATACCAAAAAAAAAATATATAGTAAATAATTTAGGTTTTAGTCTGTGAAAAATGTCTTCAACGGCATTATATATTAAAATGAAATTGAAGTATGAAGGAGCTTTTGTTATCTTTGTTAGCGATGGTAATGGTATCTGGAATAGGTAAGATAACATTTTTGTTTGAAAGAATAAAATTCTGTAACTAAGACATGATTAACGTAAACCATAAAAAGAGAGAGTTTTGATTCTTGTCTGCCACTAATCAGCCACAACACCACTCCTTTCCTAGGAAGTTAAAATAATAAAATTTGGTCGAATAAAACTGCCCGATATTAATCATATATAGACCACCTTATGTCCGCCGTTCCACGTCGACTACAACCACCAGTTTCTATGGTGCCGGCGGCTATGTTCATTAATATTTTTGGGGGATAATAGTCGTTGTGAATTAAAAAAGACAAGCGTCATTGTCCTTTTAGTCGAATCATATCTATTGGAGCCGAAAGTGTACTTTACTATGGTCGGTTTTTGATATATATCAATTTATTTTTCTGAAAAGAAAAATTAGTCTGACGTATACATTTCATGAAAGACGAAATGACATTTATACTCGTTCACACCAAAAAGGATAGTCAACTTCTTCGCATAAACTATACACGAACTATTTTGATTCAAAACATATGCAAGAACTAATTGGTTTGTGGTTAGCAAAAACATACATATACAAATTTCTTGTAGTTTTGTTTCAAGGATTAATTCAGTGTTGATTGTTACTAGCTGGTCGTTTTCGTATGAGTAAGGTTGAAGGATATACCAAAGTATCATCCAAACAAAAATGGTAAACCACACCACAATCATTGAGCTCCTTCTAATATTATTATTTCTATTACAAGGACGTACATGTAAAAGGTGGAAGATATTTTAATTGGGGAAACACTCCATAGAAATAGTATTATGTTCATTCGATCGGTCCCATAAAACCGCTGGCAAAGGTTGTGCTAATGTTTGTTTTTTTTGACAACGAAAGTTTATATATGCTAATGTTATTTATTGATTTACTACTGCATTAATATGCTTTCTATGATTGTATCTGTATAGTTTGTGGGCGTGTAGTCAAAGAAATTCACCACATCACAAAACTAAAAGACGATCGTCATTCCATATTTGCTTTAGTGCTTAACAATGATGATTTACGAGGAAATTATTATAAGCCTCAATCTAATATTAACTCACTTTAGTACAAAAATTTAGTCGTGATCTAATTACGCTACATGTAGAGTTTTCCGGATTTCAAACGTAGGACTGTGCAAAAGCTCTGTAAAAAAGTTTTGAAAAGTGGTTTGGTGGTTATATAATTGATTAAAAGGTATCGTGGATCAGTGGATTATATATATATATATATATATATATATATTTTTTTTTTTGTTAAAGGATTTTCAATGGATCAGTGGATTATATAACCAAACTTCACAACTTTTTCCATATTACAAGTCATGCACGTATAGTCACGATTTGGGGGTAAGAAGCATATAAATGTTGTATTTAACAAAATACAAAACTATACCAAACACGTCAAATCTAAGATAAAATGGTCCCTATTTCTTAAAAAGAATATTCATGTGTACGGGTCTTTGTCTTTCTATCTCTTTCCTCGATTCTTTTTACGTTTTTTTTCAAAAAAAATATAAAATATATTAACTGCAAGTTTTCGATTGAGAAATTTTAAAATTTTGATTGGAATAAACCCATGATTTTATTTTAATTTTTGATATACAAAACCTAGATTGAATGAAAAAGTGAGTACATAAAAATTTAAGTTTTTTTTTTTTAAAACCAAACAACAAATCAAATTCGAACCAAACATGAATCATATGGAACTGATTTGCATTAAATTCAACTTTTACTTTGATTATATCTTTACATTTCATGAAAATTGATTTGTTTTCATGATGTTTTTTTAACAATGATATTTGTTTGATATTTTTCTATATACTCCATATCAAATCAGATATGAATCTGAATTAGTCTTGGGGAAATAAACAATTTGGACTAAATCAAGCAAAATTTAATTTAATGAATGTTAAAAATAAAAAATGTCTTAAAGAAGTTAATTATTAATAATATTTTCTTAACATGTGTCAGAGTTCTACAAAAATAATTTAAATGAAACAGGGAAACTATTTGTCTCTGTCAACAAAGATTGGTCTAATTTAAACACCTAGGGAAGCTATTTAATTCATAAGACTTTCATTCTTTCTTTCTCCCAGTTCATGAAACTAACCCATTTCTAATCAATCATCGAAAAGCTCAAAATTATTTTGTTAAGAAAGACTGGAGAGAGAGAGAGAAAGAAAGTGTATGACAAACAGCCTTAAAGTTAAAGGTAACAGTACCATTTGTTTGTTGTTGTTCTTTTTTTTTTTTTTTTTTTTTTTTTTGTCAACAGCCTAAATTCCCCCTAAATCAGCTCAGGGAGCGATGTTGGTGGAATTAAGTTTACATAATACACGTCATAAGGCTGATCTCGAGCACTCCGTGCTAGCTTGTCTGCCTTCGTGTTTGTTGTCCTCGGTATGTGGATTATGGAGAAAGCCTCAAACCGCCTCTTGCACTTCTCCACCTCTTCAAGCAGTGTTTCGAACGCCGGCCACGCTGTCGGTGTAGACACCATCTTCACCAGTTCAGTGCAGTCAGTTTGAAACTGCATTCGCCGTTTATTGTAGACCAACATGATTTGCATGGCCCACACCAACGCTTCCAGTTCCGTCTGCAAAGGGGATAGACCCCGTCGTAAATTACAGGCCCCAACCAAAACTGAACCCGATTCCGGGTCTAGATTGTACCACCCAAGTCCCGCTTCGAGTCTCTGACTCTTTCCAGGCTCCATCTATTTGACACCATTCACCACAAGGCGGTTGCGTCGCTGATATGTCTATCCGCACATTGTCCATCTCTCCAGCCGGTTGGGCTGCGGCCCATGCACGAGCCTCTGTTATTGCAGAATCCAAAACCTCTCTCGGATCTTGATCCGTATTGGAGAAAACTTTGTAATTCCGGGCCTTCCAAATAAAACAAAGTAACCATGGAAATATTAGCATATCGTCATTGTCTGGAAGATTCCAGAAGAGATGTGCCATATTTGAGTAAATAGAGTCCGTCGGAAAACATTGTGGTGGGGTTGGAATTGGTGATAAGCCCATGTTTGTCGAGCCGGGGGCATTCAAACAACATGTGATTAATTGTCTCATCCCCCATTCCACATCGCACACACAGCGGGTCCACGCGCATCCCTCGATTGCACAGCCGTGCCCCAACTGATAAACATCCACTAATAATTTGCCAAAGAAAATGTTGTAGCTTCGTAGTACATTTTACTTTCCAGGACTGAGCTTGCAGTCTACGTGTGTCTGGTCCGAATACCGGTGTGCCCTCCACGTCCGGGAACTCCTGGAGGACCTTATACCCCGATTTAACCGTATATCGCCCTGTTTGAGTGAACATCCATCCAGTCCTGTCTGGCTTAAGACCAGTAGAAATCGTAATCCCAGTAATACGAGCAACTTCAGTGCTCTCGAACAATTGTTGCAATAGTGGAAGATTCCACGTTGAAGTCTGAGTGTTAATTAGCTCACTCACCCTCAGGTGGGGATAGTAATTAACACCGATACAAATAGCTGACCTCGGGCGGGAATCAGAAATCCATGGATCATACCAAACTGAGATGGATGATCCGGAACCGACCCTTTTAATGAGCCCTTTATTTACCAGAGATCGAGCAGAGATAATACTCTGCCATCTATATGACGGAGAGTAAGATCTTCTTTTGTGCAAAGAATTGTTTTTTTTATATTAGGAACTTATATGACTAATAATAACGTTTTAAAAAAGCATAATTTCTGATTCATTGCATATGTTTTGGGACTCCAGTTTAGTAACGTCATTTACATGCATACAAATTTTATGAGTTTATGGAAATAATCAATTTTCTTACCTGTAAAGGAAAGTACAAAAAAAAGAGATGTGACCAAATTTAATTGTGAATTTAGTTATATATCTATAGAGTTTATGGTGTTGTTGTCATAAACCCTGAAAAATCTGAAAAAACCCCAAAAGAATTAATTATTTTTCCCTATAATTCAGTTTTTTTGTTCTGACATTGTTGTTCTAACCTGAAGTCAAACATTGATGGATTAAATAAAAAATAAATAAAACTAGATTTTTATGTTAGTGCCAAATCTCCATTGATTACTGTTTAATATGGGTCAGAAACCCAGAAGTAGTAAGTGGTAACGACAAAAATCACCAAGGAAATAAAAAACCGTAAAAAAAAGTTTCGATTTTTTTACATTTTTCTGGAAAAGAAACAAGGAACAATATTTCGTCAAAGGTCTAATTTTTGTTGACTTGTCTCTGTTTTTGTTTAAAATCAAAGATTTTTACAGTTCATGGCTGTCTTGTGGGTTAGTGATAAGCACGCCTGGCTTCTCATCATTCCCTCCAACCTTTCTCTCTCTTAAATTGTTCTTTGCCTTTTCCTTCTCTCTCTCTCTAAGACTTCAATTGTTTTATCAGCTTCTCTCTCTAAATAAAGCTTTCAATTCAATTCTCAATTTGTTCTTCTCTCTCTCTCTCACTTTTTTCCTCTGCTTCTGTTCATCTTCCAGGGAAAAGGAACCAAATTTGACTAAAATTTTGTATTTTTGAAAAAGTTGCTCATCAGATTGGATCTGGGCTTGGAGCTGAGTAGCGGATTTATATAGGTAATTACTGAAACGGTTTCATTCTCTCTGAAATGTTTTTCATTTATCTGGGATTTGTTGTGGATTTTCAAGAGTTCCATTGATCTGATTGGGTTTCTGAAATCCCCATCTGGTTTTTGATTGGTCAAGGCAAATGTTTAGTTTAACTATTGAATTAGATATGTGGAGTATAAATCCTGGAGCTTTACCTTGGGTTTTGTGAATGATGATGATGTTTTGAATGGAAATGTTCTTCCTTTTTCTCGAATTCCTGGTGGGTTTTGCCTTGGTTTCATCTACTGCTTGTCTGGGGAATTAAAATTTACATAAAACTCTACTTCCAATGAATATAAATTTCAAAGCTTTATATTTTTTTCCGGGTTTTACCTGAGTGTTTTGTTGATAATGAATTAGAAACGCCTTTGAATTTTGACTGAAATTGACTTGAGATGATGTTGACCGGTTTGGATTCTTGGTTGTGTAGTCATTTCAATTCATGAGAGAGTTTTGTTCTTCCTAATTAGTTTCTTGTTTTTCTTCTATTCATCCAATCATGGGATTTTTGTTAGTCTCTGAGTATTTTGCAATGCGATTAAATGTGTTTATTGATGGATTTTGATAGAATTGGTTTGCAATTTGTTGATTTTCTTGAATATTTACCTCACAGGTTATTAGTGTACTCTATCGTTGCGGCGTTTGTAAGCTGGAGAGAGTGATAAAGAGTGCTTAAATATGTCTGTTTCCATGAGAGATTTGGATCCAGCTTTCCAAGGAGCTGGACAGAAAGCGTATCCTTTGAATCTTGAATTTCTTACTCAGTCTTCTTATATGTCCTTCATTTTCATATCAGTTTGTATTTTATCTCTACACGATGTTCTCCTTGACGGTTGATTTAGCGGTATTGAGATATGGCGTATAGAGAATTTCCTCCCTGTCCCTCTTCCAACGTCTTCTATTGGCAAGTTTTTCACCGGAGATTCTTACATAGTATTGAAGGTAATTCAGGCCTAGTAACTACGTTTTTTGGTATCCTTATTATTCGAGTCTTACATATGGTGATTGATCTTTTATGGACAGACAACGGCGTTAAAGACAGGTGCATTGCGCCATGATATCCATTACTGGCTTGGTAAAGACACCTCTCAGGATGAATCCGGGACTGCTGCAATTAAGACGGTTGAATTAGATGCTGCTCTTGGAGGTCGTGCAGTTCAGTATCGGGAAGTTCAAGGACACGAAACGGAGAAATTCTTGTCTTACTTTAAGCCATGCATCATACCTCAAGAAGGTGGAATAGCTTCAGGTTTCAAACATGTGGAAGCTGAAGAACATGTGACCCGCTTGTTTGTTTGTAGAGGGAAACATGTTGTCCATGTGAAAGAGGCAAGTCACATTTCTTCGTTTATATTTTGTATCACTTTTTGGTCACACTAATGGTATAGGATGATTACAGGTTGCATTTGCTCGGAGTTCTTTGAACCATGACGATATCTACATTCTTGACACAAAGTCCAAGATTTTCCAGTTCAATGGATCCAATTCAAGTATCCAAGAGAGGGCAAAAGCATTGGAAGTGGTTCAGTATATCAAAGATACTTACCATGATGGCACATGTGAAGTTGCTACAGTTGGTTAGTGAGCCGAGCGGTTTCATTTGGGGTTGGTATCTTTATGATCTCTTTGCTTTGTTCTCTAATTTGCATATGTTTGATTTGCAGAGGATGGGAAACTTATGGCTGATGCTGACAGTGGAGAATTTTGGGGTTTCTTTGGTGGGTTCGCTCCACTCCCTAGAAAAACAGCTAATGCTGAAGACAAAACTTTCAGTTCCGATATCACAAAACTATTTTGGTAAATAATCTTCTTGTCGTATTTCATTTAGCTTGAGCACTTAATGCTTCAACTGAACATAAACTTCTTCTTTCTGAAATCTTAGTGTGGAGAAAGGACAGGCAAATCCCGTTGAAGGCGACTCGTTGAAGAGGGAGATGCTGGATACAAGCAAGTGTTACATTCTTGATTGTGGATTCGAAGTGTTTGTTTGGATGGGAAGAACCACTTCTCTTGATGATAGAAAAATTGCGAGTGGAGCAGCAGAAGTAAGTTGTTGTTACTGAATTGAAAGGAAGTCTTGAAATGTTTTCTTACTCTGTATGCTGATGTTAGAAGAGCCATACAGGAAATGATCCGTTCGTCTGAACGACCCAAATCACAAATGATCCGCATAATAGAAGGGTTTGAAACCGTGCCATTCCGATCAAAGTTTGATGCGTGGCCTCAAGAAACTAATACAACCGTGTCAGAGGATGGTAGAGGAAAAGTTGCTGGTTCGTAAATCCGAATACAAAACTTTAGATAATGATTGTACTCCCTCCGTTTCAAATTAGTTGTCGTTTTGGCAAAATGTATCTGCAAATATTTGGACGTATCTGGACGTGTTTTGCATTGCAGATACGTCCAAATATTTGCAGATACATTTTGCCAAAACGACAACTAATTTGAAACGGAGGGAGTATAACTTAACACACATCTAATGAGTGTCATTTGTTTGATTTGCAGCACTTTTGCAACGCCAAGGATTTAACGTGAGAGGCCTGATGAAAGCTGCTCCGCCAAAAGAAGAGCTTCAAGCTTTCATTGACTGCACGGGAAATCTGCAGGTTTGGCGTGTGAATGGTCAGGAAAAGGCTCTCCTTCCAGCTGCTGATCACTCGAAATTCTACAGTGGAGATTGCTATGTCTTCCAGTATTCTTATCCCGGGGAAGAAAAAGAAGAAATTCTTATAGGAACGTGGTTTGGCAAGCAAAGCGTGGAGGTAAGCTCTCAAATAAGGATGTGGTTAGTTATGTTCATGCAACATTGGTTCTGTTGCTGCAAAATATTACAAGTTCCAAGTAGGTTTAAAATTGTCAGTTTGTGATTATATGTAGGAAGAAAGAGCTTCTGCAGTCTCCATGGCGAGCAAAATGGTTGAGTCAATGAAATTTGTACCGGCTCAAGTAAATCTTCTTCTACACTCATATGTTTTTTTACTAATTCAAAAGTCAATAGTTTTGGATTTTTCCTAAAAATTGTTTTTTTCCCGTCTATAGGCTCGCATCTATGAAGGAAAGGAACCAGTTCAGTTCTTCGTTATTATGCAAAGCTTTATCGTTTTCAAGGTTTGGCTAAAACATTTTGATTCTGCAGTTTTTTGCTTTATCATTCAAGTTCTCTCGTTCATGGATACATAAAGTATCTGCTGATTTTGTTTTCTCTGATATGGCTGAATCTTTACAGGGTGGTGTTAGCAGTGGATACAAGAAATACATAGCAGAGAAAGAAGTTGATGATGATACATACAATGAGAATGGTCTTGCTCTTTTCCGCATTCAAGGGTCTGGTCCAGAAAATATGCAAGCTATACAAGTTGGCCCGGTATATATCATTCTCTCATTCATCTTCATTTGAAACCTCTAGAAATCATTTAGAAGTGAGGACCAGTTCGATGTCACATATGCATTTGTTTATTTATGGCATAGATCTTCATGGCTTCTGATATTTTGTCTATTTATTTCAACAGATTGCTTCATCGCTGAACTCCTCGTACTGTTACATACTACATAATGATTCTTCTGTCTATACGTGGACTGGGAATCAAGCAACCTCAACTGACCATGAACTCGTCGAGAGACAGCTTGATCTTATTAAGGTAAGATAACTTTCTCCTTGATTGCTATAAGATCAAATACAAGACTTGTAATTGTGTATTAAGTTAGCTGAAGCTAGCATTTGTTATGTTTTCTTTGTTCAGCCAAACCTACAAACTAGAGCACAAAAGGAAGGATCAGAAATAGAACCGTTCTGGGAGTTGTTAGGAGGCAAAGCTGAATATCCGAGCCAAAAGCTCACAAAAGAACCCGAGAGTGACCCTCACTTGTTCTCCTGCACATTCACAAAAGGTACTGAAGATCATTTCTATTTCTTAAAAGTTGAAGCCTAAGCTGATATATGCACACAATGACACTGTTTCTTTTTCTTTTCATTGATGGAATGCAAATCAATCCAGAAATACTGAAGGTGCGTAAACTTTCGAAATCTTGTTTTCTCTAAAGATTTGGGCAATCATAAGTGGAAAATGCTTTGGCATGTGGCTCAATCCCAAGGTTTTTTTGTGATTTTTTTTTGCAGGTGACAGAGATATATAACTTCACACAGGATGACTTGATGACCGAAGATATATTTATCTTAGACTGTCACTCAGAGATCTTTGTTTGGGTTGGTCAAGAAGTACCCCCCAAGAACAAGCTGTTAGCTTTAACTATTGGAGAGGTCAGACTTATACATTTCATACAAATTTGTACCTTAACAAATGATCCTGATGTTGTTAGGCAAAGTTGCTCATTTATACCTTTTGGTTCCTTAGAAATTCATCGAGAAAGACTCTCTACTGGAAAGGTTATCCCCTGAAGCCCCTATATATGTGATCATGGAAGGTGGTGAGCCAGGTTTCTTCACCCGGTTTTTCACTCCTTGGGATTCCTCAAAATCCGGTGTAAGTACAGAACACCTTCAATTGGTCTCCCCTGGAAATACTCGAACACTTTCAATGTGTTGAACACTCTTATCTGTTTGCAGATGCATGGAGACTCATTCCAAAGAAAACTCAGAATTGTCAAAAATGGTGGAACTCCAGTTGTAGATGTAAAGACTCTTTATGCTTTTCCTTTTGGTTGATGATTCTTCAGAGTGTGCTTTTGTTTGTTCATTCTTCTCTTCTGTTTTGCATATGAATGATTAGAAACCAAAGCGAAGAACTCCAGCTTCATATGGTGGCCGTGCCAGCGTTCCTGACAAGTCGCAGCAGCGGTCGAGAAGCATGTCGTTTAGTCCAGACAGGGTTCGGGTCAGGGGAAGATCTCCAGCGTTCAATGCACTTGCAGCAACATTTGAGAGCCAAAATGCGAGAAACCTCTCAACTCCTCCCCCTGTAGTTAGAAAACTCTACCCGAGATCTGTTACCCCTGATTCCTCAAAGCTTGCTCCCAAGTCTACAGCCATTGCTTCTCGTAGTGCCCTTTTCGAACAACAACTAAAAACACCTCCACAAGAACCTTCAATTCCAAAATCACTCAAAGGTATGACTTCACAAACATTTTTGTTGAGTAAATCATCCTAAAGTGTCAATCTTTATCATCTTTTTTTAGGGATTCAAATTTTTGCAGAGTGATCATCTGCAAGTTTCAATCTTTTTATTATCTTTGTTTCAGTTTCAATCTTTTTAGTATCTTTGTTTCAGAGACTCACCTCTCTTATTTCACGTTAAGTACTGATCTTTTTGTTTTCTGTTGGGGGTAAAGCGAGCCCGAAGACACCGGAATCTCCAGCTTCGGAATCCAACTCAAAAGAAAAGGAAAATGACAAGAAGTTGGAGAAATCAATGAGCATCCGGATAGAATCTCTGACGATTCAAGAAGATGCTAAAGAAGGAGTCGAAGACGAAGAAGATTTCCCAGTTCACCCATACGACCGTCTCAAGACAACTTCTGCTGATCCTGTCTCAGACATTGATGTAACAAGGAGAGAGGTAAGTTCAAAGTTCAAACTAACAAACAAATTTTCATTTGTATTTAAAGGAAAGAAGATCTTAACAGTTCTTGGTCTGTGTTATAGGCTTACCTTTCACCAGAAGAGTTCAAGGAGAAGTTCGGTATGGCGAAAGAAGCTTTCTACAAGCTGCCTAAATGGAAACAGAACAAATTCAAAATGGCTGTTCAGCTCTTCTGAGAAACAATCCTTCCTTCTTCTCCATCAAAAGCCTGGTAACACACACACACACACAGTCGAATCCAACATATAAATATATATGTTTGTATTCGACAGAGAAAAATTGAAGTTTTCTTTTCTTGTTACAGGCCTACAGCTATAAGAGGAGAAGATTTAAGGGACAGTGTCAGTGCATTTTAAGCTGCTTCTGCTCCCCATGAGAAGCTTAATAACATTTTTTTTCATGGCTTGTTTAAAAAAAACAACCCAGAGCAGTTTTCCTTTTCTTCTAATTTTCCTTCAAATCTTTCTTCTTGATTGTTTCTCTCAATTTCATCTTCCTTTTTCTTTTGTTTAGTTTGATGGGCTGAGGTTAGATTTTTTGGTTTACATATTTATTTTGGATTGTTTCTTCATCAGGTCACAGGTTTTGGCCTTGAGTCTTTGATTTATTTATTCTTGGGGTGGTCATTTTGCAATCAGATTGTGGAAATTTGGTTGCAAAAGGAAGATATATTTTAGTGAGATTTCATAAAAACAAATAGATACTGTCTTTCTTTTGCAGAATTTGAGGATTCGTTGGTTTTTTTTTGGTGTACAGCAAAGTGTACAAACTAAACTGTGTTATGTTATATCGAATGCTTTTTTAAACTTTCAGGTTTATACTAAATTTTCCCATATATCACATAAATACCGATTTGTTGTCCAGAGAGAGAGAGTGAGAGAGACTTTAGGAAACTAAAGACTAAAGTGCATATTAAAGCGATGCATGTTGCTCTTATAGATTTCTGACAGTTCTTAGAGTAAGACAACATGTGCTTGTAAATGAAGCTTAGGCTCACAATTGTATAACTGCTTAAGATAGGAATTAGTTAAAATGTAGAAAAATATTTCCTCGCTAAATTTATATTTGAACTTCAGTTTTCAATGTTCCCAAATTTCTTTAGTTTGATAACTTTGATCACTAAAATATACAGATGAAAAAAGAAAACCATTAAATTAAACTGGGTTTATCGTATTGTCTCGTGGTTTAGCCGTTTAGGATGGGACTATTCAATACTAATGAAAAGTCTCTGTGTCAGAGGGAGGCTCTTGATTCTTTACACGTCATTTAACCGGCGTAGTTTAGTCGGAATTACTAAATTTTGAAATTCTCAAGAGAACGCCCAAAAGCTCTTTTCCACTTTCTCCGGCAAACGAAAGCTCAAACCTTTCCGAGAGAAATTTCCCCCCTTTTTCGGTAACATACATTTAGGAATCTGCTGGTCTCTGATAGATTGAAACTCTTTTTTAGTGGAGTGGGTAGTGATGGATGACGAGAGAAGGGTACTGTGTTCAGAGAACCGAGGTTTAGCGGATTATGTGTTGCAGAAGAAGCGAGAACACGCAAATACTCCCAAGGGTTTGTCGGAAAATCAGGGGAGGACATTTCTTAAAGCGTATAGAAATGTCTGCGACGCCAAGGATCCCATTAACACACTCAAAGACTTGTCGCAGATCAAGTATGCTTCTTGCTTTTATTTTTCCTCTGTGAATTTTTTGGTTTAGTGGGGGGGAAATGTCAGGTTTTCTACTCTTCCTGCTGGGTTTAGAGTTAATGGGTTAGTCGATTCGTCTCTGAGCTGCCTTTTTCACTTTTCTATGGTAAAAATGTGACCTTTTTGTGTGTCTGGTTCAAAATTCGCCGATTTTTCAGTGTTGATTGAGTGGTGGAATGATTTTAGTGTGAATTGTTGGTATCTGTAAATTTAGGTACTTGTTAAGGGTTTGTGTTTGTTTTATCTGACGGTCAAGTCATAAAGATAGAATCTTTTTCATAAATCAGAGAATCTGGTTGTACTTATCATTATGATATCAAAGTGTTTCTTTGTTTGAGGGGAAGTGTTTGTTTATTTCCATTTTAGTTTCATAAATGCAGAAACAGATCTGATTGTGAGTGGACGGCTTTGCTTGTATCCACACTAGTGTTTGTCTCTTGATTTTGGCTGGATTTGTTCAATAGGGGCTTTGGCAAATGGATGCTTAAGCTCATGAAAGGATATTTCGACACTGGCGCTGGAAGTTCTGAGCAAGAAGATTTACCAGCAAACTCTACTGGTAATGGTGTGTCTACTATATCTAATATCACATTTGTTCACATGAATAAACAATGTAATGTTGTTTTCTACTCTCTTCAGCGAGGAAGGCCAAGGAGAAAAAACAGTACATTCCTCAAAGAAACTCTGCGGCTTATGCATTACTAATAACGCTTCACAGGTTATATAGAGTTTATTTTCCTCACAATGTACTCTTTTCTTTCACATTCAGTAGACCCTATTTCATGACTGTTCTGTTTTGTTTACCAGAGGGACTCCAAATGAGAAAGACTTCATTCGCAGGCAAGAACTTATTGATGCTGCTGACGCAAGTGGGCTCTCACAAGTTCCTATTGGGTATGAGTTTATAATCTTCACACAATCTCTAGTATGTTGCTGTACCAAATCATTGCGATCCTTTTATTTTATTCTTCCATTCTTCTGAGTAGGGCAGAGAAAGGAAAAGGAAAATTAGGACTTGGCCACTCTAAGAGAGACTGGTATAGTGGATGGAACTGCATGAAGACACTTACACAGAAAGGACTAGTGATGAAATTTAGCAACCCAGCAAAGTAAAAACACTCTGCCTTCTTTTACTTGTATTATCTGTAGATATTTAGTGCTTATCTTAAGCTAGAAAATGACCGTTGTTTATATTCTTAGGTACAAGCTGACAGATAAAGGTCGGGAAGTAGCAAATGAATGTATTATGCGATCTGGCTTATCTAATTCCCTTGATGATGACGCCAATCCAAAATCTAAGGCAGATTCAGCAGGACCTTCTAGAGCACAAACTGGTATGGTTCTTAGCAAGCATATGATCTCTAATATCCTTACTGAAGTGTCTGTTAAAATTTGGATGTTCCATCTTACGAAGTCTTAGCTACAAATTTACTGGTCAAGTTGACATCTTATCAGATGATGATATGGACCTTGCAGAGCCATATACCTATCCAAAATCTAAGGCAGATTCAGCAGGACCTTCTAGAGCAAAAACTTGTATGGTCATTACCCTTTAGCAAGCATATGATCTAATATCTTTACAGCTGTGTCTGTTACAAGTTGGATGTTCCATCTGACGAAGCATTAGCTACATATTTACAGGTCAAATTGACATCTTATCTGATGATGAGACGGATCTTTCACAGCCATATCCCTATCCAAAAGATTCAGCAGGACCTTCTAGAGCACAAAATTGTATGGTCTTTACTCTTTAGCAAGCATATGATCTAATACTCTTACTGATGTGTCTGTTAAAAGTCGGATGTTCCATCTTACGAAGTCTAAGCTAACAACTTTACAGGTCAAGTTGATTTTGAGGGATCTCGTGCTTAAAAGTTCCGATCTTGCAATGATGGGTACACCTCAAATCCATGTTCATCCGGTTCAAGTCATGTCTTGAAAGACTGCTCATCTTTTGTATGTAACCATTTGCGTTCTGTAGATTGTTGGCTATATCTTTTACCATCAGTAGCAACTAAACTGCTAAGCAGCATTATGTTTTTCTTTATTTTTCATGTTTACGCAGCTAGCTTCAGATGGAGTCGAAGGAATTACAAATGTTCCACGCCTTCCTCCTCTTACATTTGGAGAAACGTTTGAGGAAGCATATGAGGTGATCTTGATACTTGATGACCGAGAACAGTTTGCCACCAAGGGGTTCGTGGAACATTTACTCTTCCTCTACTCGTTTTTTTTCTGACGATTTGAGTTAGTCTATCTTAGTTGTTGTTGATAACGTTTAAACCCCTATTTTCGAGTTCAGATCCAGGAAAATAGTTGATTACACATGCTCTGATTTCAAGATGAAGATTGAGGTTTGCATTTGTTTTCCTGGATAGATGTCATTCAGATTCCAAATTACAAATATCGACCAGAAAGATTGTGTTGAATCTGTAGGTTAGACGATTACCAGTAGGGGACTGTATCTGGATTGCTAGGCATAAGTGCCTTGGGACTGAATATGTTCTGGACTTTATCGTTGAGAGGAAGAACATTGATGATATGCGCTCGTCGTTCACAGATGGTCGCTACAGGGACCAAAAACATAGACTGCAGGTGTGTGTGTGTGTTCTTAACTCCTAGTTAAGTTTTCAACTTGCTCTATCTTTTTGCTGAGGCTGTTTCTCATTTTTCTTCTTGAATTGCTATTCTAAATAGAGATCGGGACTGAAGAAGCTGATGTACATTCTTGAAGGGGATCCAAACCAGTCTAATTCAGGAGAAAGCATAAAAACGGCGTAAGAATTTCTTGCCATCTTTTCTTCACAAGATGCTGATTAGCAGTGCTTTTTTCTTGGAGACTGGGAACCAAATTTTGTTTCCATCTATATATGCTTTTTAGTTGTTTCACAACGGAGATTCTGGAGGACTTTGATGTGCTGAGGACTAATGGACTTGGCGAGACGCTAAGAAAGTACGGTTATCTCACAAAATCAATACACCAATACTACAAGTCCAAGGTGAATGATGAGCACAGCAAAGTCTCGCCCTTGTGTCCTTCTTTTGATAGTTTTGTCAAAAAGTGCCAAAACCTCGATAAAATGACAATCAGCAATCTATTTGCCATTCAGCTTATGCAGGTACCGAGTCTGTTTCTGTTTGTAAAATGTGAAGTGGTTATGCGAGTCTAATTCGATTGGTAAGTGCAGGTCCCGCAGGTAACAGAGGAAATAGCCATAGCTGTTGTTGATATGTACCCAACACTTTTATCTCTTGCTTCTGCCTACTCTCATCTAGTAAGCTTTGTTGGCCTAAACTCTTGTTTATTCTAATTCAAAGCACCAATCTTGAACCTCACAAGAATCAATCTCTCTCTCCATTTTGTTTTGAAGGAAGGGAATGTCTCAGCGCAAGAAGAGATGTTGAAGAATCGAAGCAACAATGTAATCTGTGCAACAGCTAGCAAGAATATTTTCAAGTTAGTTTGGAGTGAGTGAATGACTTTTCTTATACTCTTGTAGTTTGTCCTTTTGAACATTATTTTTGTTGTCTAAGAGAGAAACAAGTTTGTGATAATAAAAAGCGTAAATATTCTCCTATAATACAAATCATAAACCAAAATATACTATTAGTGATAAGATAGTTTCCTAATGGAAAAGGGATATATTAGAACATATCTTATTATATAAAGATGACCCATGTGAATGTGATCTCTTCTTACCTCCAGGCTCCAACAATATCCACTACATTGGGAGAAATAGCCATGTACAAATCATAGTTGTGATTAAAAAAACGTCAAAAAGAGAAAAAAATTAAGGAAAAAAGAGAAACTAGTTGGGGAAAAAAAAAAATCCTAAATTTTCGATATATATAGAAACAAACCCAAACTTCTCTTTCGCCCCAAAGCAATAAACTATTTGGACTTGGGAGTATATGTTTATAACAACTTTTTGGTTTGTCTTCCTTGTTAAAGAAGTAAAACGCTTCACAGAGTTAGGGTTTACTTTCTAATCTCAATCCCTAAACTTCTCTGAATTCTTTTTTTTCCGAGAATCTGTTTCTTTATTCTCTCTTGTTTTAGGGTTTTCGTGTGTGTGTTTGATGATGGATAATCATTCCGTGAACAACGAAGAGATGAGTCAAAATAATGTTGTCTCCTCCAACAACTCGACGGTGTCGCAGCCGAAGAAGACCCCAGAGATGAGAAATCCCATGGGATTCGACATGAGATGGACTCAAGAGGAACAAACAATCATGGAGCATGGCCTTGCTCGATATTCGTCGTCGTCGTTGGACTCGATGATTTCACGCTACGCGAGAATCTCGCTAGAGCTACCGAACAAGACCACCAGGGACGTCGCTATGCGTTTCAGGTGGATCAACTCAAGCTCAGCTCACCGAGATGTGATCATCAATGATCTTCTTGAACAGAACGAGCAAGTTCTTGATCAGATTGCTACGAATCTCACGCTTCCAACAAACCTCTTGGAAAATCTGACACTCTTCAGCGAAAGCCGAGAAAACATCGCGAGACTTGCCAACTGTGTCAACGAGAATGCGCCGGAGCAGTTGACGCATATGCTACCACTGCCGGAGACATTCAGCGATGTGGTGTTTGATTCAATCCTTCCTTCCTCGGCTCTACCAGAGCTACCATGATGATTAACTCTTTTTTAATTGTTTCAGTTGATCTTTTGGTTATTAGGTTTTCTTGTTTCTCCGGTTTATTTCTTTAAAACTGTTACATCTTATAATCTTTCATTCTTTATCTTTCTTGTTTTCATTATACTAGGTTCTTTTTAACTGTTACCTCTTATAATCTTTGATTCTTTATCGTTAAGAAATCAGTTTTATGATCTATCTCACCATTGAAAAAAATAAAAATAAAAGACAATTGCAAGGAATTAGAGGAAGACAGGTTAGTCCGTTACTCCTCAAGGCTCAGATGAAGAAAAGAAAAACTATAACAATTTCTCATTTGGACCTGTAACATTCAAAGACTAATTGATTTTTTCTTCTTTCATTTAACTTGTAACCCCAAGAAACACTTGGCTCTACTTTAGCTAAGCCCATTTGACCAAGAAGTCAACTAGATTTCACAACTGTTTTTTTTTTAATGATATGTAATAAATGTGTTATTGTGTTGTAACTTGTAAGTATATATTGTTCATCTTCTTGAAAATTTGATATTGACCGTTTGGTAACTGAACCTCAAGCATACCAAAAAAAGAAGAACCTCGTGCATACCAAAAAAAACAAGAAAGAACCTCAGGCATACCAAATTTTCCAATGACCGTTTGTTCTTGAGTTCAATGCCATTTGGTAAACATGATACGTTTAGAAGCAATATAAATAGATGAAAGCAAACCCAAACAGATCACAAACATTTTTTCATCTAAAAAATAAGGTATATTTTTTTACCTCAAATCTTTATTTTGAGTTTCTATATAATCAAAAAAGGCAACATCAAAATCTCAAATTTTGAGGTTTTGAATAGTGAAACCACAAAGTTGAGGTTTCACTATTCAAAACCTCAAATTTGAGGTTTCAGTATATTTTTATGAGGTTTGATATTTTGTTTTCATATAATGTTTCATTTTTTCCATTATAGTCTTTAAGAGTATTCCAAAAACTTCATATATTTTGAATATTAACTCACGTCTATAAATTTTTGAAACCCAAAATTTTATATTGAAAATTACATACATAAATCAAATAAATGAAACATTTTTCTACCATTTTGTGCGAATACCAACTAAATTAAAAATTGTCAACAAAAATGTCAACTTTGCTTAATTTTAATTTTGGATACTGAATTGTTTTTATATGTTTTTTTTTTATAGATGGGAGTTAGAATAATTTCCTTTCTCTGGTTCTCCGTATTGTTGCTCTCGTGTGATGGGCAAAATAACGAAGCTACCGTCAAGATTAGCTTAACAACAATGAAACCAAGTGTGGAAGGTAACTTAACCGTTTTCAAAGAAGAAAAAGATGGCATTATTCAACTCAAAAATAGTGGTGACATAATCTACTATGCTCAAATTGGTGTTGGTACACCAACCCAATACTTTCAAGTCATATATGATACCGCAAGTGCGGATCTTTGGATTCGCAATAAAAATTGGCATGACGAGACAAAAGAGTCAAATGATAAAATCCCAACATACGATTCTAGCAAGTCGAGTACCTATATAAAAAATGGTACGACTCATAATATGTATTTTCTTTTTTAAGAAAACTATGTTTTTTCTTCTCTCGGTGATCAATAAATATAATCTAAGTCTACAATTTACAGGTACACCCGTAGCAGTCCAATATAGTGTATGTGCTGTTGAAGGTTTCCTTAATTAGTACAGATGACGTAACAGTCGGTCCAATGATTGTTAAGAAACAAGTAAGAGTCATCATCCACAGAAAAAATAGTTTATTTCATTTACCTTGACTAATTACTGTTTGTCTATCTTTAGGATTTCATAGAGGTTACCAGTGAAAAGGATGGATCTTATTTGGCTTCTACGAATATTGATGGTATTCTCGGGTTGGCATTCCAAGAATGTTCTGCGACGAATACAGTCCCCGTTTGGTAATTTTAATATTTCCAGTCATTGTCAATGTTCTTTTTTTTTTTTCAGTTTTTACTTATTTTACATTGTTTGGTTTGTGTTATGAGCTTATGGGTTGCTTTTCCAATGAACGTCAAAAACTCTAGAGTAGGCCCTGTAACATTTTATTTCATGCATTTTAAAGCGAAGAATATTTTTGTTTTGGTTTCAAACAACGTAAAATTCTTTAATCTAATAATGAAGGAAAATCTCCAATATTAACATTAGTAAGTTTTTTCCCAGTAATCAAGTGTTATGTTATAATACATAGGTATAACATGATGAATCAAGATCTAGTTCAACAAAAAGTTTTCTCAATTTGGTTGAAATATTCAAACGAACAAGATCATGAAGAAGGTGGAGCCATAGTTTTCGGTGGATTCGATAATGCGCATTTCAGAGGGGAGCACACGTATGTCCCTATCACCTATGAACAATTTTGGGAATTTAAGATGGAAGAGATACTCCTAGGAGGAATAGGAACTGGACTTTGCGTCGATGGCTGCTCTGCCATTATTGACTCGGGCGAATCATACGTGTTTGGTCCAACGGTAAGAATATATCCATATCTATTGTGTATTACTAGTAGCTTGTTATGCATATTTGAGAACTAACAAACTTTTTTCTTTGATCGTAGGATATCGTTACGAATATAAATAAAGCTCTTGGGGCGGATGAAGTAGGAAACGTGGACTGCAATAAGGTTCCTTCGATGCCCACAGTTTCACTGACCATAGGTGGAAGAGTGTTTTCACTCTCCACAAGAGATGTAAGATCAAATTACTTTTTTTTGTGGAGTGTTTTTTCTTTTTCTTTGGTCATCGTAGTGAATTTAATGGTTTTCTATTTTCTTTCAGTATATAAGCAAAGATAATAGTGGTGGACGTGATTGCGCAACCAAATTCAGGGGCAGTGATGATGATTTCTGGTACACTATAATTTTCGATTTTCTGATATAAATTTGTAAGACGTAATGGAATATTGAGACGTTAATACTTAATTGGCTTGCGCTACACGAATGCAGGACTTTGGGGTACGTCTTCATGAGACCGTACCATACGATATTCGACTTCGGTAATAAGAAGATCGGGTTTGCTGACGCGGTCCAAGACAACTAAAGACATCTGGCTCTTATCATATAATTATAAAATAAAGGTTGTTTCACTTCATTGTATGGATTCTTACGCATGCATCACCTATGTTTTTATGCATTGTAACGGCAACAGTGAGAGTCGGAGAGAATGATATTTTGAGAGAACGATTTATATTTTAATAAATAAACTTTTACTCCAGTAACTTGCTTACTTTAAAAAAAAAATCGTTTTAAAAAAAAAATCGTTTTGAACCATTTATGTCTTTTTATGTATCTTAGTACTGATTTGAAGTTAGTGTCACTAAGAGAAAGATACGAATAATATATCGACGTAATCCATATGGTATAATATTTCATCTCCTGCAATTGGAAGGAACACGTTTGAATTAATTTGGAATTTTATAGCGAATTTGATAGAGAAGACTATAGACTTTTTTTTTCTTTGGACAACTGAGAAGACTATAGACTAAACACATTTACTTACATGTCTAAGGAATCCACGACCAACAAACTAAATTGAACTTTTATGTTCATAAAAGCCTGAGTTCTCACTTGTGTAATCTCCCAAAAAAACACTTTGAATCGAAAGTGGAGCTGCTTTAGGCCCTCTTCTTTTTTTAAAAATGGAAGAGTCAAACCAAACAACCACTCACACACTTCATGTGCCTAAAGCGACTTGAGTCAAAGTCGAGCAAATTTTTGCTAGTAATATCCAATACTGTATAACATTCCACCTCAAATACACTCACAAGAGAAGATTTTACAAATTTACAATACTTCCCTACCAGTAACTTGCTTACTTTCAGTGAAATTTGGAAAGAGCCAACGACCTCTAGAGAACTGATCAACCGAAGAAGAAGAATCAAATTTGTGCAGCGGCTCCGTCTTCTTCGTCTCGAGATTAAAAACATAGAATGTTTCATGACTATGATTATGACGACTAACACTGAAATAGATGGAGTTCCTAACGAATCCATTAGCGTCATCGGCGAGCACAGTGATGCCTTGGTCCAAAAGCATCGCCTCGTCGTCGTCTCCCAAAGAATCAATCACTTTCCGTCTCTCAAACAACCCCGACGACGAATACGCCTTGTAAACCCGGAAGGACCAACCTGCAAGCCTCCCCCACAATTTCTCAACCTTGAGGACTTCTCCTGACACCGTGACCACAATCATCGTCGCAACAATGTTTACAGAAATCCGGAGACTACGATATAGATCCACAGAAACAAAAGACTGAAACGAAACCTGCGGCGGAGTCATCATCATCCCTCCGGAGAAGAAATCGAAGATGATGAAACTGCGAGAGGAGCTTAAGAAGTAAAGCTTGGAGTCCTTGTAAACCATGTCACAGCAATCTGGAGTTTCCGGGATTTGATTCCACGAGTTATCTCCGTTCCTGGAGTAAACCACACAGCCTTTGCAATATCTTTCCAAAATTCCCCATAGAACAATGTAATCTCTGGTTTTCTCGTCGATCCAAAGCAGAGGAGATTGGAAACGAAGACCTCTGCGCTCGTACTTCTTTCCCTTGTCGCTTGTGATGCGGAACTCTATATTGTCAAAGGAGATTCGATCTATCTTCGTCGTGCCGAGCTGCGACTCCACGGGAGGAAGAGTGATGATCTCGTTGGTGAAGAGATTCACGATGGAGAGAGTGTAGAGAGGATCTCGCATAAGGAGCCAATTTCCGAATGTTGCGATGCAGAAACTCTTTGCGAATTCCGATCTCAGATCTTCGTCTTCTCGCGTTTGTTTGTAGAGTTTGTCTTTCTCCTCGGGATTGAACAGCCGGCAGGAATTGTTCTCGGCGTCTTTGGGGAAGAGGATTAGCCATGGGGTGTGATTGTTTCTGGGCATGGATTGTTTCGAAGAGGAGAGCCAAGAGGAACAGACGGATTTAGCTCGGTGGAAATTGGCGAAGGTTAAGCGTTTGAATACCAAATCCAAGAGATCTGGAGGGAGCTCCGACCATGATTTGGAATTTGATGAATCTTCTTCTCTGAGACGATCATGATGCTTCTCTATCTCCATGGGAAGCAGAATTGTATTTACTGTAACATGGAGAAGACGATTGAATTGCTTTTTCTCTTTTCCTCAGAAGTTCCGTCATTATACGAAGAGAGAAATGCTTGAGGAAGATGCAAATCCATAGCTGAGTGACATCTGGGTTTGTTGTATTTTGGAAATATTTTAACTGAACGGAACCGTTAGTTTTAACTAACGCTGTTAACGTACTCAACTTCCACTGGGCCCGTTTGAAATGTTCACAGACGCGTCAGGTTCTATATGGGCTTCTTCGGCCCAGTCAGCGATAGTGAATAAGTGGTTTGACGCATTGATGTGTATATTCCGTAGGTAATGTAAAACCAAACAATTTCATTTCGTTGGTATCAGTTCTTGATCTTAGACTCTAAGTGATAGATAAATTTGCAAAATTTGTAATACAGTCATTTGTTAATTTGATCGGCTTATGACAGTTTTGTGGAAAAATGTGTGATATGTTCTTTGGGCAAAGAGAGGATGTTTCAGCCGTTGAACATGGTTTATATGTTAACATGTATAGTGAAAATTACAGATATGAAGAGATGAGGTAGACACACATTAAATTGTCAAGTAGGGAGAAGGAAAGCGAAAGAGAAACCTACAGAAATCTGCTTTATCGAAACGCAAGAACCAATCTTCCTCTCTTCTAAATTGATCATTTAGACACTAACATAAAAAATGTTGAGTCCCAATTTTAATTACTAAAAATCCGATTTAACCTGATGATGGATACTTCAATCGACTTGCACACTATAAATGATTTTAGTGAGACCTAAATAAATGCGATAAAAAATAGTCCAGGTGAAAAAACGGATACCATCACAATAAGAATCAAAAATTGAAAAAATCAGCTTTAGATAAACTTATAGGATGATACAAAAGGTACGTAATGTGCAAGTTAACTTATTAAATGAGTCAACACATACTGCCACACATCTGTAGTTGGACGTCTTAACGAACATCCTAATGATTTTAGACTTTTTAGCTTGTCCTACTCTAATCGATGATCATATATATAATACGGAGACTTTCTAGTTTAATTTGTACTAAATTAGATCATGAAGAGAAAAGTAATTATCTAACTAAATTTAATATTCATCCCAAGAGAACACAGCTGAATTAGCAATTACTAACATATTGCCATCATGTAAATTGCAAAATCACTAGTCATTGATGTAAGACCTCCTAACAAACTCTATTTTCCTATATTTTTCTATTATTAATCCAACTATCATTTTGTTTTTTTTAATAATCAAGTAGATTTCGGAGTGAAAATCCATACTTAATCCAACTATTCCTTACTGCACATTTCATTAGTGTGTCTAAGTTGAAATCCGGATAACATACGAAATTATGAGTTGAAATTCGAAAACTTTTGACGGTTACTAACAGCTTATCTTAGTGGTATAACTAAAATTTCTATGAAAACTGCCTATGATGATTAAACTAATTCGCAGTTGGTATTACAATGGCATGATCTATCCCTTTCCTTTTTAGCTTTTCTAGTCGCCAACCAAGGGAGGCATTAGAAAGGACTAATAAAACAAATCATTAACAACTCAATTATTGACAATATTACAGCATCAAGGAACATGTTCGTGACCGTGACGCCCGATTTATTTGTTATTATAAACTTTCTTACATTTTGTTTCTTTCCGAATCACTTGAAAAATAATTTCCAGAGAACTATTAAATATCTCAAATTTGTTTCCAATAAGACAATTACAGATTATTTTAACCAGAAAAAGACAGCTATAGATTTGTATTTCTTTGAAATGACAATTCGATTTCGAGATTAGGTCTAATACACCAATGCCTTATAGAACGAGCTTGATATATTTTGAAATTGGAAGACTAAACAATGCCTTAGAAGTATGGTCGATAATTTTCGAGATCCTCTTTTGTATATATATGCAACTAGACTAGCTACTTTCTAAGCTTGTTTTCTAATACACTTGATAATTTCACAATATGAACTTGTTAATTATAGGAAGTCAACTTTCAATCACATTCCAATTTGTATAAATAGATGATAAGGTATATGCATGTTATGTTAGTAAAACCGAATAAGATGAGCTCTTCTTCTTGTCCCCTTTCGATATTGTTTAAGTAGTTGGTGAGAAGTGGTAACATGCGACTGAGTTGTCAAAGATAGCATGCAATCGAAAAAAGATAAGCATGCATGACATATATATACACAAATACATTGTAACTAATTAATTTGTCGTCTCGTTCTTCTTTTAGATTAAAATCCAGACTAATTGCAAGAGTCCACAACCCATACGAATTATGTAGCGATCCATTTAAAACATATTCGGTCACTTGATATTTAACACAAATATAGAAAGAAGTATTAAAATACCATTCGGAGCCTCACCTTAGCCTCCTCTCGAATTGTCAATATCTAGATGGAGTGTTACATCCACATTCCTAACAGTTTATCGTGCTTATTTTAATATATCATGCAACACATTATCTTAAGAATAATCATCACACTATTATTATATTTAAATAGCCCAAATTGTACCGTAGCCTTCATTTAGATTACTCTTTCTAGCTTCTATAAGAAGAGACTCCCTTCAAACTCAAAAACCAAAACAATAAAAGTATAATTAGCCATGGAGAAGCAGACTAACCAAATCATCTTCTCCATATTTTCTCTTCTTCTTCTGTTTTCTTCATGTGTCTCTGCTCAGCTCCGGACAGGTTTCTACCGGAACTCATGCCCGAACGTTGAAAACATTGTCCGTAACGCCGTCCGTCAAAAATTCCAGCAGACTTTCGTCACCGCTCCGGCCACTCTCCGCCTCTTCTTCCACGATTGCTTCGTTCAAGTACGTAACAATATTTTTATGCCATATCCTATATTTATAGGAATTCAAAATCGCTTCTTAATCTTTAACACACAAAAAAATCATTTTCTTAATATTTTCTTACAGTATAAATTTTAATTTTTGATTGAAAATGTTCGCAAAACCTCTGGATTTAGAGTTAAAGATATTTCTCCATACAATTATATATATTTACGTACTTGGTTTCTAATTTAATATGAAAATCTAGGGATGTGATGCTTCGGTATTGATAGCCTCTCCGGCGGAGAAAGATCATCCAGATGACATATCATTGGCCGGAGACGGATTCGATACGGTGGTGAAGGCAAAGCAAGCCGTTGATAGCAATCCAAACTGCCGCAACAAAGTCTCATGTGCTGACATTTTGGCTCTCGCTACTCGTGAAGTCGTCGTTTTGGTATGAATATAACTTTCTATATACATCTCTCGCTTTCTTTCCCTATAATAATTTAGTGTGTCCGAGGTATTGATAATTCGCTTTTTAGGGTGCAAAAGCTACTCGTAGTTTAAAATCATGTGACACCTTTTATTGACGCCGGTTTTTAATATTTTAATATAAAGACAAAGTAACAACAAGTCATATTGTCCGAATAAAAACGAATCATTGATACATTACATCATTGTAATAATTATAATTAAAATTTAACAACAACTAAAATTTGCAGACCGGAGGACCGAGCTATCCGGTGGAGCTAGGGAGGAGAGATGGCAGAGTATCTACAAAGGCAAGCGTTCAAAACAATCTGCCACAACCCGGTTTTAACCTAAACCAGCTCAACAGCATGTTCAACCGTCACGGTCTCTCTCAAACCGACATGATCGCTCTCTCAGGTACGTAACGTACTAAGCCAATTTCATTAATTTTTCTATTTCAACCGAATCTTTATGATTTATAAAAAAAATGTTACTGTATTTTCAGGAGCTCACACTCTCGGATTCGCACATTGTGGGAAGTTCTCAAAGCGTATTTACAATTTTAGCCCTAGAACCGCTATCGACCCGAGTTTGAACCGTGGGTACGCGCTTCAGCTCCGGCAGATGTGTCCGGTCCGGGTCGACCCACGGATCGCGATCAACATGGACCCCACCTCGCCACGTACTTTCGACAACGCGTACTTCAAGAATCTCCAACAAGGGAAGGGTTTATTTACGTCAGACCAAGTCTTGTTCACAGATCAACGGTCTAGAAATACAGTGAACTTGTTCGCCAACAACGAAGGAGCTTTTAGGCAAGCTTTTATCTCTGCGATCACGAAACTGGGTCGGGTCGGGGTCAAGACTGGCAATGCTGGTGAGATCCGAAGGGATTGTTCACGTTTCAATTAGTGAAGTGAGCCTTTTTTTAAGGTTTTGTTTCTTTTGATCATTCCTTAAGAGGATTTTGTTTTTTTTTCTTCAAAATAAACTGAAATTTCGTATTGTTTTTAAAGTGTCGACAATGGAAACTTGAATTAATAAGAAGGATTTATTTCGTTTTCTCTTCTGTTTTTGTCTTTTGTTAATATATGCTTTTGTAGGAGAAAATAAAATTAGATGTCTAATTAAGCTATACAATAATCAGCTATTTAGATGCTCAGAAGTCATATTATACACTTTATGTCACAGTATAGGATGGCCAAAAAAATCAAATTCGAAATATTGATTTTTTTTTCTCTGATTAGAATCTTTTGTGTAGTACTGTAGATTTCTGATTTGATGATCTTCGGAGAAATTACCAAGTTGTTCTTGACAATGGGCTTACCTTTAGCTACATTGTACTTCTTGACTTGCTTGGATTGTAATAGTAAGGCCTATTCTTGCAGCCCAATTCAAAAGCACTAATTATCTGCTCCCTTGTCATAATAAAGACGAATAATTGTTGTTATGCATCTTAATCTATAGATGCTTTCAAACCAAACCGATTCATTTATAGAAGTAATCAGTCAGAAGATACACCATAACCATCAATTTAAATGATCCACTTAAACGTGCGAGTCTAAAGGTTTATTTGTCTTAGAAAGTAATGGTATTCACTATTCGGGTCAATATCTAAAAAATATAACATTTTTAACAAAAAAAAATCTAAAAAATATAACATGCAAAAAGGTATTTGTGCCACCCGACTTAATATTTGTGTACTTCGTGAATAAATATAAAAAATAATTTTATCACCTAATCAATGTGAAAGTTTGTAGTTATTTATAACCCTTATTTTCTAAAAATCTTGTCGAACCCACTTGCATGTTGATATTTTCATAGCCGACCCAACAAAAGCGAAAAACAAATCTTTCATTTTTTTAACTTAGAGAATCAAATCTGATATTTGTTGTTTCGTACACTTTAGAATTCCTTTTTTGGCAAAACCAAAAATCCATGTTCCTTTTACTATTTTTTTTCTTCTGAAAAATAGAGTTACTTAAAGGGAACCTAATAGAAGGAGGAACAGAAAATAAAGATGTGAAGATAAAACTCTCTTGATTGAATGCAAGATTTTGTTGACCAAAAAAAAAAAAAAAAGATGTGAAGGAGGATGAGACCCGTAGTTGCAGTTCCTACCAATTACAAGGTAAGTATTTACTGCATTTTCCCTGTCCTCTATTTTTTCATTTAATTATCTTGTACTGCCAAATAGTTTGACATTATACACATTTTTCCTTCGCTTTTATTACTTCGGAACATAATGTCAAATGCTGCAAAATATGTTTCCCTTTGTTTCTTGCTTTAGTTAGATATTCTCTCTTGTTGTAATCAGTGACTAATTTCAAACATTGAAAATCTCTAAAATAGCTAGGTAAACCTTATACACTTTACATATATACAGCGAATATATAAATAAATGTTTACCAATGTTTTTGGATCGAAGAAAAATATGAAATCAGCATACTATGTGCCTGACTTTTGTCTTTTGTTTCACAGTTTTATATCTAACCTTCTATACAAAGAAACTTTTGTATTCTCACCTCTAAATCTTACATAACGCTAAAATTTTTGATCACCAAGAAGGAACATTACATTTGAGATATATAAACAAAGCTTCGAATCCTCATAAACGAAGGTTTTGTGAAATGGAAGTATTAAAGTGAGTGCACGTGGGGACATTTGTGAAAAATAGCTCCAAATTAAGAATAACAACAAAACACTCGAATTCAAACCCACATGAGATGTGTCCCTCCCAAATCCCAATCCAAGCCATATCTTTTCTCCTCTATCTGGGTCCGCTTTATTTATTATTATTGCTTACATTTTATTACAAAAAAAAAAATCAGTTCAAATAAAAAAGAAGCTTATATATATGGAGTATAAAAGAAAACAAAACTGAAGAACAGCACAAACAAGTCGTAACATGCCATTTACAATATTCGATACCAGTCTTTGTACAAATTTTCCTGACAGTTTTGTACGATTTCCTTGTGGTTAATTCATACAGACAAAAACTATATTTAAATATTATTGGCATTGTTGGCATGCACTGTATCTCAATTTTTTTTCTTAAATCGGGATATTATTATAGATATGAATCTGTTTTTACCCAGCTTGATAGTGTGATTGGAAAGAGTAGATATTTATTTCTGTCAAGTTTTTTCAACGTGGATTGTTAAATAGTCAAAGGAGGAAAACCATTAAGAGAAATTCCAAGAAAATTTTATGATAGTATACATTATTGTTCAATGTCTACAACATGACTATATATCTTGTATTCATTGGTAAGTTTGTATATACAACTATAATAGACAAACAAAAAAAACATTGATAGGAGATTCTAGCGTTTCATTTGTAAACTAAGTTTAGAACAACGAAGTTAAGAACGAGTTGAGTAAGAAAAAATAACTGATTCCGTTGGCAAAAGACATTAATAAGACAGAAATAGTTGTATGGACTTCGCTTAAGATTCTTAGACTTTCCTTTCACATTTTTATGTCGTGATTTCTCCTCTTAAGACTGAACTATAAATTTTTCTATTTATATCTATATACATTTGATAAAAGAAAAGTATTAGTTGCATCTAGATGACTACCGTAAACACATGTTGTGCACGTTTAATCAAAGATTATGGGGCTGCTTTGAAACAAAAGAGAAAACATCACATTCTAAAAATAAGAAATACAAAAGAGCAGCAATTTTCTTGCTGCATTAATTAATTATCTACTCACCCTTGACTTTATTCTGTGGTAGTATGAAGAACACAACAAAACCAATAAGAGACCATTCAGTTTTGTTGCTGTTAACGTCAAGAGCTAGTAATGTGTATATATTGCATGTTTAAGCACTACTATAGATTAAGAGACAACTTGTAATGTCTCAACCGCCCAAATTTAGACAATTGTTCTGTATATAATTAAATAACAAAAAAAACGATGAAAAAACAAATGAATTGACTTTCAGATCATATCAAAATTAAACCTTTTTTTATCATAAACTTCACTTCTTAATTTAAATCCTATACGAAGAAATCAAGAAAGACATCTTTAAACCTGGAATGCGATTGATGCTTATAAGCTAAAATTACTAAACCAAAGTCCTCGACACTCGTAATGTATAATCCAATTAGCTAGTGACCCACAGTTTTTTTATCTTAACCTAATGACGTTTGCACCCTCATATGACCGACTGAAACACCACTATTATAATAATCAATATATTTTAGTAAGTTACCATATCCATATGTATCCAAAGCTTGTATAAGAATTGGACAGTGAAATAAAATTCACCAGTATACAAGCAGCACAAAACTGGTCAAATGCTGAATATGAGGGAGATCTAGATTATGGTCATATAATTGGTAGTGACATAGATTGATCAAGTTACCTAAGGACACATACACATGCACATATATACAAAGTAAGTGTGTGTGTGTGTGTCTTAGAGAGAGAGAGAGAGAGGTTATGAGGAGAGGAACATGTGAAGGCATTAAGAGAAGGTGGGGTTTATGTATTGATGTCTTGTTCTTGGAATGGAGCCACATGGTAAGAGGGACTCTCAAAGCACCTCTTTTAGGGGGTAGTTGTGATGCAGCCAAATTAGAGCTCTTGCATGTGACTCCATGTGTTTTTTCTTCCCTCACCCATTATTATTCCCTTCTTCTTCTTTTTTTCTTCTACCTTTATATATATACACTCTCCTAATTACCTTCATCTATTTTTTATTTTATTTTTCTAAAACCTGTATCTATTTTTTTTAATTGTAGTATTCTATATTCTTGTCTTTTACGCATATCTTAATATTGTATATTAATCTTTGTGATCCGTTGTTTTTTATTTAATATTTGTTTTACTACCAGCTACTTCTTTCAAATCTTCGTGGTATATTGTGTTTGTACTTGAAGGGAAAAAACAATAGCAGTCTCAAACATATTATCTCATTTATATAACCAAAGAAAATTAACTTCAAAAAAATATCTACTTTATCAGCCGTTGTTATATACAAACAAACGTAGGACCCATTTTTCGCTTTCTCTACCTCTCTCATATTCTAAGTTTGCTATATATGTAAGTTTCTCCCTTGTAGTATTTTCTCCTTACAGCAACAATAACTTCTCATATGGAGAGGCAAATCATAAACAAGAAGAAACGAGTGTTTTCCCTCGAACCAAACAATAACCCTAGAGCAGTTTTTACGAGGAAATACACAAGCCACTTGGTTCCTGCACTCAAGAAGCTGAACATGAACAAGGCCTCTTCACAAATAAACCCACAAACCGTGAAGCATGAAGTAGACATGGCTTTGGCTTTGTCTGCTCAAGAATTTGCATGGAGTCGTTTCTTGCTACAGAAGCTATCTTCATCCTCAAGAGATCCAACCACTACTACTAGTTTTTCTTCCGATCAAATTCGGATTCTTGAAAGATCTGATGAAGAAGGCGGAGACGAAGGAGATAATATAGAGGAAAAACTGAGGGAATTACAGAAGCTTTTGCCAGGTGGAGAAAAGATGAATGTGGAGGAAATGTTAAGTGAGATTGGCAATTACATTAAATGTCTTGAATTGCAAACGATTGCTCTCAAGTCAATTGTTCAGGAAACTACTTGACTTTTAGTTTAAGTGTGCAATTTTTAGTTTGTTCTATGTTTTGCCTTAAACAAAAATCATCTGTGTGCGTTTTATTTTCTCTCGTCGTCTTTAAGTACGAGAGCATCCATAGTGGTTTTCTTTTTCTTCACGTAATTAATATGGTTAAGTAATTAATAATACATCTACGTGAGTCTATATAAACCTGATTAAATTTAGAAGTTACATGGCTGTGTGCCTTATAGAATACGTACGTAATTTTGCCCAAATCAAATCATTATGATGTCTCTGTTCTTTCAATTATTATAATGTTTGTGTGCAAACCTCCAAACTTTAATTTCTAATCATTTAAGTCGACAAAAAATTTGTATATATTTAATAATACCTGCATTGTTTTTCAGTTTTTCTCGTTGAGTTTATATGAAAAAATGGTTCCACTGTGGACAACCTTCAATTAAAAAACGAAATACATCAATAAAATTCAGCCGTAATGACAAGTGCACCATTGTTAAGTGAGTAACACAGATTAAAGCTAATATTTATTTTCCAGAAGTTCGAGATATATGAAACAGAATTTTTTTCTTAGGGAAATATATAAATATCTCAAAAGGAAGAAAGTCAGATGACATAAGGGTAAAACTATGTAAGTCATAATATTGATTTGGAGTCATCATCGAGATCTTTGCACGTGTCGCAAGCTCACTCGCACTCATCCCAAACTCTATTTCTCTTTAAGATTCTAGCCGTACTACTTACACGCAACTTGTCTCATGTCATGTTTTTAAATGGGATATTTTGTTTACAGTGCTTTTGATTGATTTTAGTTTCAGTGGAAGAAGGAAAAGCTATTTTGGATTATTTCCTTTTCTCCTTGGATAGTTTCCTATTTTAAATTGCAAATTGTTTGTTGTCCTTGTCCTTTTGGTAGTTATAACATTAAGGTCCCCAATAACTTTTTTGGTTTTGGTTTTTAGTGCCATTGGGAAATAAGCAAATGAAAATAGAAAGCTACACACTGGATTAAGTAAAAGAAGAAGATTAAGATCACATAGACTAATCGAATAAGAGCAAAGAAGAGAGAGTGTCAAGTGCCAAACACAAAGGCATTCCTTGTTTCTTCAAAAGAGGTACATATTGGAGAAACAAGAACACCAACAATAACGATTTGGGTAGAGTTGTGGCAATAAACAAATATATCTCCCTATGTAAACAATAACCTTAGAGAGGTAGTAAAGAGCCGAAGATGGATACATGTTTGTTGGTCACCAATAGAAAGTTGGTCACCTGGTCACATGCATCATCCAAGAGAATGTTAGGTGGAAAAATGTAAAGGTGTAGTATAGTTTACACACGACAAGATCGATTTGTAAGCATTATTACCAGTGATCATCTTGACGTCAACACCAAGATTCAAAGCCCTTGGAATGCTTTCAGCCTTGTCATGTCTTGGAGGGTCAAAAACTGGCAACAAGCCAACAAAATTCCCATAGTCCACCTGCGCTTTCCTTAGTTTTCTCAGCCAGCATATAAAAGGAAATAAGAACCCAAGACGTGAAGGCCTGCCGGGCCTATGTATATTGAATCGTTTAGGGTTTTCAGCCGTAAACACAAATCTCATATTGTTGATTCCCTGCAGCAAAAACCGATAATCTTCTCCTCCATCAACAAACATGGAGTGCGTTTCTCCTCTCTTTGATCTCATATTGTCGCTTGCTGTTCCTTCTTATAGCGTTGAATCCATTTCTCTACTTGTAATGGCTTGTTTCTGGTCTTTCTTTTTGTTTTAATACCTAATGTTGTATCTGGTGATGACCCGTTACAGTAAGACAAGTGGTCGCAAGCATAAGAAGCGTCGGACTAGCCAGATAATGGCAGAGAAGCAGTTGGAAGAGTCTAACCAAGGAAACGAAGATGAGAAGCCTCAGTGTTATTCTCCCGCAAAGGGAATCGTCCTTGAGAACATGTAAGGCTGTAAATTTGCTGCTTTATGTATATATCTATGTAAATTGTTGTCAACATTGGTGTTGATGCGTCTCAGTGTTTAATTTTGCAGCGGTGTTGATGCTAAGCAGCCTAACTCTGCCTTTGTCCCCAACGATGGTTGCTTGAACAAGATTGAGGAAAATCAGGAGGAGGTCTTGACAAAAATGGGGTAAGTTTCTCCTCTCTTTGTCCATCCTCTTGTGTTCTCCTATTGTGTTGTTAGAAATTCTTCCACGATCCGCTTTTTTGTTTGTTAATTGGAACTCTGATAATCATTGAGACTATGGCCTTTGTTTTTTTTTTTTAACATTTAAAAAAATCTAATGTTGTATATGCTGATGACTTACTCACGATTCAGGATTTATCTACCTTGTATTGGAATGTTTATGGTCTTAATTGTTGTTTTAACCTAATCTTGTATGTGGTTATGATACATTACAGTAAGACAACTGGTTTGGTAGCTTGTCGCAAGCTCGTAAACGATCGGGCTAGCCGGCGACGGTCACTGGAGCAGAGATTGGAAAAGCTGATAACGGCATCGGAGCGGCAGCGCACTGCTCCTCGCATATCAGGCCGAACTGTCCAGCCCAAAACTTGTGGGGTGCCTCCTCCTGACCCTAAACCCCAAACGAGAATAATCGCCGGTGAGAAAATGTAAGGCTATAAAATGCATATATATATATATATATATATATATTGTTGTAGACATTGCTGTTGATGTGTCTCTGTGTTTAATTTTGCAGCGTTATTGAGCTTAATTAATCAGCCTGAAGACATGGAGAAAAATGTAAGTTTTGCCAATTATTAAACATGGTTTTCTTTCAATCAAAATGTTGATTCATCTTTTATTTATGCTGTTGCAGGAGGAGGTCTTGACATACATTTGGTACGTTGGTCCTCTCTTTGATCCATCTTCTTGTGTTCTCTTATTGTCTAATCGATTTGATTAGCCTTTTTTTTTCGGTGAACTACGAGCTTGCTTATGTGTTTTTGTTGTTTTAGAAATGGTTCCATTTTGTTTGTTAATATGATCTCTGATAATCATTGTGAATAGGTCTTTGTTTCGTTTTAACATTTTTTTTCAATCTTATGTTGCATCTGGTGATGAATTTGAAATGAAGGATTTATTTGTTTATGGTCTTAATATATTTTTATTGTTACAGCAACATAAGTGGTTTGAGAGGTGGTCGCAAGCTCCCAAGGTCTGGGAAGAACCGGAGATTGGCATTGGAGCGGAGATTTGCATCGGAGCGGAGAATGGTAGAGCGGATATTGGTGTCAGAGCGGTTCAAAGCTCTTCGCGTTTATAACTATAGTAAGAAACTTGCTGCTTTTGTCCCCAACGATGGTTGCTTGAACTACATTAAGGAATATGCTGAACCATCTTTTGTTTACGCTGCTGTTGCAGGATATAAGATGATTGCTGGATTTGGTCCTAAGGCTCATGCTGAGGGTCATGCTGTGGGAGATATTCCCGGAGTTAGGTTCAAGGTCGTCAAGTATGCTGGATATTCACACTTGGCTCTCGTTGCAGAGAAGGAGGAGGAGGAGGAGGAGGAGGAGAAGCCAAGATGTTGTCCTGCTTGTGGTAGTTACGTTTGAAACAAGTCTTGTGTTCTGTTCTGTTTTTAAAATTCAACAACTTTCATGTTAAATGCTTTCTTCTTATGAGTTGTTGATTTTACTCCTGGCCTTATAATATGTTATCTGTTTTTCTTGAATCACTAAGAAATTCTGCTTACGATTAGCTTAAAATTTCCACTGGTCCCATTGTGAAATAAGTAAATGAAAATAGGATTGAGTAAAAAAGAAGAAGATTACTATTACATAGGCTCATGGAATAAGAGCAAAGAAGAGAGTTTGTGCCAAGTGCCAAACACAAAAGGCATGTCTTGTTTCTTCAAATGAGGTACATATTGGAGGAACAAGAACACTAACAATAACTATTTGGGAAGAGTTATGGCAATAAACAAAGATTTCTCCCTATGTAAACAATAACCTTAAAGAGGTGGTGATTGGTGAAGAAGAAGAAGAGTAGAAAAGTAAAAATCAGTGTTGTGTGCAAGCCTCCAAACTTTAATATTCTAATAATTTAAGCCGAAAAAACTTTGTATATATTTAATTATTTCTGCATTGGCTTTTTAGTTATTCTTGTTGAGTTTCGATGAACTTTCAACGTCTTAAAAAAAATTCTACTGTTTATTTACAGACCTTCAATCAAGTAAATAAAATACATTACCAAAATGATTTGTTAGTCATATTTATACATTCATCAGCCGTAGTTACAAGTGCACCTTTGCTTAGTGAGTAACACAAATCAAGACTAATATTTATTTTCCAAAAGTTCGAGAAATCTGAAACATAAACTTTTTTTTCTTAGGAAAAAATATAGATTTCTCAAAAGGAGGAGTCATACTGTCATAGTATTGATTTCAATTTTAAAGTCATCATCCCTATCGTTACAACACGTGTCTCAAGCTCACTCGCACAACTGACGGTCTCATGTCATGTTTATAAATGGGATTATTTTGTTTTAAGTGATTTAATTGATTTTGGTTTGAGTGGGGAAAAATAAATATTTTGGATTATTTCCTTTTCTCGCTGGATAGTTTGCTATTTTTAAATTGCAAACTGTATGTGGGTGGATCTCAATTAACTTGCTTGATCTTTGCTATTTGGGTGTACTTAACTAAAAACACCAAATATATATATATACTGTATATAAATACACTAAAATTTTATATTCTGGAAAATTAATAATAATAAAATAAATAAATAAATATGTGAAGGTCAACTATTTTTCCGATAATACCCTTTCCACGTATTATACTATTGTTATTTCTCTAATTTTCCCCCAATATCATGTTAATCAAAGAATTCTATAATTTGTTAATTTTCAAAGGTACATTTTTTCAAAAGTACTGTTTTGCGCCAAGTCCGGTCACCACAACGACATGAGCGTTGAATACTTGGTTAGCAAGAATATGAAGTTCTTCATCAGGAGTGTAAATACCTTGAAAATAAATAATTTAAATTTATTAATATAATTAAATTTTAAATTTTATCATTATTAGTTCAAACACTTACATTTACATTCCATTATGAATGTTAGTGTACTCATTTAAGCTAGAGACAAAACTTAGTGAAACAATCATAGAGCCTTCCCTAATAGCGCCTCCACAATTTGATCCATATCTGCATAGTCAGTCCTCTTGTAGACTACCATCTTACTGACATGTTCTCCTTCCATAAATTCCTTAGCATTTTCAAAGTTGATCAATCACAGTTTCCAGATAGATATCTTCTGTTAACACTTAAGCTTCACCATTTGGAGGATTAAAAAATCTTTCTCTAAATTGGATGTGTACAAAACTTGCCCACAAAAAAAAAAAAAAAAAATTGTGTGGAAGCCTCCAAACTTTAATATTCGAATCATTTAGTTCGAAGAAGACTTTGTATATATTTAATTATTTCTGCATTGTTTTTTAGTTATTCTTGTTGAGTTTCTATGAACTTTCAACGTCTTAAAAAAATCCTACTGTTTATTTACACACCTTCAATCAAATAAATAAATTACATTACCAAAATGATTTGTTAGTCATATTTATACATTCATCAGCCGTAATTACAAGTGTGCACCTTTGCTGCGTGAGTAAATCAAGACTAACATTTATTTTCCAAAAGTTCGAGAAATATGAAACATAAACTTTTTTCCTAAGGAAAAAAAAAATAGATATCTCAAAAGGAGGAGAGTCATATAGTATTGATTTGAATTTTGAAGTCATCATCCATATGCAAATAGTTTGTTGTCATTGTGCCTTGGTGGTTATATCATTAAGGTCCCAAATAACTCTCTTTGTTTTAGCTTTTTGGTGGCATTGGGAAATAAGCATATGTAAGAGAAAGGCTTGAGTAAAAGAAGAAGATTTCGATTACATAGGCTCATGGAATAAGAGCAAAGAAGAGAGTGAGTGCCAAATGCCAAACACAAAGGCATTCCTTGTTTCTTCAAAAGAGGTACATATTGGAGAAACAAGAACACTAACAATAAGGGTTTGGGAATGAGTTATGGCAATAAACAAAGATCTCTCCCTATGTAAACAATAACCTTAAATAGGTGAGGAAGAAGAAGAAAAGTAGAAAACAAAAACAATAGAAGATCAATCATATTTTAGTTTTTTGTTTTGGGCTGTGACTAGACAGTGTAGTGTCCTGGAGTCTCAATGTCCAAACCCTTTAGCTTCACTACTGATTCCACATGTCCCTTGAGTGTGTGGAGCTCCCTAAGCCTGTTGACATATAAAAACATTCAATTAGTGATTAGCTCCAATCAAAGAATCAGTAACACTTAAAAGTTGAGAGAGATAAGTTTTATTTTGTTTACCTAGCGATCTCAGCTCTTCTCTTGGCCTGCTCTGCGATCTCAGACAGTTCTCTGTAACCACCTTTCTCCGGGAAAACGTTAACAGCTTCTTTTGGCTGCAAACCATGGAGTGTCCTCTGAGCAAGTGCCCATTGAGCCTCTCTCTCTTCTTTTCCGTAATCTTTCTTCATCGTGAAAGCCGTCTTGTTCTCAAACAAGTTGAGCCACGCCTTCCCACTCAAGATGTATCTAATGGCAAACTTGAAAACGTCTTGTGGGAAGTATGTTATGATACTGTATAGCCAGATCACTCCTGCCCATCCCCATCCGATACCTTTAACCTTTGCAAATTGCCAGTTTGCGTAGACCGCAATCAAAGTAGCAATCTGCATTTGGATACAAAACGAATGAGTTAAACAGAACAATAAAGAGATCCCTTAGAATGTGGAGTTTTGATGGATCTTTACCAGTTGTGCAATGAGGAAAGCAATCATCAGTAACGCCCCAGGACGTTCAACGAATGACCAACTTCTTGATCTTGTGACGAAGATTAGAGCTTGACTAATGATACTAACTTGTAGATACACCGCACCCATTAACTCATGGCTGTTGTCCCTAATAGACCTCACACCAAATGTGTCCTGTAAAACCAAAGTGAAAAGTTTGTTTTAAAACTCTCAAAACATAAGCAAAGAAGACTGATGAAAAGAGTGAATCGACCAGAGAGAGCTCAAGTGTTGTACATACCGAGAAAAAGTCGGTCTTGTGAGCCGCCCAGAAGAAAATGACAGTCATGATGGCTTGGTAGCCTCCAAGAACAACTCCAGTAGCAAAAATTTCTCTAAGTTTCCAGCTGTCAGGTGTTGGAGATGGCTTCACTCTATCCTTTGAGATTGTCATGATGGTACCTAAAGCAAAATCATAAGTTATGTAAGTAAACTGTTACCACAAAAGTAAATGGAGAGTGAGGTTTATGCAAAAGGACAGTCATTGCTCACCATCGTTAAGAATGGCAATGATAAGAACCATGAATGCTGAGAAGTCGAATTCCCAAATCAGAGCAATAAGCATGAAACCAAACACAATACGGATTGTGATTGATACTGCATAAATGGTATAGTTCTTCATCCTCTGGAAGATAGCTCTGCTGGTGAGAACCGCACTGATGATAACGCTGAGTCCAGGCTCGGTGAGAACGATATCAGAAGCACCACGAGCTGCATCAGTAGCATCAGCCACAGCAATACCAATATCAGCTTTCTTCAAAGCAGGAGCGTCATTGACACCATCACCAGTCATTCCAACAATGTGCTTCCTCTCCTGCAACTTCTTGACAATCTCGTATTTGTGCTCTGCAACAACAAAACAAAGAAAAAGCTTAGGATATAACATAACCATCTTTTGGCAATGTACAACAATAAAGAGCGGTGTATGATCTAAAATACTAACCTGGGAAGACTCCGGCAAAACCATCAGCCTTTTCGATCAGCTCCTCAACAGGAATGGATGCAAGATTTGCGTCTTTGTGAGTGCCAAGAAGAGCTGAAGATGGATACATGTTTGTTCCCATTCCAAGTCTACGACCAGTTTCTTTACCAATAGCAAGTTGGTCACCTGGTCACATACATTGTCCAAAGAGAATGTTAGGTGGAAAAATGTTAAGGTGTAGTATAGTTAGCAACGACAAGATCGAAGTGCAAGCATTATTACCAGTAATCATCTTGACATTAACACCAAGATTCAAAGCTCTACGAATGGTTTCAGCACTGTCATGTCTTGGAGGGTCAAAAAGTGGCAACAAGCCAACAAATTCCCAAGGTCCTCCCGGGCTTTCCTTAGTTTTCTCTGGCACCACCTAAGAAAACAAGAACACAAACAAATGAACATTTGGTTCCATGCAGAGAAGAAAAAACAAAAGAAGACAGTATCAATGGCAAACAAGTACCTGGCGAGCAACAGCCAACGACCTAAGACCACGCTCGGCATACTTGTCGATAATAGAGAGAACCTTCTTGCTAAGGTCATTGCTGGCTTTGGCAAGTTCAAGAATCTGTATGAGACAAACAAATTAGTACAAAGAAGGAAAGAACAAAAAAAGCTAACATTTGCTTGTTAAAGTTGAAAAATCATCATCACCTGCTCTGGAGCACCTTTACTAACTCTGTGCCAGTTACCACTTCCGTCAATGTAAGTCAAAGCAGTTCTCTTATCCACAGGGTTAAATGGAAGGAAGTGAACC